TACTCTAATCAAGAACTTATACATCAGGCCGGGTTCCCACTGTATTACTCTTAATCTACATCAGGTTGGGTTCACACTGTACTACTCTAATCTACATCAGGCCGCATTCACACTGTATTACTCTTAATCTACATCAGGCCATGTTCAAACTGTATTACTCTAATCTACATCAGGCTGTGTTCAAACTGTATTACTCTAATCTACATCAGGCTGTGTTCAAACTGTATTACTCTAATCTACATCAGGCTGTGTTCAAACTGTACTACTCTAATCACGATCTTATACATCAGGCAACATTCACACTGTATTACTCTAATCTACATCAGGCCGCATTCACACTGTACTACTCTAATCGACATCAGGCCATGTTCACACTGTATTACTCTTAATCTACATCAGGTCGGGTTCACACTGTATTACTCTAATCTACATCAGGCCGGGTTCACACTATATTAACACTTATGCGTGCAATCACAAGTGGCACGGTTTTGATTCCCCGCTCGTATCTGACAAGGAGTATAGTCACCTGTCCATCCTCCCACTGCTAAAGACCCCAACGAGCAAGTGAATTGTTCAAATAAAAATGAAACCATGCTATTCCCGAAATGACCTATTTTGTGTCAAGTGGTTTCCCCCTTGCCAGTACTGCAGGATAGAGGACCTTGCAAGGCAAGGACAGTGTCTAGTCATTTTGATAGGACAAAAAAACAAGATCCTGTGTATACATTGGCATGTAAAAGAACCCTTGACTGTTGAAATTTAAATTAGAGAAGGCCGTAGCTCCGGTGTTTATATAGATCAAACTATATAAACTATTTGGCTAGATTCTTATGTAGACATCCTTACAAAACAACTATTATATACACTCATCCTTGGGAAATGAGGGAGGTTGGGTGTCTGAATGGTTAACACGTGCGCGCTGTATCATAAGCTCTGCCATTGAGTCAACTGGTGTGGTTTCGATTCCCCAGTTGTACATGACAAGGAGTAGGATCGCCTGTTCAATCTCATGGGTTTGCTCCGGGTCCTCCTACTGCTAAAGACCCTACGCGCAAGCAAATTATTGAAATAAAATTGAATCATGCTAGTTCCAAAATGGCCTAGTTTGCATTGAGTGGACATTAAACCCCATTTCTCTCTCTCTCTCAGGAAATGATGTGAACACAGCTTTAGTTAATGTCTGTGTAACAAAGGAAGTTGATAATGAAACAGTAAAGATTAATGGTGTGTTGCTTTAACAAGTTAATCTATTTCTCCTTGTATTGTTATTGTCTTACGTTGATTCACGTTGATAACAAAAAGCTTTTTTGTTTCATGCTAAAAAGTAGTGAAAATGACATGTTAACCATCCTGGTTCATGGGGAGGTTTCTGTTTCAAATCTTAGTTAGCAAAGAGATCTTGGTTTAAAATCATGGTTCATTGGGAGGTTTCATTTCCAGATCTTGGGTTTACAGAGAGATATTGATTTAAAAATCCTGGTTCGCTGGTTGGTTTCAGTTTCAAATCTTGATTTCAAACTTTGGCGTCAAATCCTGATTCACCGGTTGGTTTCAGTTTCAATTCTCAGTTTCAAATCTTGGTTTCATTCATGGTTCACTGATTGGGTTCAGTTTGAATTCTTGGATCAATTTCAAATCTTGGTTTCATTCCATAGCCCTGTTTCACAAAAACTTAAATCTTCTTAAAATTGTCTTAAACCAAAATTTCATCTTAACTTAAGACAGATGGATTTCACAAAACGATTTTAAGCATTTTAGATAAAATCCATTAAAATAATATTTTAAACATACATTATGCAAGAGATAAATCTGATTATTGCAAGTCTTTATTTAGGCTTCAGATGTCATAGAAATTATAAATTAGATCTTTATTTACACAACAAGCACAAAATCAACTCTGTAGACCCACGGATGGCTCGGATTCAGCTTGGATTTAAACAGAGATTTCATTGACTGATTTAATTTTAAATGGCGTCGTGAGCGGAGATTAACCGTTACATTGACGTCATACTCCCGGATCGAGGCTAAATGATAGAGTGTACGAAACGAGGCCGCTGTTGAGCGATGCCTTAACAAATGACATCTAAACTATTTAAAGTGCAATAAACTAAACACAGATAATGACAAATTATACAATTCCCGTAGACCGTGTGATGACTAATACAGACGGACAGGTCTTCTGTCTTAATAATATCAATAAAAATATTTCTATTTCCCCAATAGGCACGACGCAACTGGTGTATACCTATAGATTTATCATAATTGTATTATAATATTATGTCCTATATTCAATTGATTTAATGCATGCCCAAAATACAAGTTAGAATGAAAATTTACCCTCTCACTCATTTTGTCCAATTGTTATAAAAATCCAAAAAGGTAAAACACAAATTCAGATATGAGACAGCAGAGATTATGTAGGTGGGGTTAACGCCTGTCAATCAAATGATCGCCCATACAAAGAATCGTGAAGATGGAATTCAATCCCATTTCTAGTCAAAAATTACACTGGTGATAACTATGTTCAGAATAAAGTAATTTGACTGAAATTTTCAATATATTCTTCTTTCGTCATCTATTTTTGAACTGTTATAAAAATCTCCCATAATGTATCTTTAAGTTAAAATTTTGTCTTAACTTAAAATAGTGGTGTTTCACAAAAGTATTTTAGGGACAATTTTAGCTAAAATCAATTTTAACTTAGGACACCCTCTCCTAACAAAATGATTTTAAGCATTTTAGATAAAATCCAATAAAATAATATTTTAAGTTAAAATTTTATCTTAACTTAAAATAGTGGCATTTCACAAAAGTATTTTAAGTTCAACTTTAACTAAAATCAATTATAACTTAGGACACCCTCTCCTAACTTAAAATAATGACATTAACAAACATTGATTAGTCGAGCTGTGTTGTTAGATTTATTGCGACATATAGATATATTTGGAATAATGATAATATTGCCAATGGCCTGGGTTTCATAATTCTAACTTACTATCATTCACAAAAACAATTCTCATTCAATTTCTTTTCATAGCATGGGAAATATAGCTGCGGCCCAACCATTCACTGGTTGGTTTCTTCAGTTTCAACCCTTGGTTTCAAATCCTGATTTACTGGTTGATTTCAGTTTCAATTCTCAGTTTCAAATCTTGGTTTTATTCATGTTCATTGGTTGGTTTCAGTTTCAATTCTTGGTTTTATTCATGGTTCATTGGATGGTTTTAGTTTCAATTCTCAGTTTCAAATCTTGGTTTCATTCCTGGATGTAAAACCCCATGTACCTACCTTTAGCAGTGCACGTGTTTGGAAAACACATGTTTCTTTTTAATCTAACTGATATGTCAACATCTATAAATAGCAGATTAGAATTTTTTTTTCTGATACAACCTCATTTAACCTTTAAAATGATTCAATATTTTTTAACTCCTGACTGAATTTTGACATCTAGTTTATAATACAGCCATCTTTGATATTCTATAATCTGAATAAAATGTGACCTTTCAATGAGGGGACCTTGAAATGTTCTATCAAAAACACACACTTCCTCTAGGGGAAACATAATTTGCATAAATTGTTATTTTAGGAAAACCATAAATTAGAAGCTGAATGATGCATTGTTTTTACACACCTTGGGATATTATTTCCTTTGATCTCCCACGCATGTTATGAAATGTATCCACCTGTTGTGACGTCATCAGAGAGTGATATCTGATATCGGCCCTAGGGATGATATCAGATATCACCCTGTGATGACATCACAACAGGTTTACAGACTCTGCAATGAAAAAGGACCCAAATTCTCTCTTTTAACATTTTATTCACTTTTTTGTACATTGTTGTTAAACGATTTGGACAACGAACGTTACCAGGCCCATGTTACTTAGTTTCTTCATCTGACCACCCAATCTGATTAAAACACAGATCCAATTTCGTTTTGTTTTTATAGTTCAAAATTTCGATTTTACTTGTCTTTACTACACTTGGATCTGGAAGCGTTGTTATTTAACTCGTGTTCTGCTTGAAATGAAGGGTCAGCCAATCAAATGGTCTGTCGAATCGAGCGTTTGACCTTTTTTGCGAGGAACTGTGGGTAGACATTAGCGGCAATAGAAATCAAAACAAAGCAAAATTAGATAAAAAATACATGGCGGTCGCTAATTGGTTAATCGAATGACTGATGTAATCGGGTCAAAATGTCGCTTGCTTGGTACCTGACGTCAAAGAATGTGAACTCCCACTATAACTTGTTAAACCTATATGTAGTGTAGGCCATCGAAAGTATAAAAACGAAACGAAATATAGATCTATATTTTAATTAGATTGCTGACCACCAAGAACTTGTCTAAAACACAAATTCTGGATTGTTTAGTATATCCACAACAGTTTTATTCACAATCCGTAAATGTGAAACTTTTCCCATAACTAAATATGGAATTCGGTGGGTAATATTCATCATTTTATATTGCTTACTTCCAAGACGAATGTAGACATCTAAAAAATAAGATCTTATATCCTCATATCTTCCAGCGCACACAGGATTTTTCACTCGCTATCGTGTTTATTATTCCGCCACACTGACCAACTGTTAAAAAAGTTCACAGCCCACTGATTTCTGCGTAAGGTATTTATGGGCACGGCATATTGTTGGCACATTCACTGACGTCTTGTCACTTGCAATTGGTGGTGTTACGTTGACTCGGTAACATGCTGGTTCACTAATGTACATGTATTTGGCAGTATTATATCTTTTAATCAATATTAAAATATTTGCGAAAGAAAATTGTGACGACTTTTAGAATTAATAAAGGTGATTACTCTACCTGATACAATCTTCTGTACGTATATGTATACGTACTTGTAATTGAGATGGTGGGTGAGAATAAAGATGAGAAGTGGCCAATAATTATGGATGTAAAGCAAAAATATCCATATTAAAATATTTGCCAAAGAAAATTATGAGTGACGACTTTTAGAATTAATAAAAGCGATTACTGTACCTGATACAATCTTCTATACGTATCATCGGATGATGAGAAAGAATCTATTGGCTGAACCACGCCCAGTTTATTCAAATCATCAGTTACGTTATCTATAAGATGAAGTCGAGTGATATCTATGATATTATCTACCTGGGGATTTCGACTGAAATCCATGCCAGTAGCGTAACTGGCAAATCCTGTTAAATTCTCGGATCTTGTCACACCACTGTTGATGATCGGAGTAAAGTGTCTTGGATTAGTTCTAAAACAGACAAACAAAATATGGTTAAATCTATTTGTTAAGGCCAGCTCAATTTTTGTCAAGGTCGCTGAGATGTAAATAAGGTTAGGGCTCGAATGGTTAGCGTGTGCGCATTGAATTATAAGGTCTGTCATTGAGTCAACTGGCGTGGTTTCGATTCCCTAGTTGTACATGACAAGGAGTATGGTCGAATGTCCATCCTCGTGGGTTTTCCCTGGGTCCTTCGGTTCCCTCCAACTGCTAAAGACCCCCTACGCGCAAGCAAATTATTGAAATAAAATTGAATCATATGTTAGTCCCGAAATGACCTAGATTGTGTCGAGTGGATGCTAAACCCCATCTCTCACTCTTTTTTTTTACCTGATACCACTTCTCTTATGTTTCTAAAATGCCCCAAAAAGCACTAAACAATTTCCGTGTCACATGACTAGAAATTACCTCATTAGAGTTATCCTCCTCAACATTATTGACAGAATTGCAATCAAGTGATATGGAATTCACAGTTTTCCCTGAAACTTTCAGCTGTCATAATTGGTTGAGATATTTTATATGCAGTTGACACGTGCGTTGTACTCCGAAATTCTCCTGTCACTCGATTGACACTAATTTGGGAATTGAAATAATTTAATTCTGGAACGTTCAATTGAGTATCCTCTTGGTAAGCACGGAATTTTAAATTACTGTGCATAAAAATTACCTGATTCTGTCCGAGAATTTTGATAAGTTGGCTTTTTTAGCCGGACCCCATCTTCTAGGAGAGGCGTTTGGTGATGTAGTACATGGTCTCTTCTCACCATTTGAATGTTGTTTCTGAAATAAACAAGAGGACCAAGGGACTTAAAATACCAGTGTGTATGAGTACATGTATACTGAACAGGGCCTGATCTACCTCAGCAGACTGAAGCCTTGGGCGTCGAGATCTAGGGGTTCTCCGCCCAAGGTGTACAATATTTTTTATACTGCCGTAAGTCTTTCTTATACGCAAAGTTGTCTTAAACATCTGTCATCATCCTTGGCTTGGTTCAATTTTGTTTAAAACACTCTTCCATCTTGCTCTAGCCGTGAGGGTGGGGATTGGGAAGGATCTCATAAATTTTGCCTAGGGCCTCTTTTCAATTCACTCAACACAAAATGAAATGAAATGAGGTTTAACGTCCCACTGTTCTGCTCCTATGCTGGGGTAATGAAGACAAGCATACACCATACAGTGTGCTATGAGGGAAATTTTGCCCGGGCAGCGGCACTATCCCCTACTCTTATATCAAATTCCAACTGCCAAGGGATCTTTTACGTGCATTCCAATGTATACACAGGACCTCGGTTTTTCGTCTCATCTGAAGGACTAGACAGCTGTCCTTGTCAGGCCCTCCGTCCTGCATCACTGACAAGGGGGAACCACACCGTCACTCAACACAAACTAGGTCATATTGGGACTAACACATGGTTCAATCTTATTTCAATAATTCGCTTGCGCAGTGGGAAAAAAAAGGAGGACCCGGAGAAAACCCACGAGGTTGGACAGTTGATACAGAAAAGTAGGAAGTTTAGTTTAATATGCTATTTATGTGCACTACTGATAAATGATCTTAAACATAAAAGTATCCTATCTTTCAGACCATAACAAAATATTTTTATATCAGAATTTAATTGAACATCTTTTCATTGATTCAATTTAGGTGAAAATACTATTTACATATGGAACAAAACTTTTTTCCTAAAATATGAATAAATCTTAACCCCTGAACCTGAAATCATGTGGCTTATTAGCTCATTGGGCTATTATAAGCTATGTACGTACAACCACATATAGCCCTTGTGTAAATATGTCAATCTGTTTAAAATACAGATCTATATTTCGTTTCGTTTTATTTTATACTTTCGATGGCCTCTAATACATGAAGATCTGACCAGTTCGCATCAGAGGTCATCAAGCGGCTTTTGACCCTATGACGGCAGACATTTGATTAACCAATCAGCGTTGATGTTTCTATTAGGTTACCCACAGCTACCCGTGCACCTCACGTCAAAAACTTGCCGTAACAGACATTTCATTGGCTGATCCCTCGCATCATTTAGAACGTGGGTTGTATAAAAACTCTTCCAAAGACAAGTAAAACACAAAACAAAATAGGATCTGTGTTTTGATCAGATTGGTAAATATGCATGATGTTGATTAAAAATACATTATGCAAGAGCTAAATCTGTCTATTGCAGGTCTTTCGTTAGGCCTGAAATGTTATCTAAATTATTAATTAGACATTAATGAACTTATCCAGACCATAATCAACTCTAGATGGCATCGCTAGCCTGCGATCTTAAGTGGATTGTGAGCCGATTTATTGCAGAACTTTCCCTCTCGATTAAATTATTAAATGGATAATCAAGACTATGCTGTTTATCGTACTGACTTTAGTAATGATGACCGAGGCTAGGCAGAAATTTCATTCGCTTCGTTCTCGGTTCATAGTGAATCAATTTGAATGGAATTTTCAGCAAATTGCCTTTACGTTATCTAGTTTTTAACTATTATAGTGAGAATTGCCAACTCGTTATCGAATCTCCCACAATGTATCTTTAAGTATTTTGTTTATTATTTTGTTGTTTATTAACCTATTTCTTTCATACAAATCCTGTCTTCCTTATAAAAGTTGGAGCAGAACAGTAGGAAATGAAAATGAAATGAAATGGGGTTTAACGTCCTACTGTTCTGCTCCGAACTGGGCTAATGAAGACGGGCATACGCCATACAGTGTGCTATAAGGGAAATTTTGCCTGGACAGCGGCACTATGGCCTACTCTTACATCGAATTCCAGCTGTCAAGGGATCTTTTACGTGCACGCCAATATGTGCACGGGACCTCGGTTTTTCGTCCCATCCGAACGACTAGACAGCTGTCCTTGTCAGGCCCTCCGTCCTGCATCACTGACAAGGGGAAACCACGTCGGAAAATCTGGATGAACTTTCTCGGCCAATGCAGGGATCGAACACCCGACCTCCAGGCTAGCGAGCCAGCGTCTGACCCACTTAGCCACGTGATCCCCCAGAAGAGTAGGACATTAAAACCCATTTCTTCTTTTTCATATATAACCATATTCATTCTTGTATTTAGGAGAGAGGTCATATAGGACATTAAAGCCCATTTCGTCTTTTTCATATAATAACCATATTCATTCTTGTATGTAGGAGAGAGGTCATATAGGCTATGATTTTTCCTCAATCCCTTTCAATTTGTGATTAATAATATATTGTATAAAAAAAACAAGAAGCTTTGTGTAAATTGTTTAGTGGCATTTAGTAACTAGATGAGAATATATGGAATACAAGTTAATTGAAGGATTTATTCTTTGCTTGATAAATTCCAGAGAACTCTCCTTGAAACGTCGCTGAAATAAACCCTTCAAGTAACTTGTATTTCATATAATTGTGTCGTGTGTTAAACATACATTATGCAAGAGCTTTGCAGGTATTTCTTTAGGTCTGAAATGTTATCTAAATTATTAATTAGACATTAACAACCTTATCAAGACCATAATCAACTATCGATGTCATCGCTAGCCTACGATATTTATTGGATTAGGTTCTGATTTACTGTTCGACTTCCATTCATAATCTAATCATGAAATGGATAATCGAGACTATGTTTTTTATCATACCGACTTTAGTAATGATGATCAAGGCCAGGCTGAAAATTCAATCGCTAAAATCATGGTTCAGAGTGGATCAATGTGACTGAAATCTTTACATTCTCTAGTTTTTAACTATTATAGTGAGAACTGCCAGCTCTTTATCTAATCTCCTATAATGTATCTTTAAGCTCTGTGTTCTATGAATACAATACCTTAATAATTGGTTGTCCCACAAACCCTCTTTTATCTTCCTTTATTCTGAAGAGTTCAACCATTTGCTACAAAACATAAACAAACTTTTACTTCATTAAATAACACACATCACAGGCTCAAATGATTTCTTTTTTTATAAGAAATGACAATATGTTTTATTAAGGCCACAACATGAACCCTGACATTATATCATAGCATTGGAGAGAGAGAGAGAGAGAGAGAGAGAGAGAGAGAGAGAGAGAGGTCATTTCTGGACTAACATATGGTACAATTTATTCCAATAACAGAGTCAGACCTTATGCTCTTAAGCACACACGTTACACTACTGGCCATCCAATCCCCTAATGAAAACGAACATGTGTCATGCAGTGTGATATGATGACAATTTTTCCACCGTTTTTGGCTACTCAACTAAGTCGAATTGCCAGTGGCACAGTTTTCTTTTACACTCAAGCCCTTGTCTAAATGGGATCTCAAGTTTTCTTTGCATCCAAAACAAATCCAGGAACCTGTTAATGGAAGGCCATTTGATCCTGTACCACAGGGGAAACCAGGCTGGAAATCTTGAAGAATTTTCTTGGCTGATACCATGGCTTCGAAGATGATGTATATAATAAAATGATAAATAATTCAGTGCTTTCTATCTACATTTTTTGCAATGGATAAAAGTGAGTGTACAATGTTTCGTCCACAGAGGTTTTTAACCCGACAAATTAGCTGCTATTAGCACCAGCTAGTGAGTATTCAACCTATCATACAAATAAGCTGCTATTAGCACCAGCTAACGAGTATTCAACCTATCATACCGGTAACTTTAACCTCTGGTGACCTAAACCTCTAGTACTAGCTGGTCTTAACACTGGTGACCTAAACCTCTAGTACTAGCTGGTCTTAACACTGGTGACCTAAACCTCTAGTACTAGCTGGTCTTAACACTGGTGACCTAAACCTCTAGTACTAGCTGGCCTTAACCTCTGGTGACCTAAACCTCTAGTACTAGCTGGCCTTAACCCTGGTGACCGAAAACTCTAGTACTAGCTGACCTTAACCTCTGGTGACCTAAACCTCTAGTAATAGCTGCCCGTAACCTATGGTGACCTTAATCTCTGTGCCCTTAACCTCTGGTGACCTTAACCTCTGTAGTCAAAACATAAGTCTACAGATAAAAGCTGAGCTTAAGATGAAACAACAAAGAAGCTCGATATAAATACAGAGGAATTTAAGCAGGGTTGACAGAATAGCAAGAAGTGCAAATATACTTTTTCTTATGATCAATAAAATATCAAGCAATAACAGAAATATTACATTAAATGGATGGCTGAATGGTTAGCTCATGCGCGCTGTATCATAAAGTCTGTCATTGAGTCGACTGGCCTGGTTTCGTATCCCTGGTTGTACGTGGCAAGGAGTAGGGTCACCTGTCCAACCTCGTGGGTTTTCTCCGGGGCCTCCGGTTTCCTCCCACTGCTAAAGACCCCTAAGCGCAAGCGAATTATGTAAATAAAATTAAACCATATGTTAGTCCCGAAATGACCTAGTTTGTGTTGAGTGGACTTTAAACCCCATTTCTCTCTCTCTCTTTTTGATATAGGGGTGTGGAGAGGAGAATTTTTCATTTCAGCTGTGTTGAACATGCTAAAGTCATATGAAATATGTGTGACAGTGGTTGGGCATTATGATTATGATAATTGAATTCAACTGTCAAGGTTTCTTTCATGTGCATGTGAACGTGCACGGCTACGAACGACTATCTGCTGTTCCTTGCCAGACCCTTGGTCCTGCACAATGGACATGGGGGAAACCATGCTGAGAAATCCCAGTTAACGTTCTCAGCCAACAGTAGGATCAAAACCTGAATAAATGAAATGAAATGGGGCTCAAAGTCCTACTGCTCTACTCCTAAACTGGGCTAATGAAGACAGGCATACGTCAAACAGTGTACTATGAGGGCAATTTTGCCTGGGCAACGGCACTATGGCCTGCTCTTATATCGAATTCCAAATGCCACGGGATCTTTCAAGTGCATGCCAATAAAGGACCTTGGTTTTTCATACCATCCGAACGACTAGACAGCTGTCCTTGTTCGGCCCTCCGTCCTGCAACACTGACAAGGGGAAACCATGTCGGAAAATCTTGATGAACTTTCTCGACCAATATATATATATCACAGATCATGGAACCACTTGATTATATATAACAATACAACTATACAATGGGCCAGAGTAACTTCAAATCTGCCTAAAGCATAGGAAGGGGGATAACTCCAAAATGTATGCATCTAATAGTTTTGTAATTTAAATTTCACCAACAAGTAATGTTTTTTGTAATGGAGAAATGTTGAAGAATAATCACAAATCACTTCTTGTCAGTTCAGTTCAAAAGTTAATTTACAGGCAGTAGGAGGTGAATGTTTTCCACCACAGACAGAGCAACATACAGCCATATCTTACTCCAAAGTGTGTATGAGGTTGACCATTGAAATTTTGATATATACAAATATGAAGTTACTTTCTGTAAACCAGGCCCATAGCGAACCGGGGGCAAGAGGGGCACATTGGTCATTGGCTTTGTATTGCGTCCAATGGAAAGGATGATTGGCGCCCATTGGGGGAACCAATTCCTGGGGAGGCAGCTGTCCCTCTTGCCCCCTGCTAGCTACGGGCCTGAATACAGTTCAATGTAACCAACTTTTTTATCCTTCCGCCTCTGAACCATGAATATTCAGCAACATCTGCAAAAATATGTCAATTCAAACTCTCTTTGATTCAAGACCAAAAAGTCAAACAAAATGGCCATGCAAGAGAGAAGAAAATGGAGAGAGAAAGCGATCAAAAATAGAAGCAGCTACATTGGTGGGTAGTGAGATATGGAAAGTAATTTGTGGTCTGCATCCAGTAACAGGGGAAAAAACGTTATAAACAATGATTTTGTTTTATTTCTTTATCCAACTCAGATATTTTTACGTATACCATGGTGACAACATCGTATAGACAGACATAAATACATACATGAATAATGAATTTAATTTGTAAAGTTTCTACCTATTATTAAAAATGTCTGACAGTCGTGGAAGTTTGGACATAATTGAGTTCTGTAAAATGATATAAATTAGTTTTAGCCTCATTTTTAGGAGCAATTTATGCGACCTTGTCACCAGAAAAGCTCTTTTTTGAGTCCTGTTGTCAAAAGTTTATGAAATGATTTAAACTACATGTAGTTTAAGTCTCGTTTTTAGGAGCAATTTTTGTGACCTTGGGACAGAAAAACTTAGAGAAGTGGGCTATAGAAAAGGGCAAAAGATGAGGGCTATAGAAAAGGGCTATAGAAGTGGGCTATAGAAGAGGAGAGTTGTGCTGAGCGATAGAAGTGGGCTGTGCTGCTGAGCAATAGATATTTTTAGCACCCCTACCTTCTTCTCAGTATAACTAGCAGGTTCCTAGTAAATATAAAATAAAATGAAATAAAATGGGGTTTACTGTCCTACTATTCTGCTCCGACTGGGCTGATGAAGATGGGCATACACCATACTATGTGCTATGGGGTAAATTTTGCTTGGACAGCGGCACTATGGCCTACTCTTATATCGAATGGGTTCTTCCATGTACAAGCCAATGTGTACATGGAACCTCAGTTTTTTTGTCCCATCTGAATGACTACACATTGTCCCTTGCCGGGCTCTCTGTCTTGAACCACTGATAAGGGGAGACCATCCCGGAAACAGATGTAAAACCAGTAAATAAAGAAACGAAAAGTAGGCAGCCCTTTCACTTGATTCGAGTTCAAATCTGTGGCATTATTTTAGTGCCAAGCCAATGAATGGACAACACTCCGAATAAGGCCTTAGATCCCAACTTCTAGACTACCAAGTTTAAGTTTTATGAATAAGGTCCTGGATCCCAACAGCTGGACTACCAAGTTTAAGTTTTATGAATAAGGCCCTGGATCCCAACAGCTGGACTACCAAGTTTAAGTTTTATGAAAAAGGCCCTGGATCCCAACAGCTGGACTACCAAGACTGCCCCTGATATATGAAAGAGAGAGAGTTAAATATGGTGTTTAACGTCCACGCAACACAAACTATGTAAATACACTTACGAGGAAATGGAGAAGACAGATTAAATCTACGAGGTTAGACAGGCAAAGCCTACTTCTAGTCAAATACAAGCCTGGGATCGAAACCAAACCACTTGACTCAATGACAGACCTTTTGATCTAAAACACACATGTTAGAACAAACCCACCCCCACACCTCCTCCTGATATAAAACACTATATACCCCCATACCCCCTTTGTCTGCGATATCACCTCGTTGGAAGCGGACGTAAAATACAACTAACACACACACATACCATACCCCCTCCTGATATAAAACACTAATCCACCCCCGACACCCTTTCCTGATATAAAACACTAACCCACCCCTACACACCCTCCTGACATAAAACAATAACCAACCCCCACACCTCCTCCTGATATAAAACAATACTTACGTATCTCCTTTCTTCTACTGGTGTTCGTACTCTATAGGATAAACCTGCCCGACCCCGAGCCAGGGGTGGAATACCTGATCGTTGTTTAGGTGGATTGGAATTACCTTCCTGTTGTAAACAAAAATTATATAATATTAGTTGACATCATCGAGTAACTTTTAAGGTGGATTTCAGCTGTACCATCAAATCAATACAACATTATACAAGAGCTAAATCTGCCTATTGCAAGTCTTTCTTTAGGCCTGAAATATTATCTAAATTATTAATCAGACATTAATCTAGACCATAATCAACACTAGACGTCATCGCTAGCCTGTGATATTTACTGGATTAGGATCTGATCTGCTGCTCTACGCTCATTCATGATTAAATCAAGAAATGGGTAATCAAGAGTATATATTTTATCGTACCGACTTTAGTAATGATGATCGAGACTAGGCCTAAAATTCAATCGCTAAATTCTCGGTTCACAGTGGATCAATTTGACTGAAATTTTCAGCATGTTCCTTTTACATTATCTAGTTTTTAACTATTATAGTGAGAACTGCCAGCCCTTTATCTTGTGTCCCATAGTGTATTATTAATTATGATAAACAGATATAATAGAAGAGGTTTCGCAACTTTACATTTACACTTACATTTATATTTGGACGGTTAAATGTCATCAGTTTTTGTGACATATGACGTGAAGCGTATGACGTGAACTGCACGTCATAAAGGTGTGTCCGACGGATAGCAGCCTCCATAACTGTAAGTTCACAACACTTAGCTAAACCTTGTTTAATTTCTATAATCCAGTCCGTAACTTTTCTCACGAATGAAATCCACAGAGAAGACCTTCTCCTTCATGTAGATAAAATAAGAAGAGGCTATGACAAAATATGTGTGTGTTTTATTAATCTCATCTTTAACTATCTATCCGTGATGAAGGCCTATTGAGATCGTGAGCCAAGTTTGTGTCGCCACCTACTGAGTGTAACTGTGGGTGTGAATTTAGCGAAACGTCTTAATGTACAATTTTCCTTAAACTTATCTAAATGTAAGTGTAACTGTTAAGTTGCAAAACCTCTCTAATGTCTGCATGCAAATAAGCCACTTGTCAGGTTCCATTCTTCTGGTGCCTATCATTTTGTCAGTCACCGATGTGTCTTTTTTCACTGTTTTTATTGATATTTGTAATTTTGTAATCCATGATCTATGCTACGTTCCCACTATCACAATGCATGCTACGATTAAAATCGTGGTTTTAATTGTGGTGACCCTATCAGATCTTATCATATATTGAGGTCAGTCGTAGCAATCTTGTTGATCGTATCGCAACGTATCTGAATGTATCTGAACTTAACAGATCGTGGACTCAATGGGGACAATCCTATCATAACACATTGCACCACAGTGGGAACCTAGTATTACACAAAGTTAACAATGTCAGGTATAACTTCAGTAACGTTATTTCCAGGCCTAGACGTCTATTTGTCTTTCTATGAACAGCATCAGTTGAAAGAGGGAGAGAAATGGAGTTTAACGTCCACTCGACACAAACAAGGTCATTTCGGGACTAATACATGGTTCAATTTTATTTCAATAATTTGCTTGCGCGTAAGGGTCTTTAGCAGTGGGAGGAAACCGGAGGACCCGAAGAAAACCCACGAGGTTGAACAGGCGACCCTACTCCTTGTCACGTACAACCGGGGAATCGAAACCACAGCAGTTGACTCAATGACAGACCGTAGGATACAGCGTGCACGTCCTAATAGCATCAGTTGAGGTTCATTTTAAGATTTAAAGTGCTCAAGTGTAAGGGGGAGTATTAGGGCTTTACCTGTATCCTAGAGACGGGGATAGTAATTGTATTTTCTATTGAGCATAACCCCTTAGTGATGAGGATAAGTCAACGACTGCTTCTAACTTAGTATGGTGAGGATTGGAATTATGAACCAGAGGGCCTGACAGGACGAAGAGGGGGGGGGGGGGGAATGGCTGGTAGTCCACCTGCAGAGGAGGGGTTGGATGGCTGACTGAATGTTTTAGCACAATCCTGAGTGGTGTCGATAAGTAGACGACTGCTTTTAACAGGATTTGAATTATAGAGAGGGTCCTCATGATCCTCCTGCAGAAGATTTAAAAGATTTAATTTTCCTGTAATTAGCTGCTCGAGTGAACATTAAATTCGTCATCTATACCTGGACTGAGCAGGGGGGCTGATAAGCAGGGGTTCTAGAGTCTTTCTGTAGAATATTTTAAAAATATGACCAAAATGTGGTATCTTATTTTTCATTTATTTTTATCATCCACATATATAACAATTTAATTGCTTATATAGCACAACAGAATTCAGTTAATCCCTGCTCTAAGATGTATAACATATATGTGGATGACAAAAATAATAGGGCTCTAAATTGATAGTTAAACTGGTCATCTTTACCTGCACTGTGTATTATGGGAAGGTAAATTTATATACTTACTAGACCAAGGTAAATCCCTGTAACATTTTTAGATGGTAATTGACGAGAAGGCGCACCAGTAGATGTTAAATGCATTATGTTGTTATTCTATTACTCTACACTAATAATTATAGTTGTCTCAACTCTTTCACATCTTCTCCTCCTACAAATATAAACTTCTTCTTTGATTGGCATGTAGTAATTAAACATATTAAAGATAGGTTCCCGCGTACAAACTGGGTGATTTAATGGTATATATGGACCAAAAACATATTCAAACTAATTAATTTGTCATAATTATGCTTCAAATCCTTCTCAAACATTGTAATTGCGAAGGAATGCCCTGCTATTAAAATTCGATCAAACCAGGTCATGTTTACGTCACGTCTTTGGAGTCAGAGGAGAATTCATTGCATACATAAGACGATGTTGTCTTTAATCGCTTACTATTTATTACAAATATCGAATCCTAATTAAATTCTCGGATTATCCACTACCCGCGTCTTTTTCCGTCATTTTTATCTCGGAAAGTATTGTACGTCTAACTCTTCATAAAGTTTATCAACTTGTACATTAAGCGCTCTATGCTCACTTGTGACCTTTGACACCACGCGTGCAGAAGTTCCTAATCGTCGGGCTGTTGATTAGGGGAACCCTTACATTTTTGTCTTGTAAACACTCCATGAATGTTTTTCGGGGAATCCAGTATTTTTCTAGTAAGATTGGATATCTCTACTTTCCATATATACCAAAATTGCCATACTTTTATTGGAAATAACCACACGATAAATACTTTTCTGGGAACCCATCTTTAACACAAATATGTTCAATTACTAAATTGCTCATGTGTAAAGGGGGGTAATCAGGTTTTACCTGTATCCTAGAGACGGGGATATTTAACACAGGGTACAATTTTATGGATACACAATTACTGGGTTTAATATTAAGCGACGTTTCGACGAGGATACTCTTGTCTTTCCATTTGCTTGATAAAGACGAGAGTATTTTCATCGAAACGTCGCTTAGTATTAAACTCAGTAATTGTGTATCCATAAAATTGTACCTTGTGTTAAATATAAACTTTCTTATTAAAACATCTGTGTTGCATTTTATCTTCCAGTCTGATTAAAATACAGATCTATATTTCGTTTCTTTTTTTTAAACTTTCGATGGTCTACACAACATGAAGATGTTTCCAGTTTCAGTAAAGGCCTTTACTACATGAAGATCTGACCAGTTGTAGTGGGAGGTCGCGTCAGAAGTCGTACAAACGGATTTTGACCTTATGACGTCAGACATTGATTAATCAATCAGCGTTGATGTTTTGAGTGGTTAACCCACAGTTCCGTGCATCATGTGCCAAATACTCGCCGTAACAGATGGCTTCATTGGTTAATCCCTCACGTCATCCAGAACGCAGGTTATATAACAACTCTTCCAAATCTTATGTAGTACAGACAAATAAAAGAAAATTTTGAACTGTATAAAACGAAACAAAATAGGATCTGTGTTTTAATCAGATTGGTGACCTTCTACAATGTACCTTCGTAAGTCCAAGTCTAAACCAATACACAAACATTGATGACGGTTGTGCACATGACAGGGAATCCTTACTCTCTTTTTAGAGAAGTTAAAGTTGCTGATCCCAAACATGTATTTTACGGAAAATATCATATTTTCCACGGCTTAAACATGTTATGGGAGAGACAAATCTGCCTACCGAAGATCTTTCTTTAGGCCTGAAATGTTATCTTAATTATTAATTAGACATTAATTATTTTATCCAGACCATATTCTACTCTCGATGCCCAGGCCCGTAACTGGGGCGGTGGTAGGAGGGGCAAAGCCCCCCCCCTTGCAAAAATTTCGCCCCCCCCCCACCTGCAAAAGTTTCGCCCCCGACCAAAATTCAAAAGCTAGTATCTCAGTTCAGATTGGAGCTATTTGACTGAAATTTTCAGCATATTCTATATATGTTATCTATTTTTTTTAACTATTATAGCGAGAACCGTTAATTCTTTATCTAATCTCCCATAATGCCCCTTTAATCCAACGCTAAAATCTACTTAAACTGATTATTCTAAAATAATATACTTAATCATGCATTATGTAACGGCACGTGTTTTCAAGACAATATCTAATTTTTCACGGCTTGATCCATGCTAAAATATTCCCAAATTGATTATTTAACATTTAATTAGGAAAACAACAATCAATAGATCAAATCAAGGGTAGATAACTTCACAGGATTAAAAAGCCGCCCATCAAAAGATTTCAGCGAAACTCATATGTGGCACTTGCTTGTGTTGAATACAGCCAATATGGAAATGAAATGAAATGGGGGTTTAACGTCCTACTGTTCTGCTCCGGCTGGGCTAATGAAGACGGGCATACGTCATAGAGTGTATTATGTGGGAAATTTTGCCTGGACAGCGACACTATGGGCTACTCTTACATCGAATTCCAGCTGCCAAGGGATCTTTTACATGCACGCAATGTATACATGGGACCTCGGTTTTTCGTCTCATCTGAATGACTAGACAGCTGTTTCCGTCCTGTACCAATGACAAGGGGAAACCAATGACAAGGGGAAACCACGTCGGAAAATCCTGATGAACTTTCTCGGCCAATGCAGGGAACGAACACAGGACCTCCAGGCTAGCGAGCCAGCGTCTTACCCACTTACCCACCGTGGCTCCCAGCCAATTTAGATGTCTGCAGTAGAAAATGATGTTCAATTCATGATCATATCTTTGAAGACACTGAATGAAGTGGAATCATTTTTGGACTGATATTTCATTTAAAAGATTCAACATTCTCAGCATTGTAGCTTGCAAGGATTCAAAATCACACAAATGATTAGTCTCTATCATCCAGAGAAATATTCTACGAACAATAGTCTGGTCTGGATGCGTTGTCAACATTTGAGAATTATAGGTCATTGGCTAGATTAGCCTTGAAGACCAGGAGGTTCTGGGTGACCGAGACTATCAAGTGATGAGAAGAGATTTTAATCTTCATGTATTGCTTAAATTTGACCGATTTTGAATTTTGAAATTTTATGATTGTTTGTACTTGTTGTTAAAAATACATTATGGGAGATTAGATAAAGAGCTGGCAGTTCTCACTATAATAGTTAAAAACTAGATAATGTAAAGGCAATTTGCTGAAAATTTCAGTCAAATTGACCCACCCTGAACTGAGTATTTAGCGATTGAATTTTGGGTCTAGCCCCGATCATCATTACTAAAGTCGGTACGATAAAAAACAGTCTCTATTATCCACTTTAGGATTTAATCAGAAGCAGCAGACCAGAGTTGACTATGGTCTGGATAAGTTAAGTAATGTCTAATTAATAATTTAGATAACATTTCAGGTCTAAAGAAAGACTTGTAATAGACAGATTTAGCTCTTACATAATGTATGATTAATATTTCAGAATTCAAATATTTGATATTCAGGAAATTCTCAATAATGCACTTGAAGTCTTCTGCGTTAATGGCTGGTTATTCACATTAATGAATATTTTAGATAATATATTTTTTAATGTTGAAATAATAAGTGTTCTTGGTAATATGTCGATCACACCTTTATATTGATGACTTCTGGATATAGACAACAACAACCAAGCTTTTGACACTGGGTGTTCACAAATAGATTTGATCTAATTTTTAGCCTCGCTTCAGAGGTGTACGGGTGAGTTAGTTGTATATTATGTCCGCTTCAACCGAGGTGATATCGCTGACAGTGCTTCAGAGGAGCAATTTATACGATTTATAAGAAAAGCTACAGAGGGGACTAAAGATTTTTAAGGGAGAGGGGGGGAGGGGGACCTATAAGGGTTGGTATAGGCTGGGTGATGCTGGGTGATGTTGATGAAAGAAACTAATAAAGCAGGGGCATGTTGACCCATGATTTTGCATAAGGAACAAGATCCTATATGTGCAGGGAAGGGGAAGGTCCCTCCCAGTGCCGCCAAGTAATATTGGGCTCTGTGGAACATGCAAGAGTCGATTTGTAGCATATCTGACCCACGGTATAAGTTTGGCACTGGTTGAGAATTATGATTATGATTATAATTTTGAAAACCGCATGATTTTTGCCATTTGCGAGCGAGTGGCCGCAAAAACTCAAGGGGGCGCAAAAATTCAAAACCATGACGCAAAGCGTGTCATTGCTCCCTCTCCTCTCACTTAGCCCCTGTAATAAAGTGGAGGATCCTTCTGTGTCTAGTAAAAGAATAATGGACGAAAGAATGATGATGCTACTCGGCTATTCCTACCCCACCCCCCTCACCTGAACTGGGTCCTAAATGGGAAATCAACGTGGCACCTTTCCCCAGCTGCACCTCATACTCCCTCGCTCTAGACCTATATTTTAAATATATGCTCTTTTTTTTGGATTAAAATAGATATTTGTCATTCAATTTAAGCTACTTAAATTTAAGCTGGCGATTTTCAGGGGACAACACTCTATTTATATTTATATACATATATATAGGGATTATTTTCTGATTAATAAAACTATTATTAGTGGGTTAAGGCGTTTTGTACGTCTAATATATCCACGCACTCTTAAAAAAAATATACATGCAATACAGTCAATTTGTACGACACTTGATACAACAAATGTATACAAATGTATTCTATATTCATGTGTGCTATGCGTTTAGTTAGTTCTGCCCTATTTAAGCTACCACGCACTTTGCATAACTTCCTTGACAAGAAATGACAGGTCTGAGATGTCAACTATGGTTAATGTGTTACCTGTCGCCGTATCCTGTTATTATTACAATACACACATCAATAAAATTCACAGTTATTCCTCGTGCTATAAACAATCCAACGTACGTTCTATCCCAGCTAGTGAGCTTCGCGCAGATTAGAGCAAGATGACGTCAGCTAGCAACAGACACGCGCTTAAGTTTTCAGCATAGTAGTGAAGAGATCTCTCTATCTGTTTACTATCAATAAAATTTGTTTGTAATCCCTTATTAAAGCCACAGGGGAAAACCGTTTTTTATTTAGCCGCCATTTAAATTACGATGAGCTTCGGCCTAATGAACATGTCCCGTTTTCGTGTGTGGGTTTTTTTTTTCCAGAGAAAAATATATTGTTTATTTTGTGGCCATTAGATCATGGTTTAAAATATACCGCTTGCTACGTTTTTATTTATCTTGTCATAGTTTATTTAAAGGGACTAGCTATCCCAATTTGAACAGAGTCCCAAAAATAAAAGTCCGTCTACGTATGAAATTTATGCGCCAAAATATAGAGGAATGGTGTATTTACCTTGTCTTAAAATTTCAGCGCAAAATATTGAGTCGTTTGGACGTGAACGCCAAAACCGCTTATCCGGACACGTAACCCTTTTAAGATTTCGGGTCATTTGTTTCCTTGGGTGACCTGATAATCTATCGATTGTAGTTCCTTTGGAGGTCTATACAGTGCATGACCCAAGTGATGTGTTCGATAACGAAAGGTAATTTTCACTTAAACGCGTTATTTTTATGAAATAAAAGTCTGGTTTTATCCTGACAGCGTATAATAAAGCTTGGGACACCGGACTCCATTTCTAGATGAAGACTGGCGGGTTGTTTGAAAACGTATATTGAGTTAGTTGCTCGATCCTAAAGGGTTTTAAGAGTTTTTAACACAATATTAAGCAGCAGGCCCGTAACTAGGGGGGCGCGGGGCGAAGCCCCCCCTGCAAAAAGTTTCGCCCCCCTGTGAAAAAATTTCCGACCATAAAAAAAATAGATATACATTGTCCATCAATATTACTGCCCCCCTGAGAACACTTCCCGCCCCCCTCCTTGCTCTGAGCTAGTTACGGCCCTGTAAAGCAGTTTTATTCCCCAAAATATAATCGAGATTGGTCAATTAATGATGAAGTTGACAAACCATGAATAGTGTTTTATTATTGAAACCTTCCATAACCTTCAGGAAGACGGTCTTTATTTTTCTGGTCAATCTTTATTTTTACGGAAGAGGTTAAATAAGTAGAAGGCTTGATTCTGTAGACATATGGGCTGAGGGGCCATCAAACTTTTTGTGAAAGTGAAAAAATATATTGCTCTTTTAGTCTTTATTCGGCAAAATAAAGTACCCGAAATCCAGTGCGCCAATTATGTCTAATGCAAATATTTCTGCGCGACCATTATCTGTTTTAAAATTTTACAGGAACAGAAATTTCTTTACCAAATGGATTAAAATTTTAATATTTGGGACCTAGAAATGGACACAAATGGGTCGCAACGCATATAATAATGTAATATGATTGTATATAAACTGATTTACATTCAATCTTTTCCGTTTTCACTCTGATTTTAAATCAGTTATGTTCGGCGAAATATGCCAGAAGTCTCAATCCAATGGCAATCTCTAGCGTCTGGTTATTTCAGTCTACACTGATAGCATTTATTGCGCATGCTCTCCAGATAAGAATGTGAAGTCACCGTTTGACATGACTTGTGGAATATGTCTAGCCTCGTTCTTCGAGTCCTGTGTTACAAATGGCGCTGAAACGCATTATGATACACGATTCGAGTACCAATGGTAAAATGTTTATTTTGTCTTAATTACTGGATATCAGAAGCCCATCTTTTCCCGGTAAGATCACAACATCAATGTTGATATAAATTGACAAATAATTCGTGTTTTCAATGTCAAAGACTTTGGATGATACTGAGTTAGAGACTTAGTGAAAAAATTATTTTGGTCTCTAGTCGGCAAAATAAACTACCGGTACCCGAAATCCAGTACGCCAATTATGTCTATTGCAAATATTTCTGTGCGACCATTATTTGTTCTACAATTTTACGGGAATAGAAATATCATTACCATGAACTAATGGATTACAATTTTAAATGGTTAAAATCAGTGAATAATAAACATTGTCCATATATCACCACAATTTTTTTTTTTCGGGCATTGATTATTGTATGTTTCATCATTTTTACGGGAAGTGAAATTATGTCTGTTGAATGCAACTGCACAGTCTAATTGGAAATGAAATGAAAGGGGGTTTAACGTCCTAATGTTCTGGATTGACCAATGTTCTTCGGGATTCGGTTGCAAATATTGGACCACTTTCTAGTTGTAATCAGGGGCGCTGGAACCCGGGTACCAGGGTATACAAATGGTACCCTGCCCTTTTATGGGGTATACATGTATACCCATGCCCTAATGATGAAAGTTTTCAACCTTTCTACTAGTCTATTCATTTTTAAATGATAGATATGTAATTGCTCTCTGGTCGGTCGCGAACCGGCTCTCGCATTAATCAGGCTTTTGTCTCTTTCATTATCATTTATTTTAAAGGGTTTTATGTTGGAATTTGGAATGCTAGAGGCGCTCTAAACAGCGTTCTCGGAATTGACAAATTTCAAAATTTTCTAGAGGCCAGGGGGTGAACCCCCCCCCCCCCCCCCGATACCCCCCTATCTTTTGGTACCCTGGCCCTCGCGCTGTTCCGGTGCCCCTGGATGTAATCATGGGCTAACAGAGTACAGAAAAATGCGTAAATGCGTTTGTGGTCGCCCAAACAGAAATTTTGTCTGGAATTGGTACGGAAAAGTAGGACGTTAAATTAAACCCTTTTTTGTTCATTATATTTACATAATAAAAACACCAGGACAATTTAAATGGAATACGTTTTCAAGCTCAACGGCTAATACTTTCCTGAGATATATAGGCTACATTTTAAGACTATGCCCGTATTATTGTGATTTTCACGGAGTTCAGAACATTTGAAATAATTAGGCGTATGGTGGTTTTGAATACGATTTTGTTTAGAACTAAAATGGAATGGAGTTTAACGTATCTTAGGATTATTATCTTGATGAATTTGAAACTCGACTTGCAAATTGAAAGTTAAAACGTACGTGGTTTCACAGATTTAATCTAATATAACCATGATCAATATAACCGTATTTTTAAAGGGCCCATCTCAATTATATTTTGGAGCATAAAACTGCTTAATTTTTTGTTAAAAGCCCTTATAATCCTCTACTTCGGGGCCGAGCAACTAACTCGCGATACGTTTTTAAACAACTTAAATCCGTCAGTCTTCATCTGGAAATGGAAACTGGTGTCCTAAGCTGTATTATAATGTGTCTGGATAAAACCAGACTTTTATTTTATAAAAATAACGTGTAGGTAAAATTTACCTTTCAGTATCAAGTCAATCAAGTACAGCACGTGGGTCATTCACTGTATATACCTCTAAAGGAACGGCGATAGATTATCAGGTCACCCAACGAAAAAATTGACCCGAAATCTTAAAAGGGTTACGTGTCCGGATAAGCGGTTTTGACGTTGCCGTCCAAACGATTCAATAATTTGAGCTGAAATTTTGTGTGGCGCTTAAATTTCATACGTACACGGACTATTATTTCAGAGACTTTGTTAACATTGGGATGGTCCCTTTAAATCATAGCTAACTGACAATTATTCTTTAGCAAAGATCCCCAAAGCTCTTATTGATCTTTAATGCAAACAGAAACGTGGTAATTGGTTAGACTAGGATGTATAGCTGTCGCATTTCATCAATTTAAATTGGCCAAATCTTGCAGAAAACTCGCAGTACCATCATCAAGACTTGATATATGATAAGACCTATATAACGAGTGTATATTTAAAATAGGGCCTGCAATTTATTTTGCGAGAAAACAACGAACTTGTGCAATCGATGCTATTAGGACGTGCACGCTGTATCCTACGGTCTGTCATTGAGTCAACTGGCCGGATTTCGATTCCCCGGTTGTACGTGACAAGGAGTAGGGTCGCCTGTCCAACCTCGTGGGTTTTCTCCGGGTCCTCCGGTTTCCTCCCACTGCTAAAGACCCCTACGCGCAAGCGAATTATTGAAATAAAAATGAACTGTGTGTTAGTCCCAAAATGACCTAGTTTGTTTCGAGTGGACGTTAAACCACATCTCTCGCTCTCTCTCTCTCTCTCTTACCAAGAGAACTCGATTTCGATCACAGTAATGGCCTAGACAGTTTCTCGGGATTTCCCCTTGACTGTGTCGGAGCGGAGCGCCTGGCAAGAAACAGTGCTATAGCTAGTCCTTCGGATGTTACACAAAACTTGGCCTAGTGTACACGCTGGAATGCGCGTAAATAAAGCATTGACAAATGGAATTCGATGAAGACTAGTCTGCCTCATCATAGCACACTGGACGGGTCACCCAAATCAGATTGAAGTATTGGGGTCACGGTGGCTAAGTGGGTAAGACGCTGGCTCGCTATATAGCCTAGAGGTCGATCGGGTACGTGTTCGATCGATGCATTAATTGGCCGAGAAAGTTCCTCCAGATTTTCCGGCGTGGTTCCCCCTTGTCAGTGATGCAGGATGGAGGGCCTGACAAGGACAGCTGTCTAGTCGTTTGGATGGGACGAAAACCGAGGTCCCGTATACTAACATTGGCGTGCACATAAAAGATCCCTTGACAGTTGGAATTCGATATAAGAGTAGGCCGTAGTGCCGCTGTCCGGGCAAAATTTTCCCCATAGCACACCGTATGGCGTATGCCCGTCTTCATTAGCCTAGTTCGGAGCAGAAGAGTAGGACGTTAAACCTCATTTCATTTCATTTCTCTTTACAATGTCCCTTTAATGTGCGTAAAACAGAGTTACTTCCCTTATCATAAACTGATTCTGCGACATCATAAACATTTCTATTGATCTATTCAGTATAACAATAAATAGGGATCGACCAAAGGTGATATACCGATTTATACATTGGTTATAACATGTCAAAACAACCATAAAGTACGGTCGTTGATCATTTCGTGCCATCTTTATCCATGGACCTTACAGTTAGTATGCCATGGTACCGTAAGACCGGTACTTATAAGTTTTCTGTTAGTTTATTGAAATTTTAATATGTTGAATTAGCGGTTGGTAGACTTCCTAACTTTTATTTCTCTGTATCTCACATCTGATTTAATCAGAATACATTGCTGCAGGCATTGCAGTTAATTGGTTTTCATACAGGCCTATGCCGCTGCCCTGGCAAAATTCTCCATCACACTATTCACACTGAACACCATTATCTGAGATCTGAAAAATGATTTGAGATATTCATATTGACTGTTTTTGATATTTCACGTGTGATGGAGAATTTTGCCAGGTCAGTGGCATAGGCCTGTATGAAGACCAAATTGCAATGCAGTAATGCATTCTGATTAAATTAGATGTAAGTAAGTAGGCCTAAGTAAGTAAGTAAATTTTATTGCATAAAAATGCCCACGAGGAGCAGCATACTATTACAAAAATTACATAAATACAATACAACAAATATTCATGTAACAAATAAACGAACATTAATACAATGCAACAAATATACATGTAGCAAATGTGAGATAGGCCTACCGGTACAGAGAAATATGAGTTTATAGCTTACAAAATATTCTAATGTTTTATTTTAAAAATCTTGACATTGACATACTTCAAAGTTTATTCCACCTTATCTGTGATGCAGGACAGCTGTCTAGTCGTTAGGATGGTACGAAAAAACAAGGTCCCATGTGTGTACGTAAAAGATATAAGAATTTGATATAAGATTAGGCCGTATTGCCGCTGTCCTGGCAAAATTTCCCTCATCATAGCACACTGTATGGTGTATCGCTTTTGCTTGTCTTCTTTAGCCCAGTTCGGAGTAGAACAGTAGGACGTTAAACCCCATTTCATTTCATTTCTTCATATAGTTAGACCACAGGTCTGTGCCGAAAGCTACTGCCGTGTGTACATATACTAGGGGGCCAAATGGGGCAATGGTTCCTGGCATCCATTTCTTGGGTGAATCCAATCAAAGAAATTTTTTGCTTTTAAACTGTCTAATTTAATTTGAATAAAAAGTTTATTTTATCCATTTTGACATTTAAAATGTCTTTCAATTCGCACACTTCTGAGATGTAATGGGTACTAACTGGTTAGGGTTATGCAATGGTGTAGTGACAACTCTCAAGTGCTGAAGGCACAAAGAGTATGGGTGCCTACTTCAGAAAATTTGGGAAAATGGAACGATGCAGATGTCATTTCTGGCCGTTTCACGTCCTGGACCCCTTAAATTGAGTCTGAGCACCTGTATTTATTTAGGCCCTAGTGAAAGGTATAATATACTATCAAGATAACAGAGTGTGTATGAAATGGCTTTATTTAACGTAAATATTATTATCATATCAGTATTGATTTAGGCTCTGCTGAAACATATATAATATACCACCAAGATAACAGTAGTGTATGGGAAATAGCTTTATTTGACACCCCCTTCCACCTAAGTGATATTGCCGACAATGAGATATATATATATAGATACATATTATATATATATATATAGTTACATACTTACATGGTGATTAGCGTGAAAATAGTGGATAGATGAAAATTCTGTTATATTATGTGCAAAACCAGGAACTTGTCGCACAACTTCATTTTGTACTACGGGCACAAAAGCATAAACTGTATACATGCCTTCTTGTTGCCATGAATGAACCAAACTCCAAATAATACGACAAATTTAAAAAGAATTGCATTTTTGGAAAGCTTAGGCTGTTTACTATTCAAATATGCTGCCAGCACTATTTTTATAAAAAATGACCAAGAGCCTGGTTTTGTGGGAGCCACTCACATATGTATATAGGGGGAACCAATTAATTAAAGATACATTATATAAGATTAGATAAAGAGCTGGTAGTTCTCACTATAACAGTTAAAAACTAGATAATGTAAAGGGAATATTCTAAAAATTTCTGTCAAATTGCTTCACTCTAAGTAAGCCGAGAAATACTACTAATTTTAAAAACCTTGTAGCCTAGATTGTCATTGTTGCTGTTGTGACGAAAATATAAATAGTCTTGATTATCCATTATTATGATTAATTATTAATGGCTGTTGAACAGTAGATCGGTTTCAAATCTAATGAAAATCTGACACATAAGATGGCATCAAGAGTTGATTAAGGCCTTTTCATGTTAATAAATGGTCTGGATAAGTTAATAAATATCTAATTAATAATTAGATAACATTTCAGGCCTAAAGAAAGACCTCCAATAGGCAGATTTAGCTCTTGCATGATGTATGTTTAAGGACCGACAATTAGACATAGTAGACATTTCACATGCAGACAGGAGGAAACTGGAGGACAAGGAAAAAACCCTACTCCTTGTCACGTTCAAGCAGGGATTCAAAACCATGCCACTTGACTCAATGACAGACCTTGTGTGTAGGGGTCATCAGCATTGGGAGGAAACTGGAGGACCCGGAAAAAACCCTACTCCTTGTCAGGTTGAAGCGGGGAATCAAAACCACGCCACTTAACTCAATGACAAACCTTGTGCGTAGGGGTCTTCAGCAATGGGAGGAAACCGGAGGACAAGGAAAAAACCCTATTCCTTGTCACTTGACTCAGTGACAGACCTTGTGATTTCGACCACCCAACCCCCTACATAGATAATAGACTGATCTATATCTTTTTAATATTAACAGGTCATCAGGTCAAGATAACGGTGATTTGGTTATTGTGTTCGAGCTGTCGATAAAATATAATCTGTCTCTAAATTCGGTGGACGTTGGACGGACTACTGAATTTAATGACAGTTGGAGGGGATTAGTTCAAGATGGCAGCAACTGTGAAGCCGACAGAAGTTGAACCACCGGATAGATACGAGGTGATGAAACAACTTAAAGAAGTGGTTGAAACAGAAGAAAAGATACTTCAAGATGCCCGACAATCTTTTAAAGGTAATTGAGAAGAGACTGTGTACCTGTAATATACTCAGCCAAATTAAAAACTTGACACTCAGGATTTTTGGGACTAGATTTTTAATATTTGGTTTAAGGCAACTATTTTAGTGTTATGTTGTGCACAGACGACCTTGACATCAACAGAAAGCAAGAATACGTCTCGCCGAAAGTCCTTGACATTGATAACGTTCGTGATGTCACAGTACCCCCCAAAAGATTAATTATTGTCTAGCGTGTACAATTAAAGGCTCTTGCAACAGTGACCACAAACTGAACAGCATAGAGCCTACCTATAGCACGTAGACGTTCTACATTTGAAAGGCTCGGCATTTTCTAACAAAGATGAAAATAACAATTTTAATTGGTTTTTCCAGTTCAAGTTACGTGTGCGTGTTCAGTTTAAGCAAACTTGCATCAATTGACCTCACGAGTTTGTGTTTGCATGTGTTTTTCACGTTTTTCATCTTTATATGCTCAAAAGTCATGTGATCCACGTGACTTTACAATTTTATGGAATTAAAGACTTCTTACTACTTACTATCGTTAGAAACACTTTAAAATTTATTTGACTTACCAGAAAAAAAAAATTGTTGAAATTCATCAGTGTCAAGTTTTTAATTCGGCTGAGTATATGATTCATAGATATCTGTAGTAGTACCCTGCTTCTTTAATATCTGCTTTTTCCTGTTTATTTAGAATAGATAATATAAGATGAGATAAGATGTTTATTGCAACCAAACGTCCATTATGGACAGCATGCATACATATACACTTAGAGATACATATGATTTTGCAATCTTTCCATTTGTGACCTTTGGCCATGGATTGGATTAGTGGAAAGTTTTTCCCTTTATTTAATAAGAGAGAGAGAGAGATGGGGTTCAATGTCCACTCGACACAAACTAGGTCATTTCAGGACTAGAGTTCTTTAGCAGTGGGAGGAAACCGGAGAACCCGGAGAAAACCCACAAGGTTGGACAGGCGACCCTACTCCTTGTTACGTACAACCAGGGAATTGAAACTGCACAAGTTGACTCAATGACAGGCCTTATGATACAATGCGCACGCGCTAACCATTCAGCTATCCACCCCTCCTTTATTTAATAAAAACATCTCGTTTGGTAGTTGATTACAGTATCAGCTGCAAAATTTTATACCATGGTAGGATGGGGGTGGATGAGAGTAAGGGCACAGATAGTGAGACACTTCATGAAAAATTGATAATTGGCTTGTACGAAAAAGATAGAATTATGATTACCTTAATTATTTGTCTAAAGAAGGATGGGGGGGGGTCTAGTGGTTTAACGTCTGCACATGAAATCATAAGGTGTGTCATTGAGTCAAGTGGCGTGGTTTTGATTCCCGGTTGGTACGTGACAAGGAGTTGGGTGGCCTATCCAACCTCGTGGGTTTTCTTAGGATCATCCGGTTTCCTCCCACTGCTAAAGACTCCTACGCACAAGTGAATTATTGAAATAAAATTGAACAATATGTTAGTCCTGGAATGACCTAGTTTGTGTCAAGTCTACATTAAACTCTCTCTTTCTCTCTCTTATCTGTATTTGTCTAAGATACCTAAAGATGAGCGTGTGAAATCAATAGAAACTTTAAATGGCCGTAACCTTAGTTACAATGGTTCAATTTGAATAATTTTGGCACCATAACAGGCTTCGAAATTAGCGGACGCAAAGACGTGCTAAAATATGAAAATAGCATGTTAGATTTCAACTATAAAGCAAAGTTTACAATGTTTACAATAAAATTTTACGTAAGACGCCATTTTGCGTATAGACTCACTTTCCTTTAACAAACTCTGAGTCTCAAGGAAGAGACCAGATATAATCGTCCACGCGTAACTTAACCAATGAAATAACAATACGTTACCTTCCCGACAAATAATATATGCAAACTGAAACCATGTGATATTATTGACCAATCATGTTATCCCTAACTGTGTTGACCCTAAGAAGGCGATTGGGCCATTTCACACGGTTCACACACGGTTTGCGTATAGACTAACTTTCCTTTAACAAACTCTGAGTCTCAAGGAAGAGACCAGATATAATCGTCCACGCGTAACTTAACCAATGAAATAACAATACGTTACCTTCCCGACAAATAATATATGCAAAACTGAAACCATGTGATATTATTGACCAATCATGTTATTCCTAACTGTGTTGACCCTAAGAAGGCGATTGGGCCATTTCACACGGTTCACACAGCCGTAACTAAAATACTACTTACGTACTGACATAGTATTTTGGCCTAAACGATGATTACCACATTTTGTAAACGCAAAAACCAATAAAATACACATTTGTGAATAAGTGGTGGTTAAATGGACAAAGGTCCAAATGATCAAATTCTGTTCCAATACTTTCATTTGGCACCAGGCAGAAAAATGTTGTATTAATTTTAGATTTACAACTAGAATTACTGAAAGTTTGTGCTCGTTACACTTTGTTTTTGCTTCTAATTTTAAAAATAACAAGCAAAAAATTGCTTCTGGTATTGGAAATAAGATTCGAACCCTGACCATAATTTTCAAAATAAAAATAGCTCTAGCAGATTAATACAGGTGTAACTAGAGATTTATTGGTTATTATATCACCAGGTCCATGTATATGCTCTTATTATCAGGGATTGGGTGGACAGTCATTGAGTCAAGTCTCTCTCTCTCTATCTACCTTATCTACTTTTGAGTGGGGCTTGGTTGGCCGAATGGTTAACACGTGCACATTGCATCATAAAGTCTGTCATTAACTCAAGTGGCATGGTTTTGATTACCCGCTTGTACGTTGCAAGGAGTAGGGTCGTCTGTCCAACCTCATGGGTTTTCTCCGAGTAGGTTGTGGCGAGTGGACATTAAACCCCATTTCTCTCTCTCTCTTTACTCCCGAAATGACCTAGTTTGTGTCAAGTGGAGGTTAATAAACCCCATCTCTCTCTCTCTCTCTCTCTCTCTCTCTCACTCTCTACTTTTGAAGTTCAATAAAAGATATTTTATAATTTTGACATTTCAGTATCACTGAATGGATTTGTTAATAAAGATATAAGTAAATTATTTAAATTAGCTGTTGTCTACAGTCAGTGTTTTAAAAGGTAAGTCCAAGTTGTTATTTTTTCCTGTATATTAAGTTCGTTTGTAAACTTTTGAATTATAAAACTTGTCAGTGCCTAGTCCCTCATATTACCTTCAACAAAGAACCGGAGGTATCAGAAATTGAAACTGATGCACCGGTGCCGATGAGTGTTGTGCACAGGTCAGGGTATGCTTACCCTGGTTAGAGAATTTAAGGAACCCGAATCTTAATTGTCACGGTTTAATCCATGTTGAAATCTACACAAATTGATTATTAATCATTTAATAAGAGAAATGAAATGAAATGGGGTTTAACGTCCTACTGGGCTAATGAAGACGGGCATATGCCATACCGTGTGCTATGAGGGAAATTTTGCCAGGATAGTGGCACTATGGCTTACTCTTATATCAAATTTCAACTGTCAAGGGGTCTTTTACATGCATGCCAATTTATACATGGGACCTCAGTTTTTTGTACTATTCGAACGACTAGACAGCTGTCCTTGTCAGGCCCCCATCCTGAACCACTTACAAAGGGAAACCACGTCGGAAAATCCCAAGGAATTTTCACAGCCAATGCATGGATTGAACCACACTGATCCGCAGTGAATATTTGCTTGGCCGCGACAATCACTGATAAGGATGACATTGATGCGGCTTAATGAGCTAGAAATATTAACTTTTTTCCTGCGACAAATTAAATTCTAAAACATTTTTTGTATATATTGGAAAAATAAATAAAGGCGTTTGACGTATTTGTTGTTAAAAAATTATTTCCGATTTAGTGTAAATGGGTATTAAAATGACTAAAATGCAGCATTCTCTCCGAAGCAGTTATGTAAACAATGCACGCGCCATTAAGCCAATGATTCACACCGCGTGCTGTGACAGCACGTGTTAAGGCAGTCATCTATGACAGAGATATTATACGAGACTCGTAATTCTCTGTGAAACAGATTGGGATTGAACATGCCACCTCCAGGCTAGCAAGCCAGTGTCTTACCTACTTAGCCACCATGGCTCCCCATCAAAATATCAACAGTAGATTTCCTCCTGATGGCTTGGATTCAATTGATTTAAAAATAAGTCCATCAAAAGATTTTACCCAACACATATAAATGCATCCTTGGTATCCCCAGTGGTGTCATGCCGTTCTACTCCACTGGGTTCCTCCATAGGGGAAGACACATATTCAAATTATCTGCCCTTGATGACGGTGCTATTTTTATTGTCCAATCAAAAAAATCGTTAAATACATAGGAAGTTGACAAAGGGAAATAACTTGTTGCAACAAACATACCGCCATATTGTTGTGAACGTAAGCAATGCGGCTAACTTTGGTTTGTAAACTCTTTTTTGATTGGTTCATAGATAGTTTGAATACGTGAATACACTATGGATGAACCCAGGGTATAGTGGAGTAGAACGGAATGAGACCACTAGGCATACCGAGGATGGTATCAATGGGGCGGGCTTGTATATGTTGTCTGTAGAGGATGCTGATTATTGGAAAATTTTCAATTCAATTTGTAAATGCTTCGTGGAATTGAACCATTTTTAGACTGATATTTCTTTTAGAGATTCAACTTTTACAGTATTGTAGTTGGCAAGTGATTCAAAATATCTCAAAATGTCGAGCATAACTGAAATAAAACTGTGTTGTAGTTTTTAAGTGTAATCAATTGACACTTAGTCTTGTAATAAGCTTTAAGCATGTAGACCTAAAGTTTAAGATCTGTTTTCTCTGGGTCATATTATACCAATGTATGTTTTATTACTTATAGTCTTGGCATTACCTCGAAAGATGAATTGGAAAATATCATCACACGGAGAAACTTCTGGTAAGGATTAGTTTTAGCAAACTCTACTCCTTGTCTTGGAGTTGAATTCGGCACAAAGAGAGACAAGACTGAGAGTTTTTTCAAGCACTTTTGCAAATTGTTTATTTACTTCCACCTTTTCTCAAAAGTCATTAAAGTTGAAAATTCTTTTTCTATTGAATTTTTCAATTATAAATTGATAACAAGATATGATTGATATTTAGTGTCATATAGTTGTTATATACATGTAGTTCTCTACAACAATATTAGAGTTCATTCCCTTTTGTTATGAATTAATACCCTTTATTAAATAGATGACCTTTAAGCCTTTGGTGAGATGTGGATCTAAGATTGTATTGTATTTGATCTGGCTTAAACATGTATTATGCAAGGGCTAAATCTGCCTATTGCAGGTCTTTTTTAGGCCTGAAATGTTATATAAACTATTATAGACATTTATTAACATGAAAAGACCTTAATTAACTCTCGATGCCATCTTATATGTCAGATTTTCACTGGATTTGAATCCGATCTGCTGCTCAACGCACATTGATGATTAAATGTAAAATTGGATAATCGAGACTATGTCTTTCATCGTATCGACTTTAGTAATGATGACTGGAATTTTCAATATATTATCTTTACATTATTTAGTTTTTAACTATTATAGTGAGAACTGACAGCTCTTTATCTAATCTCACATAATGCCCCCTTAAGGAAATAGTAAAGTAATCCGTTAACTGATCCCAACACCACATGGTGGAGATGCAGCTTGTTGTCACCTTTAACCTTTAGGTGAGGCGTGGATCTAAGATTGAGTCATATTTGATGTGGCTTAAGGAAATAGTAAACATCTGGATGATACAACATTAACTGATCCCAACACCATGTGGTGGAGATGCCGCTTGTTGTTACTTTTAACCTTTAGGTGAGGTGTGGATCTAAGATTGAGTCATATTTGATCTGGCTTAAAGCGAAAATTTCATATTTTCTAAGAAAGTCAAAACATAATTATTTCTATGTCTTTTGCTCAGTAGGTTGTCAACTCACTATTATACGCTCATAGTTATCATTCTCACACTCAAAAATGTTTCACACCGGAAATAATAACACAATTACCTCCTAATTACCTCCCTTGTTTTTCTATTCCCTACCATGGAATAGCAATCTTTAAACGTTTGAATTTGAAGTTGAAAATGATATTTTTGCCAATTTCTCAACTGGCAATAGTGAATTATAGGATTAATAGGATTATTCTTTATCAATGTAGGACTGTTTATACATAGCATCGATTTTAAGGCTTTATTTTAATACATTTTAAAAATATAACTTAAAAATATGAAATTGTAGCTTTAAGGAAATAGTAAAGGAATCTATGAACATCTAAATGATACAACATTAACCCCACTAGCTTGAGTAGATAAACTGATACCTTGATTTTAAATTGTTTATATTTCAACAGGCACAGTGACACTCCTGATGTTGTAGAACAACTGTATGATAATGAAGTAAGGCATATAAAATGTTTTTCAATTTTATTTTTGTACGCCCACATATGGCACCTTATATTGTTGTTCTGTCTTCATTAATTCAGTCGTTGCAAAAAAAGTAGGATGTTAAACCCCTGTTATTGTTTACAATTGCTTATGGACACTCTAGAGGCTAAGTTATCAACCGATTGACTTGAAATTTATACGTAGTGTTTATGTTCATGAGACGTAAAAGCCACGATTTCCAATAATTACTATAACAGTTATCCACCTTGTAGTTTTAAAATGGGTGCTTATTTTAATTTCTGATAGATATAACTTTAAAATATATAAAAGATAGTATCAACATTCCATCAACTCAAACTCTATAATTACAAATTGACAAATCAGTAGTATGTGGGCTTTGCAACTCCAATGTTTCAGTTTGATGGATACCGGTATTGCAAAGTTCTGAAAGGGGACCATAGTGGATTGGTGGGTCTACTGCTGGCTGCTCACTATCCAGAAAGTCCTTGGTTCAAAACCAGTTCTGACAGAGAAATTTCCTTGGGATTTTCCAATCAGGCTTCCTCTTGTCAGTGGTGCAGACAAGGAAAGTGTCTAGTCTTCAGAATGATATGGAAAACTGAGGTCCACCCATCTACTCGTTTGTGCACGTTTGATTTGATGAAGAATAGTGCTTATCACAATTATCTAACCAGATAAAGATATAATGGTATAATATGGTATATATTAGATTAATTTCCATGTATTAATTATTTTTTAGCGAATGTGGGACGACATGTTGAAGGATGTTGATAAACAGTTTATGAAAGACGGCGATTATGTCGTGAAAGAGGATGAGGTTGGGCCAGTCGACGTACCATTGGTTAACGCCAGGACGGGAGAATCTGTGAGATTTAAAGATTACCTTGATTCCTCGTCGAGCCTCATTCTGGTTCTTCTACGACATTTTGCCTGACTTCCATGACGAGATCATGTGACACAGCTCATGGCTGTCCAGGTTTGTCCAATCTTCCTTATTTCTTGGTTGTTGAAATTTTAAGAAGAGTGGTCAGGAATGCATATCTCCAGACAGAAATCCAACCTCGTGGGTTTTCTCCGGGTCCTCCGGTTTCCTCCAACTGCTAAAGACCCCTACGCGCAAGCAAATTATTGAAATAAAATTAAACCATATGTTAGTCCCAAAATGATCTAGTTTGTGTCGAGTGGACGTTAAACCCCATTCTTCTCTCTCTCTCTCCAGACAGAAATTCTCCCTATCCGAATTTGAAATAAGGCACCTGTCATATAGTTATCTTAAAAGGCATTATGGGAGATTAGACAAAGAGCTGACAGTTAAAAAATAGATAACGTAAAGAGAATATGCTGAAAATTTCAGTCAAATTGCTCCACTCTGAACCATGATATTAGCGATTGAATTTTAGGTTTAGCCTTGATCATCATTACTAAAGTTCGTACAATAAAAAACAAAGTCTTGATTATCCATTTTGACATTAAATCATCCATTATATAATGTATTCAAATCCAGTCAATATCGCAGGCTAGCAATGGCATCGAGAGTTGATTATAGTCTGGATAAGTTAATTAATGTCTAATTAATAATTTATATAACATTTCAGGTCTAAGAGAGAATTGCAATAGGCAGATTTAGCTCTTGCATAATGCATGTTTAAAGATATTCAAGCAGTGTCAGACACAGTGTCTGTCATTCTGTGTAGCACAGCAAAGATTTATATTTTGGTGGGAAGGGGGTTGCCGGCACCATAATCTTTTCAGTGGTTAGAGTCTATAAAAGTTATAATCTTACCCCTGTCATTCTGTCTGGCACAGTAAAGATTTATATTTTCGGGGGTGGAGTGGTGATGGTGGCACCATAATCTTTTCAGTGCTTAGGATCAATAAAAGTTATAATTTTTCCCCGAGTTTGCAGAAATATCTATAGACCTGAGTTTTACGTAGTTGTTAAATGGCTGTTTGCATTTGTTTCAGGAAGAAATTTCTAACGCCAAGAGTCGAGTGTTACTGATCTCGTTTGGAGTTCAAGAGGGAGCTCAAAAATGGTTACAGGAGATGAACTGTTCTTACGATATGTTACTAGATAAAGATAGAAAGGTAAGTATTTACATCTAGAGATTCATAGCTACAAAACACAGGAGATTAGACTGGAGGTTCATAGCTACAAAATACAGGAGATTAGGCTGGAGGTTCATAGCTACTGAACACAGGAGATTAGGCTGGAGGTTCATAGCTACTGAACACAAACCAGGTCATGATCGGAATCATCGACTTTAATTTCTCAAGAAAAGAGTGTGCAAGCCTTGTGCACAACTCTCATCATCACTGGTGCATCCACTTAGACTTGGATTTCAGAAGCTGGAGGAACTTTGTTGAAATGAGGGACTGGGCTAAGTGCTAATCATCTTGGTCCCAGAAGCTGGAGGTACCTTGTTGAAGGTAAAATAAGGGACTGGGCACCAGCCAGTTTTTTTTTTTTTTAACCAGGAACAAGTGCTAATCATCTTGGTTCCCAACTGCTTAATCAGTGGCTTTAATTCTATTAAATTGTTTTATTGTCAGGTATATCAGACATTTGGATTGAAGAGATCAGTTTTTAAGGTAATTTTTTTTTCATAACATATTTAAATATGCCTTAAATGTTGAGCAAGAGTGGAGAGTGTCAGGAATTATTGACTGTGAAGTGTGAAATAATTTGGATGACCAAAACGACAAGCAATAGTAGCCATATTCTACTCTTAAATTAATACAAGGGTGCTAATGATATTTATATTTGTAGGTGAATATAATAACATTATCATTGTTATATTACAGGTGTGGGGTATGTTACAGGTGTGGGGTATATTATCATTGTTATATTACAGGTATGAAGTATAATATTACAGGTGTGGGGTATATTATCATCGTTACATTACAGGTGTGCAATATATCATTATTGTTATATTACAGGTGTGGGATATATTATCATTGTTATATTACAGGTGTGGAGTATAATATTACAGGTGTGGTGTATATTATCATTGTTACATTGCAGGTGTGCAATATATCATTATTGTTATATTACAGGTATGGAGTGTAATACAGGTGTGCAATATATCATTATTGTTATATTACAGGTGTTGAATATGTTACAGGTGTGGTGTATATTATCATTTAAATATTACAGGTATGGAGTATATTACAGTTGTGTGGGGTATATTATTATTGTTATATTACAGGTATGGAGTGTATTACAGGTGTGGGGTATATTATTATCGTTATATTACAGGTGTGGAGTATATCAAGTATGACTTATTATGCTCAACAAATGGCTGAAGGCAGAGATCTACCTAAACCATATGAGAATATCCATGATGATCCAATACAAGTTTGTATAGTATTAATTACATACAATTATTTTGTTCTTAGCTAAAAATAAAATTTAAAAAAAATATGGGGTAGGGATTAATAACAAATTGAACTGCTCTCAGTTAATGGCATAAATGTTTTAATTGATCCATGATGCTATATCTATTGTTTTTAGATGGGAGGGGATTTTATAATGGAACCAAGGTACTAGATGGGAGGTGATTTTATAGTGGATCCATTGATACTGTTACTATTGTTTTCAGATGGGAGGTGATTTTATAATGGATAAAGAAGGCAAGATGAAGTTAATATACTGTAGTGTCACACCTAGAGATAGACCATCTGCATCCATGTTGTTAGATATTATCAAGGTAGCCAACATCATTTTATATCATTCTTCAAATATCATCCCATAATCTTTTAAATGGTCCATATCCATGTTTTAACCCTTTTTTTGCAGGGCACTCTCACGAAATATCATCCCATTTTCCTATCAAATGACCATATTTGTATTATTCATCCCTTTTTTCTAATGAATGATGGGGGGGAGGGGGGCAGGATGTAGACCATTTACTGTCCCTCATGAAATATCGAAAGAAATATATTGTGGGTGTTGATGACAAATATATAAGTTATTAATATAAATCACTGTTTATGAGAAATATCTTTGATCCAGAAACACAAAACTTTGCACATAATTTTTTATTAATGTATTTGATACATTTGTGTTAAAAAACAACAAAGTTTTATTAAGGGCTATATTTTAATTAAAATGAGGCAAACAATTTTGAGTAAATTCTTAAGTTAAGTCTGAGAATGATTTGTTAACCCGGGGCCTATGCACATAAAAGAATCCTTGGCAATTGGAATTTGACGAAGTGTAGGCGGAAAAGATTTCCTTCAAAGAAAATGAATTGAAATGGAGTTTTACGTCCTACTGTTCCGCTCTGACTGGGCGAATGAAGACAGGCATAATACACCATACAGTGTGCTATGAGGGAAATTTTGCCCGGGCAGTGGCACTATGGCCTATTCTTATATCGAATACCAACTGCCAAGAGATCTTTTACGTGCACGCCAATGTATAGACAGGACCTCGATTTGTCCATCCCATCCGAACAACTAGACAGCTGTCCTTGCCAGGCCCTCCTACCTAGCCGACTTTCATGGCATGTGCTCTTAGCCTGTTGCTGCAGGAACTCTCTTATCTCATTTCACTTTTGTTTTCTTCCTTCAGAAATGAGCTGAATGACCAGGAGAAGAAATGAAGACCACTACTTTAAACTACATTATATGATAGTAATAATTGAAATGAGCAATAACAATTAAAACTTGATGGCCATGATGTAGACAAAGAGTATCTGGATTCACTTTCTTTTCAATTTGTTTTATGACATTTTCAGATAAATTTTATAACATTTTCAAATAAAGTCTATATTTTTATTTGGGCGTTAAGTTTTAATATGAAGCAGATTAATAAAGCAGGAGGTCTGAGGTTCAGTCAGTGGTGAAGGTGAGAGAGAGAAATGGGGTTTAAGGTCCACTCGACACAGACCAGGTCATTTGGGGACTAACATGGTTCAAATTTATTTCAATAATTCGCCACCCGGAGAAAACTCACGAGGATGGACAGACGACTCTACTCTTTGACATATAAAACCTGGGAATCGAAACCACGCCAGCTGACTCAATTACAGAGCTTATGATACAACGCGCACACGCTAACCATTCAACCACCAATCAGATTATAACTACATGAATAGTCTCAAAAGCGTCCACAAGAATATTAAGGGTCATAAATCAAACAGTCATTATATGAAATCAGTAGACTTCTTTATCTCATAAACGTATATAAATTTAATGTCAATTGGATAACTTTAACCCCTAGCAAAATGGAGTCTAATGTCCACTCAACACAAACTATTTCGGGACTAACGTGTGGTACATTATAATTTCAATAATTCTCTTGCATGCCTGGATCTTTAGCATTGGGAGGAAATTGAAAAAAAAACCAACACAACTGACAATGAATCAATGATAAATATACATATTTATTCTTTTTTTGACATGTGTAAATTATATGTCCTTATACAATAAGAATAAGGATCAGTTTTTAAAAAAAACGTTTCTTATAGCTGAAAAATATACAAAATATAATGGGATGCAGATTAAGGGAAGTGCTGTACATTTTCTAGTGTACATTTAATAGTGTGTGTGTGTGTTTACTGGTGTATATTTACTAGCATATGTTTACTTGTGTCTGTATACTAGTGTACATTTACTAGCATATGTTTACTTGTGTCCATCTACTAGCACCTGTATACTAGTGTACATTTACTAGCATATGTTTACTCGTGTCCATCTACTAGCATCTGTATACTAGCGTACGTTTACTAGCACATGTATACTAGCGTACATTTACTGGTGTACATTTACTAGAACATGTTTACTAGTGTACATTTACTGGTGTACATCTACCAGCATGTTTACTAGTGTACATTTACTAGTGTACATTTACCAGCATGTTTACTAGTGTAAATTTACTAGCACATGTTTACTAGTGTACATTTACTAGCACATGGTTTCCAGTGTACATAAAACTAGTGTAGGGCTAGACTACACTTTCTGTCTTGGATTAATGTAACGATTGGATGCTTTTAAGCTTATGGCATGACAAAGGTGGCAAAGACAGTAAGCACAACTTCTAAAAGCCACTCAAAATATAAAGGGCTCTACGTCGACAATACAAGGAAGGATTTAGGGGAGATAATAAATCACGTTTTTTAAATTGCATTATAATATCACCAGTAATTATACATCAAAATATTTCAAGTAAAATAAAACAACAGTACAAATAGCTTTATCCGAAAAATACAACAAATCTACAAACTGGCATTGCACATATTTCGAACATGAACGGAGTTTAGGAGAAAATAAAAACCTAGTCAATCCCAACACCTAGCTGTGAAAACCGACATCCTGTAGCGTCGGTCTGATTAGACAGGTTTTACTGTACATGTGTATATATATATATTATAGAAAGTTTATAAAGTAGACTGTGGTCTCTGGTCTAATGATCTAGATCTACTATTGCTTATTATATATATATATACTATTTATAAAATAATATTACAGAGAGATTCACAATATACAAAATGGACCTACTATTGCAAGATAAAGGCCCTGAAATCCGGCCATTTATGACAGTCAATATCCATCTGGAACTGATGATAAATCGTTGGTGAAGTGTCAAAAGAGTGTATCTAAGAATTTCTAAAGATCAAGAAATAGAACCTTTTGCATTTCAAAATTTCCACAAATCAAGATACAACATTTGGACACATGATACCCATGTATTGGCGTAGAGATACACAGCTTAGAAAGAAATGTGCATATTAATTGGAGATTTTAAAAATGCAAAAAAGTGTACTTGACTAATTTCCCGAAATACACCCTTTTGACACTTCACCGACGAAATGCTTATCTAGCCTGGAAATAGGGCAACTGTAGACTCAAATTCAGGTTTGGTCAGACACCGTGCATTTGGTGGCGGGTGCAGTTTTGTCGTTTTTCAGATTTTCTGTTGATATTTTTAATATACAGATCAAAACGTGAGATACAAGTCCAATTAGACCCCCACATTTTGTCAGGTACAATCATTATATCCTGCCCTGATGCTTATCAATCAATCTGCACGCCAATCAAATTTAAATATTAAAGATGCATTATGCAAGATCTAAATCTGCGAAGGTAGGTCTTTCTTTAGGCCTTAAATTTTATATAAATTATTAATTAGACATTTAGTAACTTGCCAACACCATGATCAACTTTCAATGCGATTGGATGTGCTATATTGTCAACGGATTTAAACACGATTAGCAGTTAATGATTTAAATGAAAATGGACAATCAAGACTTTGTTTACTATCGTAATAATGAGCAATGACAATCAAGACTCTGCTATTCTCTAAACAGCCGTAACATGGCTCAGAATGAAGTAATTTGACTGAAACTTTCAAGATATTCCCTTCATCATCTAGTTTTTAACTATTATAGCGAGAACTGTCAGCTCTTTATCTAAATCTTACATAATGCATCTTTAAACTTAATTAGACTTAACCTATTTGTACAATCAAGTGTGATTGAGCTAGGACAAATTCAACGTGTAAATATGTCTGACTGATTAAATCTTTACGTGAACGATCATTTCACAATATACATAAATCAATCTATTGCAAGTACGACGGAATTTTATTAAATTTGTAAGTGAATCAGAGACAAATATATTACTACTGGTAAATACTGTATTTCAAAATCGGAAAATTTATGTGACAATATAATAATATGAGATATGAATATGAATGTACAGAAAATAGTATTTTATTTGAAACAAAACCATAACAAAATTCTAAAATAAATTCTGTAACCAACAGGATTAACTTGATATCAGTGATCTATGTTGTAATTTACCAGTTAATATCTTCGCAACTGGTATGATAATTGGAAGACAGACCTATTTGGCAGGATATTCTATCCTTATCAAAACACTTCTCCTTTATCAGATACCTAATTCATTTTAGCATGGATTAAGCTGTGAAAATTAGATATTGTCAGAAAAAATAGTAAGATTGGGATCGACGACGATTTTTAAGTGACATGTTACATGTAACTATTAATATTCGAGACACTATTAAACTTGGATATATTTTATACGGAACAGTCTGCAATCAGTTTCACTAGTGTAAAACGACTTCATAAAGCAATCACAAGTCGGTTATAATAATATCTTTACTCTCATCTCATTACAATCTTCAACAGATATCAATTAATTATACACCAAAATCATAATTAATTCAATCTGGTACCGAATTAAGAAATATTGTAGCGGCATCTAGAGATGAGGTTCAAGGGATATAATTATAACACAACTTCTGATTACTACGACTACAATTATTCATCTACTTTAAGAGCCGAAATAACCGGAGCGGAATTTGGATTTTTTACTAACGGCACAAGTCCCCACGAAAATATATACGAATGAGATAAATGTTTATTAAACCAATCACTCTCTATTGACTATTCTTATATATTATATATCTACGACAAACTTATTTATATTAATATTTATTAATTGTTAGTTTGACTTAATTAATTCAACAATTAAAGATCAAATCCTTTAAGATTAAAGCCACTCATCGTCATCTGAGGGGATTTTGAATCCCTTGAAAATTACAATATTGTGAAAGTTCAATCTGATTACAATACAGATCTATATTTCGCTTCGTTTTTTTTTATACTTTCGATGGCCTACACTACATGAAGATCTGACCAGTGGTGCAGGAAGGTCATGTCAGGGGTAATACAAATGGCTTTTGATCTCATGACGTCAGACATTGATTAATTAATCAGCGTTAAGTTTCTAGGGGTTAACGACAGTTCCGTGCAGAGGACGCCAAGAAGTCGCTGCAACAGACCGTTTCATAGGCTAATTCCTCACATGAACGAGAACACCTGTTATATAACAACTCTTCCAGATCCTAGTGTTGTGAAGACGAGTAAAACGAAATTTTGAACTAAAAAAAAAACCAAATGAAAAGGATCTGTGTTTTATAATCAGACTGGTGAAAGTTGAGAAATTCAAATGACGATCAGCAGCTTTTAAAGAACATCAACAACCCCAAATGTCTTTTAGTTTAAATATAAAATATTAAAGAATATAGGTAAATTAATTTGAATACAGTATAATATTTTATGTATTTATACGTTTTTCGTTACATATAATTATACTTATATTTTTTTTTATATTAAACAATCTTTTCTAAGACTACTGTGTTTTACATGAGAATATTTAACACATATTACAAAGCCATTAGTTTAATGCTATACAATCCAATGTACAATAGAATTTCATATATCCAATGTGACAAAATGTACAAGTCTATATTATATAATATTATAATACACGCTATCAATAATAACACTTGCATAGAGTTGTCTCATAAAATCTACAAACATCACTCCGCGCGACAAATCTTATCATTTAAAAAAAGAAGAGACATTTTTAAGCGAACTTAAGTACAAGTATACATGTATTTCTTCTTCTTACATACAATATAGATACATACTTACATACATAGACAAGGTTATACCATGGGGCTTCACTATAACAAACACCAGTGTTATAAGGAGACTCTTATATTATACAATGAGGCTTCACTATAACACACACCAGGGTTACAAGGAAACTCATATCATACAATGGTGGTTCACTAGAACACAAGTGTTGTAAGGAGACTCTTATTATACAATGTTGCTTCACTATAACACACATCAGTGTTACAAGGAGACTCGTGTATTATACAATGGGGCTTCACTATAACACAAGTGTTATAAGGAGACGCCTTTATATACAATATAACACAGGTGCATGTTATAGTGAACCCCTATTCTTTAATATAAGCATCTCCTTATAACACCCATGTGTGTTATACAGAGACATCACTATAACACTGTTGTTGGTGTCCCTTTACCAACTGCGTTATAACAAGACCGTTTACACCAAGAATTCACTATAACACTGATCATTGTCATAGAATACTATAAACCTGTATTATAGCAATAACCTTAAACTTAAATATATTACACAAAAGTCTTGACTATATAACACCAATGTCTTGTGTTCACTGACTATACCCTTACATATTATACCTGTATCATTACACATGGGAAGGGGGCAGTGGAGGAGACCGGGGATGTGGGCAGGCAAATGCAGTTAACTCTGTTACATGAAATAAACATCTCTCTTGTTTAGTTGTCAATTATTAGTCGTTTAAAAAAAAAAAGCTAAAAGAATTAACATGAAAAGCTGTGTTAGGTACACAACAATTGCTTGAAATTTGATACAAGAAAGTTATTGTTGAGAGTGAGACCTAGATGATTGTTTAGAAGGAGATAATTTGTATCGTAGAAGTTTGACGTGTGTAAAATATTAGTTAGTAAAACATTGAATACATGTATTATTATAAAATCTGGAATGGTTATCATTTGTGGTCTAATTTAATCGATTCATTTTTAGAATAGGGGGGGGGGGGGCTAAAACCATGTGGTACCATTCGGCCATTTAATGATTTAATTCAAAAATGGGAAAGCACGGCTAAGACTTTAATATACCAGCACCGTGGTTACGACAATAAACAATCAATGCACATCTTGTCAAAACTACAAACACTGATAACTTGGCTTAGAATCAAGTGATTTGCATGAAATTTTCAATAATATATCCAGTTTGTAATATCTATTTTTTAATTATTATAACAAGAACGGTCGTCTCTTTATCTAAATCTTAGATAATGTATCTTTAATGTTTTGTTCTATAAATATGCATTCGATAATTGAGGGTGGGGTGGGGGTTGTAGAATGATTCATCCCAGATATAAATAATTTCTGCAAACTCTTCCTCAAATTCCAGGCATTCTTCTAAGTACACGGGTGGCTTGTGGTTGTTAAATCCATCCGAGAGCCAACGAAAAGATAGCTTCTTGTAGATGTTTCATATAACAGAGTTTAACAGACTGTAGTGAGCTTTGGGAGCAATCATTGTTACTATTTACAGGAAGTGAGATATATAACATATATCTATATTTATAAAGGAGTTAAATTACTATTAATATATACAACAAAATACATATCAAAAGCTGTGAATAGAAATCGTACAAGTGTTAAAAGTTTTAAACGTGTGATTTGATAATGATGATATGTATCCAACAGACTGAGCTCGTGGAGATATTAGTTGAAATATATATCAGGAGCTAGAATAATTACACATGGACACCTGTCATTTGAAAACTACTTCTCAGAACAATTGTTTTAAAGCTAAGCACAGGACAACTGTTCCTGGAGAATTATTTTGCAGGACAGTTGCTACATGAGAACTACTTCCCAGGACCAGACAACTGCCATTTCAGAACGGTTACTTGAGAACGGGGCCCTTATTCACGAAAACTTAAACTAAGTTACAACCGAAATTTTAAGAAATACTGCAACTTCATTGGATATATGCAAATTGATTTTACTGGTCAGCCAATTGAATTGCAGTATTTCTTAAAATTTCGATTTTATCTTAGCAGGACAATTGCTACAGGAGAACTACCCCTCAGGACAATTGCTACAGGAGAACTATCTTGCAGGACAATTGCTTCTTAGAATAAATGTCGCTGGGTAACTCAAGTCAACAGTCACCACCTTGGATAATTAAGGCCCTGAACTGACCTAACTAGAAATATCTTATTGCTTTATACCAGTCAAAAAAACAAATAACCATAAAAGTTTAAAAAACAATCTATCTTAAAATTAACTAAAACCCTTTTATCACTAGTAAGTTATCTCCCTTCGGCCCTAAAAAAAAACAACAGGAGGTATTTGGGGGAGTGAAAGAAGAGGTGAGGAATAAATTGCATTATCCAAATTGACATCAGGACCATATAATATCTTAGGGTAGAGAATGAGTAGGGGAGATAATTCTAAGATAATGAGTAGGGGAGATAATTCTAACCTACACGTACATATATGAGCAACTAAAGTTTAAACTATGAGCTGTAACTTAAAGCTTTTTAAAAGTCTAATTCAAGTCTAGTTTATATTTGAGGAAATTTGTGTAATAAAAGCGTTTACTACATCATCTGAGCTGTAAATTAAAGCCATATAAAAAATGGCTTAAATCAAGCCTTATTTTTAGAAAGTAGGCTAATAAAAAGACAACTGAGCTGTAACATGAAAGTATTCCAAAAGCCACAAAACTAACGATAATTCTGGCCTTGTTTTTTTTTTTAATGTTTTTATAGTCATGAGTAAGATCCTATGAACCCATGCCCTCTATTCATTGTGATTCTAGACCAGAGGTGTCAAACATGCGGCCCTCTTGCCAGATCCGGCCCACCAAGGGTTTAAATGTGACCCTAGCCATAAATTTCAACAAAGTGGTGTGTCGATAATTCTTAGAAACTAGCGGTGGAAATCATTTATTATTGTTTCCGGTTTCTGTAAAACTCTGACTTCTGTACTGTATGTCATAGATATCTAAGTTGTATGTCATATCTTCGCAATTTGGAAACCAGCCTAAAAATTACCTGTGTTAACAACATTTGGCTTTGTTTTTAAGAATTCAATAAAGCTCAAGGACATTTGGCTTTGTTTTTAGAATAATTGTATATCTCCAGCCCACATAATGTAAAATTTTAGTACCCGTGGCCCCTGAATCGAAATGAGTTTGACACCCCTGTTCTAGACCGTCACACGCGAACAAAATTAACAATATAGACCATTCGTCTACAAGATATTCATTCAAAAATACGAAAACAATGACAGTAATAAAATGAAGGGGGGGGGGGGGAATTAAATAAAGTTTTTAAAGATCATTATCGTAACATCCGTGCCAATTCTCACATTTGTCATGTATTTATAATAAATAATATTACTATGGAAACGGGGAAAACATCCCCAAATTCGGATTCCGTAATTCCTGCCACTTTTAAAATAAAGCACCAACAAAAAAATTTCTAACACTCAACACAAGCAAGCTCAACCAATCATTGTTTGACTTTATAGTCATGTGATCACTGGATTTTCAATTAAGCTCCACAATTAGTTAAAAAATTATCACCACAAAAAACAAATAATCAGCCATTCTATAGGTTGATACTAAAGTTTGCTGACACATCAGTTCACTCGTACGTTTTTAATCTAATCGTCATGTGATGTTGGTGGTTTTTACGGCAATCTAGCGAGCGGTGGTTTGCGTATAGTATATCAATCTGATTTAGTTATAAGTTAGTAGATGAAGCTTGTTCCGAATCCGAGGATTCTGTGCCTTGTTCCTTATCACCAATTAAACTATGACGATTTGATCCGGGTGGACTGCTTAGATTACTACTGTTGTTCGAACCAAGAGAATGCCGCCAGCCTGGTTGTTCAGGGCTATCCTAAAACAAAGAAAATCAACAAATTAAAATCAATGAATTTTAACAAAAACAATGCTTGCCTTAAGATATTACATGTATAAGTCACAAAGTTGTAGAAGAGCGAGAGAAAATGACATCGGTTGTTTTTACATTTACAAAAGAAAGCATAATATTAATAAAGAAAAGATACATGAAATGATGAATTGTATGAACCTCTTTAATTTACATCCAAATAATTCAGGTCAGAATAACAGATGATTTGTTTTCAATTTACTATTTCCATTTATACTACTGAATAATTTTAGTTTTGTTTTTCACTTTAATGTTAAAACAATTCGCTATATGAAGGAGAGAGAAATGTGGTTTAATGTCCCCTCGACACAAACTAGGTCATTTCAGGACTAACATATGGTTTAATTTTATTTCCATAATTTGGTTGCGCGTAGCGGTCTTTAGCAGTGGGAGGAAACCGGAGGACCCGGAGAAAACCCACCAGGTTGGACAGGCGACCCTACTCCTGGTCACGTACAACCAGGGAATAATCCGCTATATGAAAGGCTTCGCTATAATGGTGTTGTTGGGGTTACTCAACAACATCCTGCCAGATCAACTCAATTCAACACGTTATTTTGACCTGAATTAAACCGATTTGACGAAACACAAACAATGAGCAAAAGAAGTGCTAATTGTGAAAATGAAATTAATAATTGCATGTTTTTAAAATTCAGACAATTGTGATTTTTTTAAATTAAAAATGCAGAAAGTTGGTTAATAAATGTTAATTGTTGCACAAACCAATAAAAAAAAAAAGAAGATTATAAAGCCTGAATAATTCTGAATTATGATTAGTTAGAAATATCTCTAACCTACGGCAATTAATATAAAATGCGATAATTCGTTGCTAATGAAATTACCCAAATAAAAATATTTTAAAATTAATCTTTATGACACTGATTAAAATAATAGTTAATTAATAGAAATAGGTGTTGAGGCCAAACGATGAGATATTCGTAGCTAATAAAATAACCAAAATAAAAATATTTTATAATAAATCTTTAGGACATAGATTAGAATTATAGTTAACAAATAGAAATTGGTATTGAGGCCAAACGAAATGATATTCGTAGCTAATGAAATTACACAAATAAAATGATTTTCTAAAAAAATATTTACGACACAGATTGGAATAATAGTTTAATAAATAGAAACTACATTTACACAAGAAATAAAAGCCACGACACGACACAACATGACACAAAAAATACAACAAAGTTTAAACTGAAATAAAGCATGGCTGATTGCAATGGATTAGGTCTGATTTCCGCAATGGAAATGTATATTGATTATAGAATCAACGAGAATTTTGGGGGGATATGGGGAGAGCCCCCCACCTCCCTACCTGACCTTAAATACAACACTGCTGATTGGTTAAGAAATAAAATAAAAATATTCAATAACATTCAAACATTACAATATTCATAGTTATTACAAATTTTACAATATAAAATAAAAAGTATTAATAGTTTTCAAGCTAACTGAAAATAAAAAATATTAATCCAGCTAATATAAAGAAATAAAATTGTGGCACTGTGCGTTACAACAGAGGAACAGTTATCGCAATTTGGATTATTTGGAACTAAAATTTCTGGTAAGGCTGCAAAGATGTGCATGGTGATGTTAATATTTGTACATCATTCCTACGACCTCAGTTTATAAGATTAGTACTGTCATCACACAAGTTTGTTTTTCACTGAGTTACTCCCCCTTGTCACCGAATTGATGAGCATAACAACAATATTATCATTGATGTTGAGAAGGATAATGATATTGTTATTGATGAGCATGATGACGATATTATCATTATTATTTATGACGATGATGATGATGGCATTACTATTATTGTTGATATTAAAATTATTGATGATGAGGAGAATAATGACATTAGTATTATTGATGGTGATGACATATCTATTATTGATGATGATGATATTAATATTATTGATAAGGAGAATGATGACATTAGTATTATTGATTGTGATGACATATATATCTATTATCGATGATGATGATGATGATATTATTGATGAGGTTGATAATGATATACTATCAATGATATGGATGATACTATTATTGATGATATTATTGATGATGATGATGACATCTATTATTCATGGTGATGATGATGTTATTGATGATGTTGATATTATTGATGATGATGATGACATCTATTATTCATGGTGATGATGATATTATTGATGATGTTGATGACATATCTATTATTGATGACGATATTTTTGATGATGGTGATGATATTATTGATGATGGTGATGATGATATCATTGATGATGTTGATGACATATCTATTATTGATGGCGATGATATTATTGATGATGATGATGATGATATCAATAATGATCAATCATAAACTAAAACTGAAATAGTTTTATGATATATGCGAAATGATCACAGCAAGATTTAGCTACTCAAAGCGATAGATAAAAATATCGCAAAAAGCTAAAATTCATTTATTTTTTAGAAACTAATTTTTGAGTTATTTGAATACAGCTTTTTACTACACCTACAGGAAAATTATTGAGTTATTAAAAAAAAAAAAAAGAAAAAAAAAGCAACTACAACAAATTTTATTTTAATTTTTAGATATCTTTAATTCCTTATTCTCTATTTTGATTTGATAATAAAATTAAAAGCTCTATAAATAGCTATAAATATCAGGACCCTTCTTCATGAAAACTTAAAACTAAAATATTTTTAGGAAGTGGCATTTTCATTGGTCGTGGGTTAAAACCATACAACAAATTTCAGCTCTAAACCAATGAAAAGGCGGCTTTATAAATAAAATCTAGTTGATGTTTTCCTGACTAAGGGTCCGTTTCTAAGAGATCTAAAACCAGAAGCTTATAATATCTCGAATTGTTTTTATCATACCCTGTAAGATTATCCATCACCAAGTAGTTCATATTATCAACAGTTTGTTTCTCGAACACTGTCCATAGTTCTTTCTTTTCCTTTAACTTCATTTTCATTATCAACCTTTTATTTGAAAATATTTTTGGTTTTTAAATTTTATGAATGCCTCAAAAAGAGAAATAAATTATGCTCCCTGGACGTAATTTATCACATATTAAATTTTGAATACAGTCAGTCATGAAGAATCAGGCACTGTAACCTGAGTATCATTTAATCTTGTGTATCTAGCACTAATTTCTTTAACATTCGTTTAATATCAAATCTGTGTTTAAAAATTTGTAAAAATCGTTTTAAAATCACCAAAATTCATCCAATTTGTACTTGTGTCTAGTTTAAAGCTGACCATTCAATTTTGATAATGAGTGTTCAATTTTTTTGATCACTGTTAAAAAATAAATAACCCAATTGATTATTTATTTATTATGATTAATTTTTTAACAGTGGTCAGCAAATTAAATACTTGTAAATTGGACACTCATTATCCAAATTAATCAGTCAGTATTAAACTGGACACAAGTACAAATTAGATGATTTTGGGTGATTTTAATTGATTTGATATTAAACGAATATGAAAGATATTAGTGCTAGATACACAAGATTAAATGATATCCAGGTTACAGTGAGCTAAAGTTTGATTGTTGATAATCCTAATATAGATTCTCTTTCAGATTCAAATCAAATAGAGATTTCTTTTCAGTATCTTGATGAACTCGTAAATGGCTGCAAGGTTAAAAACAAACTGGCGCTTACTTAACATCCTCCTTTTCTTCACCAATCGGGATTATAAGATGAGTATACGCCATCCAGTGTGCTGTGAGGGAAATTTTGCCTGGACAGTGGAACTACGGTCTAGTCTTAGTGAGCCAGCATCACACCAAGCTGTACTAATAAATAGTAAGTGCAGGAGGACTGCACCATACACAAATATACAAGACAAATCTACGGACAAGACTGTATAGAGACATCAGAAACGTGAGAGAGAGAGAAATGGTGTTTAACGTCCACTCGAAACAAACTAGGTCATTTCGGGACTAACACATGGTTCAATTTTATTTCAATAATTCGCTTGCACGTAGGGGTCTTTAGGAGTGGGAGGAAACTGAAGGACCCGGAGAAAACCCACGAGGTTGGACATGCAACCCTACTTCTTGTCACGTACAACCGGGGAATCGAAACCCCGCCAGTTGACTCATTGACAGACCGTATGATACAGCGCGCGCCATCAGAAACGTACACATTAGAATGGATTCGGGGGCTATACATAAGAGTCCACTGGTACAGTCACTGGCCTAAAGTAAAACCGACTTCATCGAAAATGAAATGAAATGTGGTTTAACGTCCTACTGTTTTGCTCCAAACTGGGCTAATGAAGACGGTTGATTTAGAATCTGAATCCGGAAGCTAGATTAGGATTTACTACAATCAACCAGGAGCTTTATTCACGAAAAATAAAATACTTGAAAGATTAAGACTATTGATTGGCTTAAAGTTAAAATCTTCGTACAAATTTTAGATATCAGCCAATGAAAAGCCTATATTTTTCAAATATTTTGAGTTCAAGTTTTTTGGGGAATATGGTACCTGGCTGTTATTAAATGTTCGGCCTTTCAGACAGGAACAAAAAATTATATTATGAAAATAAATTCTTACAGAAACAATCCAAATTTGATAGCCGTTCCTCACATTTTTAGAAAACATCGACAAAAGCTTGGGGTGGGGGGTACAAAATACAACACCTTAAGGTAGGTAGAAATAATAATAATAAAAAAAAAGAAATATAATTGGTGGCATGCTAAATATATTTGTAATAATAAGCTACCCCTGGCTAGCTCTTGGAAGGATCATATGTGGGTAATGACCAACAACTGCCACTGGAATTATAACTTGATGCCTGAAATAATTTGGGTTTGTTGAAGTCTGCGGTTAAAAATACTCTTGACTCAAAGGACAAACAAACTACATCTAATTTTATATGTTCAGTATTTAGATCTTCAGTCTTAGAAATGGAAGTAAATAAAGCTCTACTTCCAAGGCTTTAAAGTTAAGGTCTCTGGCCATTATTTGAAGAATTCTGTATCCCTTGTAAACTACAGAGAGAGAGAGAGAGAGAAATGGGGTTTAACGTCCACTCAACACAAACTAGGTCATTTCGGGACTAACATATGGTTCAATTTTATTTCCATAATTTGCTTGCGCGTAGGGGTCTTTAGCAGTGGGAGGAAACCGGAGAAAACCCACGAGGTTGGACAGGGGCGACCCTACTCCTTGTCACGTACAACCGGGGATTCGAAACCACGCCAACTGACTCAATGACAGACTTTATGATACAGCGCGCACATGCTAACAATTCAGCCATCCCCCACCCCCAACCCCCCCGGAACTAGAGTATTTTGAATCTCTAATAGGAATATCGGTCCAAAACTGGTTAAATTAAATTCAGTATTAACAAAAGATAAAATGAATTAACATTTGTCAACATTCGGAATCCACTGCCATGTATGTTTTTCACAGAAACCTTAGGATGTGAAAAATTTTATTTATTTTTTTCAGAAAAATGCAAATGGCAAACAGAGACTTTAACTTCCGCGATCGAGCACATAGTTAAATCGAGCCAAGGCTTTATACAAATAAAAGTACTGGAATGGGGTTTAATGTCCCGTTAACATATAATACTTAAATCCTATTGAGAATAACATAGGGAGATAATTTGCCCAGATTGACGCATTCCGCTGATTGTCATTTCTTCAAAACCAAATTATAAAGAGATCATATTTTTACAGAAGCACAGACAGCATCATCCAGATTGTCATTTTTTATAAATCAAACTCGTAACGGATCATACCTTTACCAATTTTTACGAGTCAGAGAGGCATTGTCACTATGTAGTAATTTTACGATTTTGAGCCACGTCACAGTGGCACACAAAAGAGAGAGAGAGAGAGAGAGAGAGAGAGAGAGATGGGGTTTAACGTCCACTTGACACAAACTAGGTCATTTCAGGACTAACACATGGTTCAATTTTATTTCAATAATTTGCTTTCACGTAGGGTCTTTAGCATTGGGAGAAAACCCGAGGACTCGGAGAAAACCCACGACTCTACTTTTTGTCACGTACAACCGGGGAATCGAAACCACAGCAGTTAACTCAATGACAGACCTTATGATACACAAAGGCTACAATGCCTAGTATAGTATAAATGCCCTCCGTACTGCACCACTGAGTTTCTCGGCCAATGCAGGGATCAAACACACCACCTCCAGGCTAGTGAGCCAGCGTCTTACCCACTTAGCCACCGTGGCTCTAGTGTAGTATAAGTATACTAGTAGATATATTTGTGGTATTTAGTCTGAGAAGCGAAAGAGTTTGGTAGTATATTGGTATTATATATAATATGGACTGTATGAATGATAAATATAATGATTGCATAAAATTAAAACATTCCAATCAATTCTATATTTTCAAATAAAAAGCAAAAAAGAAAATTCAACCTTTTTCATCATTCAAACTTTTTTTTTGAAATCAAAAACTTATTAAATTTTCTCCATGCAAACAGATATTGGAATTCTATAACCAAATATAATTGAAAATTTCAATATTTTTTTTCATCGTTCAATTTATTTTATTGAAATCAAAAACTATTCAATTTTCTCCATGCAAACAGGTATTAGAATTAATTCTATGACAAGGAGATGAAGAATAATAAGCTAAAATTTCAATATTTATCATTCAAAATGAATTATCTTAATGCAAATCGATATTAGAAATCTATGACAAGGGAAAGACAATCTGATTAAAACACAGATCCAATATTTCGTTTCGTTTTTATAGTTCAAAATTTCACTTTACTTGTCTTTAATACACTTGGATCTGGACGAGTTGTTATCATTGACGTGTTCTCAATGGTGTGAGAGATTAGCCAATGAAACGGTCTGTTACGGCGAGCTTTAGGCATGTTTTGCAAGGAACTGTGGGTAATCCACTAGTAACATTAATGCTGATTGGTTAATCAAATGTCTGACGTCATGACTCACTTGCCGCTCGTATGACCTCTGACGTGATCTATCGCTACAACCGGTCAGATCTTCATTTAGTGGAGGACATTGATAGTATAAAAAAACGAAACGAAATATAGATCTGTATTTTAATCAGATTGACTAAATGATGAATAAATAATTTCAAGGGTAAAATTGAACAGGTATATACGTTACCTCAAAGACATCTCTATCGGAACTAGATTCATATGGTAATCCTGGTGTTCCATGTGGCATACTCCGTATACTGGAACTCCCGGATCCTGGTCGACCTCCATCACGACTAGCATTACCTACAACAAATAACATCAAATATGCATAAATTGTGTGGCTCTACCGATTTGGCCCCAATTCATCTGGAACTGGTGGGTCAAGATTTTAGGGACTATTCATAGTCAACGATCTACAGAGAAAACAAGTTATCTCTATATATACATCATAAACACCTAAAAAAAAAATCTACAAATTCAGCGAAATTATGAATGAAATCATCAAAAAAAAACCCAAATATATAACAGTTTCACTTTTCATTCTGGGCCCACAACTTGAATCCATTAAATAATGTGCTGATAAATTGTAGCAAACAAAGTCATTTTTGGAGATGATATCATTATCCGGCTATGAATGAAATAAAGTAAAGTATATTTAAATTTGTTCCGTCCTTCAGTCCCAGTCTTTTTTTTTTTTTTTGTTCAAGAGAAAGAGGGAGAAAAATGGGGTTTAACGTCCTACTCCTATAGGACTGCCAGGGGATCTTTTACGTGCATTCCAATATATACACGGGACCTTGGTTTTTCGTTTCATCCGAAGGACTAGACAGCTGTCCTTGTCGGGCCCTCCGATCTGGACTCTATGACAGACCTTGTGTTCCAAGGTGCATGCGTTAACCATTCGGCAACCCAACCCCCTTCTTTTTTAACTATTCAAATATATATAGGAAACTTTGTACACACATTAAACTACTGTATATAACAGTAGTTGTATCTATTTTTGCTAATTAAATTTCAAGAGAGAGAGAGAGAAATGGGGTTTAACGTTCACTCAACACAAACTAGGTCATTTCGGGACTAACATATGGTTTAATTTCATTTCAATAATTTGCTTGCGCGTAGGGGTCTTTAGCAGTGGGAGGAAACCGGAGGCAACCCTACTCCTTGTCACGCACAACCGGGGATTCGAAACCACGCCAGTTGACTCAATGACAGGCCGTATGATACAGCACGTACGTGCTAACCATTCGGCCACCCAACCCCCCTAATTAAATTTCAACATTTCTTGAAGATTCAAAAGTGTTAAAGTAACCACAGCTAATTATTTTGATATTTTATTTTCTGGTTGCCATTAATACAACTAATAAATTTCATTCCTATCTGACTAACTAATATCTTTTGTGTTTCCATGGAAACAAATTTGAGTTTGATTTTATTATCACATTTAAATGTTTTAAATTTTCTAGCATACAAATTTTTTGTCAGGTCCTGATTGCAACATGATTCGCAGGTTGAGAAACAATCACACTTTACACACTTGGTACAAATTACAGGCAGACTAGAAATATCAAATGATGCAGCATGAATGTAACACATCAAAATGATACGAAGGTTTTCTTCAGTTCCTTAAAGAGAAATTGTTTCTTAAAAACTCTGATCGCTACAAACTTGGGATATTGTGAAAATTGAATCTCTGATTTTCTGAAAGGAATATCAAGCCAAAAATTCTGTTCTTTATATACTACACAGATATGATGAAATTTAAATTTTGCAACACTTTGCATCCTCTGTACATGTTGGGTAAAACATTTTGAAGGGATTCTTTTTAATCCAATTGAATTTTAAGCCAGGAGATTCTTTATGGCTGTTAAAGAATCAATTTGCATACATTTTAGTGCGGAATGACCCATGAAAAATCTGACATTCTCCGAAAAATACACAGGATTATTGACTTTAATAAATAATTGTTCCATAATGCAATGATAGCAAGACAAATGATTTGAAAACTGATGTGCAATTCAATGAAATGATGGTTTTTACTTTATTTTAAAATTAAAATGAAATTTTGTTTATTTCACTTGGTCAAATTAGAAATGACATTAGGTTTATTTCAATTTCACTTGGTCGAGTTAGAAATGACATTTTGTTTGTTTCACATTTGGTGTGTTTCACTTGGTTGATCAGTTAGAAATGACATATTTCATTGGTTAGAAATGACATTAGGTGTATTTCAATTGGTTGATTAGTTAGAAATGTATTTAAATTTAAAACAATTTAACATCAAAACATAAATGTGCATGAATAATGATTAGAACAAACGATTTAATGACATCATTCTCATTTAACGCTTTAGCACCTGGTACATGTAAACACTGACTAATTTGGATCCCTTGACGGACTGGGAACCTCTGGGCTCTCAGACCAAATGGTTTCTTTGGACCCCCATTGCAGTGAAGAAAACGTGACTTGACGAGAAAACGAAACAAGCATCCCACTCATATATCATTTCTCTCCTGGGATATAGGCCATTATATTTTCCAGTGGATGTAATGATTTTATTTTGAAAAAAACCCCAAAAAAACTGTATCAATTCTTTTTTTCTAATCGGTGCTCATGGGTCCCTGACCCATCCAAGGCCCAGTCCACCCCGGCTCTTTGACACAGAACTTTGTGGCTCATTTTCAGCTCTCAAGACCACCTCAAAACACCCAGGTCACAGAACTAGTATGTATATAGTCCTTAATTAGTTCCCAGCTATTCATGTGACTTGCATGGTTTGATGAACTAGAGGGAATTCCAGATGCTAAATAGTTCCCAGTGGTTTATGTGACTTGGGCGGTATAAAGCTCCAGCGATTAATGTGACTTAGGTGGTTTGATGAACTAGGGGGAGTTCCAGATGCTTAATAGTTCCCAGCAGATCATGTGACTAGGGTGGTTTGATGCTCCAGCGATTAATGTGACTTGGAAAGTTTGATGCGCTAGAGGGAGTTCCAGATGCTAATTAGTTCCATGTGACTCGGGTGGTTTGATGCCCTAGCGGGAGTTCCAGATGCTAATTAGTTCCATGTGACTCGGGTGGTTTGATGCCCTAGCGGGAGTTCCAGATGCTAATTAGTTCCATGTGACTCGGGTGGTTTGATGCCCTAGCGGGAGTTCCAGATGCTAAATAGTTCCCAGAAATTCATGTGACTCAGGTGGTTTGATGCACAACAGGGAGTTTCAGATGCTAAAGTGTTAAGCAAGCTATGACAAACTGCATACACACAACGGAATACATATTTGTGCATATGTCAAAAATATAAACAAAAAACTCAGGGTCGTAAGTACGGTGTTAAATAAATCTCAATGTATTTATTATATTTTAAGGTTAAAATTTATTGCATGTAATCTGATTAGACTGATAGGTAGGCCAATCTGACTGTCAGTCAGTCAATGAGAGTCCAGGCCCTAAGTTCACAAGGCATTCTCAGACCTAAGTTAAGAATTTACTCAAAATTGTTAGCCTTATTTTAACTAAAATATAAAACTTTTGTTGTTTTAATGTATCATATACATCAATATACGACAACATTTGCAAAGTTTTGTGTTTCTGGATCAAAGATATTTCTCATAAACAGTGCTTACGACCCTGAGATTGTGTTAGGTAATTATCTAAACTAAATAATTATATACCATTATATGCCATGCTAACTGGTCGACTACCTCGTAGCTGAGCTTCATGGATTGATTTTAAATGGGGCTGAAATAAACTCTTCATTCTTAATTCTTCCGTCGTTCCTCGTCCTTCCTGGGCCTGAAGAAAAATATTACAACCTTAGCCTTGTCTGTAAAACTAAATATTGAATATAACAGAAAGAAACAAAGTAGAATTAAATGAAATGGGGTTTATTATCTTGCTATTCTGAATCTACCAGGCTAATGCAGTTTGGTATACGTCACACAGTGTGCTATGAGGGAAATTTTGCCTGGACATTGGCTTACTGTTATATGAGTTCCAACTGTTAAGGGTCCTTCCATGCGCATGTAAGTGTGTAAATCAGACCTCGGTTTTTCTCCCATCCAAACAGCTAGACACTTTTCCTTGTTACTGACACGGGGGGAAACCATGCTGGAAAATCAAGAGGAAGTTTCTCATCCAACACCAGGAGAAAACCCCATATCACCTGGTCCTTGTTAGGCCAAAAAAAAAAGGGTTCTGTTTCCTGTAACAGATGGAAAATAGGGTAGGGTCGGTAGGAAACCGGAGGACCTGGAGAAAACCCATGAGGTTGGACAGGCGACCCTACTCCTTGTCACTACAACCAGGGAATCGAAACCACGCCAGAGCCCCCTTCAAAGTAGTAAACCTTACCTTAGGCAAGTCTATTAAAACTTGCATGCTTTGATCGGGTCCCATATGAGCCACATGGCTAAAATTGATAGGTGAGGATATTAACCGAGATCGACGATCAGGACTGAAAATATTCAATAAAATAAAAAATTATCAAAACCTATGGTAAAACAAATAAAATATTCCTTTGTATCTGAAATAAATCTAATTTTTTCCTGCTCTTTGCGTTAGTGTTTTAATTTAAAAAATTTCTAAAGATGCAAAAATTTAATTATTCATGTTTTTTTTTACACTAGTAACTATTATTACATGCGTTAAAGGACCTTGATCCCTTTAATTTAGGTGATAAAATGTGTAGAATGAACAATAACACAATTGTCATGGAATACAATCACTGTTCTGGATTGGCTTCCGATACTTGAGCTTTTGAATGAGTGTGTCTATTCTTCCCGTTCAATCAAATCTATTACAAGTACAGCAACATGACAGCCCTTTGTTTAATCTGGGCCTGGGGTCTCCGTAAAACTTTGGACAGTGATTTAAGGTATTAAAAACGGTGAAAGTATTGTTTGTCTCCATACAGTATTGTTTACATTGTATCAATGTTGATTACCTGGCTTGTCACGCAATTAGTTTTCTGCAATATTCTGCTATGCACTATGCAATTGGGCATAATAAAATCGTGAGTCATGACGTAACGTTATGTAAACATATTTGGTCTAATGTGGAGCTATGTTTAAAGTGTAATCATTAATCAAATTGTTACGCAGTTAGCTATTGATTGTTAATCGGACTATTGACCAGTCATAATTTGAAACAGAAATTTGCTTCCATTAAAGCAGTGTTTAGTGGGATTAGCTCTAATCAAAAAAAACACTGCGGGGAGTATGTTGCTTTAGATGCGTTCACTTCTACTGAACACAGGACAGTCTTTATCAAATCTACACTTTTATTTTTCACCCAAATCAAAATCGTCATTTCCTTAAAAATTTGTCAGAATGGACAAAATAAAAAATGCATTTCTAAAATTACTTATTTGTGTTTTGACATATGAGTAAAGCATTTAAAACAAAAAAATTGCATCTATTCATCAATCTATTTTACAAGCAAATTCAAAATATAAATATCAAAATTTATCGCAAAACAAAATTATAAAAAATAAATTGAAATAAAAACAAATATTAGAAATATGTAAAAGAAATAATTTTACCATGCATTATTAAATAGGTTAAAACACTAAATCTACTGCTATCACAAATTAATATGTTGAATATTTTGGCAGCCACATGTCAACCGCAAACTTTTTTTTCTATTTACGAATTTCATTTGAATACTAACATGCAAAACAGAATGACAGAAACAATGGAGTGTAAATATATCATAGCTTAATGACGTCATTCTTCAGATTTTGAAGTTAGCCTCTTATAGAACAATGTTACTACAAAAAGCTGTGGTGGGAAGGGACCCAACATATTTCAACATTAAACTTTTTCAAATGCTAGCATGCAAAACAAAATGACAGAAACGATTGGGGTGAAAACTAATACATACAATTTTAAGCTTCATGACATCATTCTTCCAGGCTCTTCACTGAAGTTAGCCCCTAATAGAACAGGTGATGACAAAAAGCGGGGTGGGAGAGAGAGAGAGAGAGAGAGAGAGAGAGAGAGAGAGAGAGAGTGAGTTTAACTCCCATGCAACACAAACTAGGTCATTTCGGGATTAACACGTGGTTCAATTTTATTTCATAAGGTCTTTAGCGGTGGGAGAAAACCCACGGGGTTGGACAGGCGACCCTACTCCTTGTCACATACAAGCGGGGAATCGAAACCACGCCAGTTGACTCAATAGCAGACCTTATGATACAGCGTGCACGTGATAACCATTCGGTCATCCAACCTCCGTCTTTGTTGTGAAACCAATGTTATATTATAATTATTTCATACACACACAAATAATTCCAAGATCTTAACATAGGTGGGGGTTTGCAAGCATGATAATTTAACCCTTAATTGAGAGTAGGCAGTGAAAGCAGATATTAAGTAACGCAATTTCACACAAAGACAAGTCGAATTTCGAGACACAGCAGTCTTCTCTCCAAAAAAACAATAAAATCTATAAAGTGCATTCAAATGGACATTTGTGCAAACTAAATGCGTTTTATTTTTGTATGTGACCATTGCTATCATTGCTGTGCAAATTAGAAAGCCATTTCAAATTTCATCATTTCTGAATAAAAGAGCAACCATCCTTCCTAAAGGGCAACTAGTCATCCAAAAGGGCAACCATCCACCCTAAAAGGCAACCATCTACCCTAAAGGGCAACCACTCATCATAAAGGGCAATAATCCGCCCTAAAGGACAACCACCTATTCAAAAAGGCGATCATTCACTCCAAAGGCAATCATCGACCCTAAGGGTAAACCTACCCATTCTGAATAAAAGCGCAACAATCCTTCCTAAAGGGCAACCAATATTCCTAAAGGACAATCATCCACCCCAAAGGGCAACATCCATCCCAAATGACAACCATGTATCCTAAAGGGAGAGAGAGAGAGAAATGGGGTTTAACGTCCACTCGACACAAACTAGGTCATTTCGGGACTAACACATGGTTCAATTTTATTTCAATCATTCGCTTGCGCGTAGGGGTCTTTAGCAGTGGGAGGAAACCGGACCATCCTAAAGGACAACCGTCCATCCTTCATTGATCAGATTCCAAGTCGATAATACAAAAGGAAAAATGAGAACAAACTGAGATTTGAGAGATGTTATCGAGTCGTCTAAAACCCGGAAAAAAAAAAAGCATTTGGCCAACAGTTCAAGGTCTTGTAACAGTAGTATTTTTGTTTTATTGTAAGTAATACATAAGCATTTAATAAGTATTATTTCAAATCCAGCATTGAAAACGGAAATAAATATTCATCTAGACGTACTACAAGTTATGTTAATCACACGGCAAACAGTATGTTAATTCTATTATAACATTCAATATGTCATCATGCAGGTATATCAATTAATACTCTACTATAATCTATAGAACTACACACTAGTGATTAAACTAAAGTTCACACGGTACAAATAATCTAAGTACAGACAAAGCAAAATAAATACAAGTGAGCAAAATGTTCATTGAAGAAAACTAAATTTTTAGTCATTCAAGTGAGCAAAATGTTCATTGAAGAAAACTAAATTTTTAGTCATCCCTCCCATCAAATAATAAATGAAGTTTCTGCTCAATCAACAAGACTATTTCGATTAGGGAAACGCATAAACTTTTAATCAATTTTCAAGGTAAGTATATTTTGCTTTGTCTGTCGATTAATTTACTAAAGAGAGGAAAGTGAAAGTAAGGAGGTATAAAAAGCACAGGCAAAGCACACTAAATATGTATTATATAGTCTGTTTCAAATTTCTTACGGTGGTGGTTTATTTATCTGATTAGGCCCAACATGAGCCACATGACTAAAAGACATGGGGGCGGAGATTTCCCGACTTCGACGATCTGGCCTAGAGAATAGAATTGGGGAGGAAAAACACATTACAATTAACATTCACAACATCTGTATGGATGTAGATTTTTGGGGGGTAGACAGCCAAAAAATGGCTATTTCTTCTTAAGTTTTAGTCAATTTCACTTCTTTTGCTAATGTTAAAAGAGGCATTATCAGGCAATCAGGTAATGTAATTGATTTGAATAGAATTGGGTTTAACATCTTGTCAACATAATACTTTGGCTATTTTGAGACTAACATATGGCAATTTCTATTCAATAGTTATGTGCGCAATGCAAGAGGAAGAAATCTGTCCAGATGGATGAATTTCCACCTCCTCTTATTCATATTCCAAGTGCCAAAATATCATTTTTATAACAGACTTTTGACACAAATAATCATCAAAAATCCAAGATTACCAAAGGTTACAAAAGTGATAGTGCCTCCTTAACATATATACCAAATATGATCAAATGTCTGCTAATTCTGTGATCCAAAAATTATCTACATCCGTGCTCATCTGGACTTAATTATCTATAAAAATATTCGGCCTTTTTCTACTAAATGTTTTTAAATGAAGAGGATATAATGAGGAAGAGATGTGATCTAAATATAGTAGCCAGCCAGAGTTATAAATAAACAATATGGATACTGTACACACAGAAAACATGATTACAATCTACAACATTGAATTAATCAATCAGAAAATCATGTTAATGTTTTATTTTAACTGACAATAAAAGATGCATTATGCAAGAGTTAAATTTGCTTATTGTAAATTTTTTTTGGGCTTCAAATGTTATACTTATTTAATCAATTGGAAAATTCTTATTTATATTTTGTTTTAATACTTAGTAAATGTTGTATTTAAGTTATAATATTTTATCAATAATTATCATGAATATTATGATAATGCATTGAATAGAGAAGTCAAATATTGAATAATTAACAGGTGATTGCTCTAGTTTAGTCCAACAAATCAATTTATAGAGAGATAGATAAATGGGGTTTAACGTCCACTTGACCCAAACTAGGCCATTTCGGGACTAACATATGGTGCAATTCTATTTCATTAATTCACTTGTGCATAGGGGTCTTTAGCAGTAGGAGGAAAACGGAGGACTTGGAGAAAACCCAGGAAGTTGGACAGACGACCCTACTCCTTGTCACGTACAAGCGGGGATTGGAAACCACCCCACTTGACTCAATGACAGACCTTGTGATGCAACTCGCACTTTCTAACCATTCGGCCATCCACCCCTAAAAATTATTTAATATCTAACATTTAAATACAGATATGATTTTATCCTTTAATAATGGTGTAAAATTATTTCAAATAATGTACGGACAACGTGCCAATCGAACATTATTTATACTAGTCGAAATATTGGACTCGTATGAAGATTTCATTGAAATGCATGTGCACGAGAGTGTCTATATTTTATGTTAATTTATAACAATCTTAACAGTAAGTAATAAATCATACGATGCAAAGAAATTAGTCTTGCTGTACTATTCTATTCAAAATAAATATAAAGCTTATTGGTCAAAAATTCAATCAAATATTTTCGGATTTTGCAAATAATTTTTGCTTTCATTCAAGTCTAAACCTACAAGATTCTTTGTTTCTCATGCTTTAAAATGCAAAATCATAATACTATAAATCATAAAGAGTCAATCTAAAATCCATTGAAATTGTGATGCGATCTAAAAGAGAGTTGCTTCCATTTCAAGAAATTCATGCACATCAAAGATTCTTAAATATACACTCACTTAATTTTTACTTTTATAGTAAAATAATTTTTTTTTATCTGTTTTAAGTGTCAATATTTTGTAATCATAAATAAAGAATATACATTACAGGCCTGGGTCATTAATTAGAAAATTTTTAATTCCTTAAAGTCACTGATACTGATAAAAGTATAATTTTGACAATGTCCAATTTTTCATTGCTAAAATCCTAAAAACATATTCAAATTGATTATTTAACTTTGAATTAGGAAAATAAAATAAAGGTTCCATTCAATCGGAATAAAGAGAGAGAGAAATGAGGTTTAAAGTCCACTTGACACCCACCAACTAAGTAATTTCGGGACTAACATACTGTTTAATTTATTACAATAATTCACTTGTTTGTAGGGATCTTTAGCGGTGGGGGACCCTATTCCTTGTCACTTATCAGCCGGGAATTGAAACCACACCACTTTACTCAATGACAGACCTTTTGATTCAATGCGCATGATTTAACCATTCGGCCAACAAAACCCCCCAATTAGAATAAAAAAGAAATTTTTTGCAGAGGATGTCAGAATGTTGCAAAATTTTTAATTAATCAACAGAATTGAACCATTTTTGAACTGATATTGCTTTCTGAGATTCAACTAGGATTAACAGCCCTTTAAATAACTATCAGTGACGTTAAGGATTTTAAATTTTCATGATTAAAAGTTAAAAGTCCCAGCCAAATGCCTTTATTCAACAGAGAGAAGAAACTGTACATATATAAATATTTCTACTATGAATATTTTGTTACTAGCCAATAAAATAAGAAGATGGAGGTTGGTTAATATACCCACCCTTTACTACTTCTATCTTCTTCTCGAGATTTAAACGAGAATCTACGTTTATTACGACTACTCTTCATCTTGAATAATTCAGCTATTAATAACCTTTCCTCTTCTGTAAAATATAATCAACAACAAATAGTTAATCACAACACAAAATTAACCACCAACAATGGCTAAACTGTGGAAAAACAAAAGCAGCTATGGTTGATATAAAAAAAAATCACATTATTTTGCAATAATTAATCAGTTGAAATTAGCCATGACCAACAGCTAAATTGTGAATATATACTGCCTTCTATATTAAAATCTGGCAATATTTACAATACTTATCAGAACGTGAAATTAACCACGACTAACTGCTAAACTGTGAATGTATATTAGCTTCTATAATAAAACCTGGCATTATTTACAATATTTATCAGAAAGTGAAATTAACCATGACAGAAAAACAGTGGAAAAAAACTGAAGCAGATAACGGCTTCTATAATAAAATCAAATATTATTTGCTGTTGCATATGACGTAGATGCTCCCAATGTTCGTGTTATTAATCTTCTATACCAAATCTTATTCCAATAAGAATATCAGTGGTGATTGTATTAAAATTCATTCAGCCTGTATTGGAAATAGAAATCGAGACAGCCTAGTTGTAAATAGAATTTCTTCTGTGGATATATATGATCAACTTCATGTTTAGATGAGTTTTGTATAATTTCCAGAGTAAAAACCTCAAGCCACACCCAACACATTTGGAGATGTTGATACTTACGTGCATAGAAGTTTTTCATATAAAGAATATGGTGGGACTCTGGTAAATTCATCAAACAAAGAGCACCATCACGACACAGAGGGCGTGTCTGAAAAATAGAAAGGTAGGGAATGAAATCAACTGAAAACAAGAGAGAAATGGGGTTTAACGTCGACTTGACACAAACTAGGTCATTTCAGGACTAACATACGTTTTTTTTTAAAAAATTTTATTTCAATAATTCGCTTGCGTGTAGGGGTCTTTAGCAGTGGGAGGAAACTGGAGGACCCTGAGAAAACCCACGAGGTTGGACAGGCAACCCTACTCCTTATCACATACAACTAGGGAATCAAAACCACGCCAGTTGTCTCAATGACAGACCTTATGATACAACGCAAAAACACGAACCATTCGGCCATTACAATAATAAGCTGATGTGTGTACAAAGTTAATAATAAACATATCTTGAGCAGTTTATGAGATTTGCTAGGTAAGTAAAGCAGATGGGAATCCATTTAAATATCTCCCCTTTAACTGCGTTAGATGTAGGTTAATAACAAATATAAATCACAAACAGATGAGAGAGAGAGAGAGAGAAATGGAGTTTAACATCCACTCGACACAAACTAGGTCATTTCGGGACTAACATATGGTTTAATTTTATTTACATAATTCGCTTGCGCGTACAGGTCTTTAGCAGTGGGAGGAAACCGGAGGACCCAGAGAAAACCCACGAGGTTGGAACTAACAGATGAAATAAAACTTGTGTTTGTTAGGCAAACGAATATATATTGACTGGCATCTCATAGGTACAACTTTATTATAAAAGTCATGACATTTGAATGTTTTGCCATTTTAAAAGAATTTTCTGTGAAGTAAATAAATTCCATTTATCCCCAGGAATTTATCTATAAAATAAAATAGAAAGTATGATAATAAAAAAATAAATCCAACCTTTTTCAGGCAGAGTGTCTGAATCCATTCTGCACTTCTGGCATCGAAAATGAAGACAGAATTCTCGGAGTAACAGGCAAGAAAAGGCTCATTGTAGGCTAAAAAATAAAAAATATAAAAAATGACAAATCAAACACTTAAAATAATAACAAATTGTTGGCTATAAGCAACACCCATTTTATTTTTATTCTCGGTCATCTCCAATTGGGGAGAAGTATCAAAATGTTCAAAGATTAAAGATCATTTTAATTTTATACCTTGTGTATCACTTTATCCTTGTGTATCATTTTAATGTGGTATGGCCAAAGCAATTTTACTTACTATATCTCTTGAGTTTTTTTTGTTTTTTTTTTTAAAATCTAAATTACATGGTTGCTATTTTTTAAAACATTTAAAGTTTTGAAATTATAAGCAAAGCATTGTTAAAAAAACCTGGAAGAACTAAATATTAAATTATTTTGGTTGAATAGTTGAAATTGTGATGATTAAAATGACCACGACAAATGAAATGAAGTTTAACGTCCTACTGTTCTGCAACAACTGGGCTAATAAAGACGGTCATACGCCATACAGTGACATTTTGCCCGGACAGAGGCACTACTCTTATACTGAATTCCAACTTTCAAGGTGCTTTTACATGCATGCCAACGTATACATGGAACCTTGGTTTTTTGTCCAATCCAAACGACTAGACTAGACCAAATCTGAGACCTAGTTAGCGACCCAGTGTCTTACTCATGGAGATGTCATGGCATTATTTTATATATATATAACTACTTACTGACAGCCTGAACAAGAGCTGGCCACAATAATTCCTGTTTTCTCTTTCTTCTACCACTTTCATCAACATACACACCTAGACCTAAATATACATATATTTACATAAATAAATAAAAAATACGTCCAGGTAAAAAATTCATCACTTTACTTCATTCTGGCATACATTAAATCATAAGCTAGCTTTCTGCCCTCTATAGGTGTCTTCAGATATTTATAATGTATACAAGATATTAATATTTATAACTTCTGTAGCCTTCTGACGTGTAGTCACACACATTAAAATAAGTATATCTTAGCTCATACATAATCTAATTTTTAACTTCTATAGCTGGGCCCTTATTCACGAAAACTTAAACTAAGATACAAACGAAATTTTAAGAAATACTGCAATTCGATTGGCTGACCAGTAAAATCAATTTGCATATATCCAATTTGCATATTGGTCAGCCAATTAAATTGCAGTATTTCTTAAAATTTCGATTGTATCTTAGTTTAAGTTTTCGTGAATAAGGGCCCAGGACTCCTAAGTTAAAACAAGGATATCTGACTGATTTTAAACTTCATCTGGCCCAGAGTTCACAAAGCATTCTCAGACTTTACTCAAAATTGTTCACCTTATTCTAACTAAAATTAGTAAAATATAGCCCTTTATAAAACTTTTGTTGTTTTAATGTATCAAATACATCAATAAGAAACTATGTACAAAGTTTTGTCATAAACAGTGATTGAAAGTTGAATAAATTCTTTGAGAATGCTTTGTGAATTCGGTGCCAGTGCTGTTGTTTTCTGAATTGTTTATTGAAAGTCAAATTAGTTGGTACCACAAGATGGAGTATTGCAGATAAATCAAGAAAGCAATGTTGCAGTGTCTGCAGCACAAGCGGTTGCTTCTTCGGTCACAACCTTCACCTGTTTCCGATAAGATCTTTCAAAACATTTGTTCTGGTATAGGTCTTAAAATGTTTAGGGACACAGCAGTCAAAGGGTTAATTCATATGTATAGGCCGTCCAATGTTCAGTGACTTGGTAGTCAGAAGGTTAAGGCATGTTGCTGTCTAAAGGCTGGGAAACGTTCAGGGCCTCAGCAGTCAAACAGTTATGGCATGTTGTTGTGTATAGGCTGTAAAATGAAATCAAATGAAATGGGGTTTAACGTCCTACTGTTCTTCTCCCAACTGGGCTAATGAAGACGGGCATACGCCATACAGAGTGCTATGAGGGATCAAACACCCGACCTCCAGGCTAGCGAGCCAGCGTCTTAACCACTTAGCCACCGTAACCCCCGTATAGGCTATAAAACATCCACACAACAGTCCAAGGATTAAAGCATGTGTAAAGGCTGTGATGGCATGTATAATAATATATAATTTTACTTACTGTTAAATACAAGTAGATATTCCTTGGATAGTTCAACAGCTAATATAGCATCTATTGTATTACTTGTTATAAACTTTAATCTTTCATCTTCATAATTAATTAAAGCTAAAAATAAAAAAAATATCTTATGTACTAGTGTTGGAGAGAAACAAATGGGGTTTAATGTATCCGGGAGAAAACTGACGAGGTTGAACATACTAGTATTAAGAGCGATAAATAATTGTGACCAAACAGTTGCAGATTTTGAGTCCTGTATTGTACACAGGGCTGTCGGTAATTTTTCACGGTTGATTAGCAGCACTGCTAATCAAAAAGTCCAATTTTGCCAAATTTGATTAGCAAATTTAAAAATTGATTAGCAGTTTTTCAGTTTCAACATAAAACACCTAAATAACAAGATATTACTTTAATTCATAACAAATATGATTAGATTCCATTCTTACTAATCTTAGATTTTTTTAGGACTGCCACAAGTACTTGTGACAGTTTGGGAATGTGATGTAGACATTTAGTTAGGTCTTATGTCTGAAGCCAATTCTTAACAGTGACTTCCGAAGCCCCAATCATTTTAATTGTTATTTTTTGTACGTTAGAAATCTTCGTTAGAAAACAATTTCGTCTGCTTTTTATCGTGTATTGCTTTTTTTGTTCAATCGGGCGCACCTTGATTGACTAGACACGTGATATTTTACAGGAATTTTTACTTTGATTTATCATTTTACAATACGTTAACATTTATTTTTTTATATTTTATTTATAATACGTAGATTATACACTGGATTTATTTCTTTCAAAATATCATATAATTACTTGATGTCTCGCAACGTGGGTGGTACTACTTGATTCCCTGTTTCCGGTTTAATAGTCCCTATTCATAGAGTTATGTCCCTGTATTATATAGTACCGTATAATGAATTGTGTCTGGGTAGTTCGAGAAGAAAATGTCACACGGAGAATTCAGTTTTGTTTATAAAATTTTATTCAACATTTTATACTCGTTGAAATTGTTGAGAAAGCTTTCTAGTCTACAAATGTGGATTATCCTTGTGTCAATATCCAAAATGACAGGCATATTAATGATTCGCAGTTACTGCGAATCAAAAACTTTAGATTTAAATTTTTGATTAGCAACGGACAAAATATGTATCGCAAATTGCGCTGCGATACTGGTTGTCGGCAGCCCTGATTGTACACCAAAGACACTTTATCGCTGTATTCCAGCAACCACATCTCTAAATGATTTTCGGTTTGATATTATGAGCAGAGTATCACACATACGATTTAGATCAACAAGTTCTGACTCCCTCTGGAACAACCCCATGGTTTACATTGGGGTTTAATACCCTCTCAACACAAACTAGGCCATTTCGGGACTAACAAATGGTTCAGTTTTATTTCAATAATTTGCTTGTGTGTAGGGGTCTTTAGAAGTGGGAGTAATCCGGAGGACCTGGAGAAAACCCACAAGATTGGAAAGGTGACCCTAATCCTTATCAAGTACAACTGGGTAACCAAAACCACGCAAGTTGACTCAATGACAGATCTTATGATGCAACGCGCACGCGCTAACCATTCGTCCATCCAACTGTCCGATTCCTGACACAAACAAACTGTCCACAAGTGAAGAAGAGAAGAGAAAACTTGGGGTAAAAATATTTCAAACTCCTGCTTGAATTCTCAATGCTTGTATTTTTCTACGATTTTGAACAACACTAAAAATAAAAAAACGTGTTATACTTACTATACGAAGGAGCATCACCTTGAACACTATGTAAACTAAAACACGATGGATAGCCGACACATAATTTCTCATTAAATATATCTACGTATTGAACAACCCCTGGAACAGGTATATCTTTCAGTTTATAATATTTCTGCCGCGTATTACTCAGATGATATAACTGTATAGTCCTTTTTACCGCGGCACACAAACACGTCACTGTTCCTTGTTTTATTTGTCCGACAGCAAACAGTTGACAACCCTTGGTTTCTGCTATTTTCATTGCTTCGTTATCGCGTGTAGTTGCGGTTGTATCGAGAGCCGATTGGTTGACGATTTTGATATGGCGTTGTTTACCTGCATGGGGAAAGATGGAAATAAAATGTATATTACATACAGTAGTTTACAAATCCAGTGATTTACTGTTTTATCTAATGAGAAAAAGAGAGATGGGGATTAACGTCCACTCCACACAAACTAAATCATTTTTGGACTAACATACATTCAATTTTATTTCAATAATCCACTTGCACGTAGGGGTCTTTAGCAGTAGGAGGAAACTGGAGGACCCAAAGAAAACCCACAAGGTTGGACAGACGGCCCAACTCCTGGGGAATCGAAATCCCACTAGAGAGAGAGACAAAAACTAGGTCATTTCGGGACTAACATATGGTTTAATTTTATTTCAATAGGGGTCTTTAGCAGTGGGAGGAAACAGGAGGACCCAGTGAAAACCCACAAGGTTGGACAGGCGACCCTACTCTTTGTCACGTACAACCAGGGATTCAAAACCACGTCAGTTGACTCAATGACAGGCCTTATGATACAGAACGCATGTGTTAACCACGGGCCCCCCTCCCTTCCCGAAACCACACTTATGGACTCAATGATAGATCTTATGATACAACGCGCACGCATTACCCGTAATGAGATATATGTGTCATTGACTAACATCTCCCTCTTTCTAAAATAAAATTATATAAAACAAAGACAACTTGTTGCCCAATCTTGAATTAGGTACAACACTTGATATCTTACCACTAATAAAGACTACAAGATGTTCTGATGGGACCATTTCTATCTGATAAACTTGTTTCTTTTCACTACTAATACGGATACATTCTAAAAATATATCAAAAAACATTCTCATAATTAAAATAATATCTTCTCAACTATTGTATATAGGTAAACTTCAATTTCTACCGACTACAATTTCCGTCCCATCCTACTGACTAATACACAATTTCCTTGACAGCCTAGCAGACGACACTCCGAAAAAGGGACAAATCCTGAAAGGTCCTTCTCAGACCCTTTTGTATTATAACTGAGCCTAGAAACTCTGTTGGTGACTTGTCTGCTATGGCTAATGAAGACGGGCATATGCCATACAGTGTGCTATGAGGGAAATTTTGCCTGGTCAAAGGCATTATGGCCTACTCTTACATCGAATTCCAACTGCCAAGGGATCTTTTACGCGCATGTTAACGTATACATGGGACCTCGGTTTTTCGTCACATTCGATCGACTAGACAGCTGCCCTTGTCAGACCCTCTGTCCTGCACTATGACAAGGAGAAACCATGTCGGAAAATCAAGATGAACTTTCTTGGCCAATGCAAGAATCAAAACGTGACCTCCAGACTAGCGAACCAGTGTCTGACCCACTTAGCCACTGTGGCTCCTAGTAACAAATGACGTCGCCCCCACGCAGCTCCACATTTTACCGTAATAGTATGAAATGAAAGGAAACCAGGTTTAATGTCCTATTGTTCTGTCAGAAAGAAAAGTAACAAAATATTTGACTTACGGTCTTTACTTAAATTAACCACATGTAAACCTTCTTCTGTACCTAGCACTATTCTAGAAGAATCTACAAAAAAACAAAATTACTGTATATTGGTGAACATCTCATCTGCGACTTGTGATTATCCCCCCCCCCCTTTCACATCCATTATTTATTTGGTGTACAATAGAATGAATGAATGAAATAGGATTTAACGTCCTACTTTTGTATACAATAGAGTTTAACATCTCGTAAAAATATAATTTTTTGCTCATTTTTAGAGTAACAATGTTATTCTTTCTAGGGTCATGGATGCAATGCTAGATAGAGTTTTACCCAGACAGCATTTTTTTTGTATACTCTTCATAAAATTCCAATTGTCAAGGGATCTTTTATGTACATTAGGGCCTATAACTCTGGAAATACTTTTTACAAAACACTGTAAAAATTGCATAAGCCAAAAGATACTAACCTAATATTGCAGCAGATAAAGTCGCTTTAATCAGCGATAAAGAATTATCACAAACTTCCTGGGCCTGATAAACCTACAAAAAACAAAACAATTCTTTAATTATTTTATCCACCCATTGCTACCCTGTAATCTGATTAAAATACAGATCTATATTTTGTTTCGTTTTTTTTTTTATACTTTCGATGGCCTCTATACTACATGAAGATCTGACCGATTGTAGTGGAAGGATGTGTCAGGGGTCATACAAGAGGCTTTTGACCCTATGACGTCAAACATTTGATTAACCAATCAGCATTGATGTTTCTAGTGGGTTACCCACAGTTCCGTGCACCTTACGCCAAAAACTTGCGGTAACAGACCGTTTCATTGGCTAATCTCTCAAATCAACCAGAATGCGGGTTATATAACAATTGTTCCAGGTCCTAGTGTAGTGAAGACAAGGTAAACGAAATTTTAAACTAATAAAAAAGGTAATAGGATCAGTGTTGTAATCAGATTGGCTGTCCTGTGATACGTATATTATGCTATCATCCATAGACAAAAAAGATAACAATCTTTTAGAGGCATTTAGTAACTGGATAGAAATGAAAATGAAATGAAATGGGGTTTAACGTCCTACTGTTCTGCTCCTAACCTGGGCTAATGAAGACGGGCATACGCCATACAGTGTGCTATGAGGGAAATTTTGCCCGGACAGCGGCACTACGGCCTACTCTTATATCGAATTCCAACTGCCAAGGGATCTTTTACGTGCACGCCAATGTGTACACGGGACCTCGGTTTTGCGTACCATCCGAACGACTAGACAGCTTTCCTTGCCAGCCCCTCCGTCCTGCATCACTGACAAGGGAGAACCACGCCGGAAAATCTGGATGAACTTTCTCGGCCAATGCAGGGATCGAACACCCGACCTCCAGGCTAGCGAGCTAGCGTCTTACCCACTTAGCCACGTGATCCCCAGTAACTGGATAGAGCAATAAACTATAACACATACTTATGGAAGAACAATTACTGATTTATTTAGAAGACGTTTCGAAGAGTATTCTCTCAACGTTTTCAAGCAAGTACAGTAACAAATGTGTAGGGCAATTATATATGCGTCACAACACCACCCTGCCAAATGATGTTTCCATCTTCCTGTGACAGGTCACCATTAAATTAAACTCTTACCGTTTTCTTAGGTAGGGTGATTTTTCGTATTAATTTATGCAGTTCTGAGAGGACAGTTAACCAGGTTTTTTTCTCTGTTTCACTTTCAGCTAACAATAATATCTGATATTGTGAACCTGGTGGATTCATTTCGGATGTTGATACCTGGAAAAATTTACACATACATTAACCAAGAATGAAGCAAAAATGGTTCAATTCCATTCAGTATTTACCGAGGGGATACTTGATAGAATGTTCCGGAATTAATTTCTCTCAATTCCGAAAATAGTATCAATCGAGTGAAAAGGAAAATTTCGGAGTACAACGCATGTGCCGACTGCATAAAAAATATTTCAACCGATCATGGCAGCTGAAACATATTTGTTACTTAAAATACGTTACGATTCTACTCACACCACCCCAGCTGTTGGGACTGGCAGAACTGTGACAGGACTGAATTCCGTATCACTTGATGGCAATTTTGTGAATTCGGGACGTTCCGGACTGACAATCGAACACCCCCTAAGATACAATGAATAGATAATGTGCCAACACTCAGCATTCACAGCAGACCATATTTCGGGGAGCCACGGTAGCGAAGTGATCTGATATATTTTGTAAATCACTTTAAGAGCACAACACTAAGTTCTATATAAATCTTCTTCTGTGGGGGTAGTTCTCTGGTTCACCATGGATGTCATGGATTAAAATGTATTAAATCTTAAAACCACATGTGAGATAGGCCATGTTTTTATTGAGCCTAAGTACTAAAGATTTCACATACGGGAGATAACTCTTGAGTACTTCAATAAAAAAACAAAGGGGAGGGAACTCTTCCATGATAGGTGGCATTACTATATGACAGCAATATAAGATGTGTATTTGACTTACCCTAAATATACAAGGTATATCTTTTTTATTAGCATGTATCACATCACTTGGTAAAACGGCAGCAGCAGAAAACTCATCATCCCTGTAAATAGATTGAAATATTTACATTTATTACCCATCAGTGGTGGAAGACCTGGAGAAAACTGTGGTATATTAGAGAGAGAGAGAGAGATAGAGAGAGAGAGAGAGAGAGAGAGAGAGAGAGAGAGAGAGAGAGAGAGATAAGGTTTAAGCCCACTCGACAAAAACTTGGCTGGGGTTCTTTAGCAGTGGGAGGAAACCGGAGGACCCAGAGAAAACCCATGTGGTTGGACAGGTGACCCTACTCCTTGTCACATACAACTGTATGATACAACGTGCAGAGGCAAACCATTCGGCCATCCAACCCCCCATTTACTCAATGAGAGACGTTGTTTAATAAACTATATTTACCTCATATCAATAACTTGTTGTACATGTTGTGTTGGTACAGTTTTATCTTGAGGAAGTTCATACAAAAACAGTTTAAAATCACAGACAATCATATAATGTCGTACCCAGCCTTTCTTAATACCACCTAAACGTGGAATCTGAAAAACATAAAACACAATTTATATTACATGATGCAGAAATCAACTTGATGTTTCCGAGTCCAGACACTAATTCAGGTGATGTTCGATTTTCAGTCCAGAACGTCCTGAATTGACAGAATTGCAATCAAGTGATACAGAATTCAGTCCCGTCACAGTTCTGCCAGTCCCAACAACAGAGGTGGTGTGAGTAGAATTGTGACGTAATTAAACACAACGAATATGTTTCACTTGACTGTCACTATTTTTGTGATTGAGAGAATTCAATTCCGGAATGTTCAATCGAGTACCCACTATGTGTCACAGTCTTGCAAGGATTTTCAGGAAAATGGAAATTTGATCAAGATGTTCTTAATCATAGTCAATTAAGGCCTTTTTCAAAGAAATTTTAACAACAAAGTATATGAGACTGGTCAATGACTATCCGAAATTTGACTTGATGATGAGGATGATGATAATAATCCAATACAACTAGGGTGCCAAATCCACACAAAAGCATGCTGGAAGTATGATGAGAAAATAGTTATATACTCAGTAAGTAGCAAGTCAAATTCTCATAGCATTCACCTAATAAGTCAGTGTTCAACTGAGTGTAGTCAAGGTTTCACCATCTCAGATCTTGAAAATAATGGTCCAACCTCCTTTCATTTCAAATACCCACATCATTTTTGGACTAACATATGGTATATTATATTTCAATAATTCGATTGAGCATAAGGATCTTCAGCAGTGCGGGGAAACAGGAGGATCCAGAGAAAACACAGGAGGTTGGAAAGACAACCTATTTCTTGTCATGTACAAGTGTGAGCTCGAAACCTGACTAATTGGCAGATCTATGATCTAAAGTGAATGTGTTAGACCATTCAGCCACCCCCACCGATGTTAAATACGAGATATAGTGAAAGAAATAAACGTACCTTTACGTAACCTTCATACGCAGTACCAATTCCTTTATTCATATCCATACCCGGTGGTCTTTTAGCTAAAACAAAACAAAAAAATAATTTGACATTATCTAAAAATCTGAATAAATGAAACTAGGGGTTAACGTTTTATGTTTTAGCACCAATCGATCATCTAATCAAAGACAGGCATACATCATGCAGTGTGCTATGAGGGGAAATTTTGCCCAGGCAGTACCCCTGTGACCTACTCTTATAATAGACTTAAGTGAGTTAGATGTTCATTCCCGGTCGGGCGAAAAACCGAGGTCCTGTGTACACATTGGCATTCACGTAAAAGATTCCCCGCCAGTTAGAATTCGATATAACAATAGGCCATAGTGCCGCTGTCTGGGCAAATTTTCCCTCATAACACACTGTATGGCATATGCCCATCTTCATTAGCCCAGTCGGAGCAGAACAGTAGGATGTTAAGAAGTTAAACCCCATTTAATTCATATCGATTTCCAGCTATCAGGGGATCTTTAACTTACTGCCAATGGTCTGCATGGGAGGGACCTTGTGCTGTTGTCCAAATCAAACGAATGAGCTGGGAGGTACATGTTCAATACTCTCCAGCTGAATAAGACAAAATCCCTATTTTCCAAACCACTCAGCTGTAGTTGGATTTTTGGGAGAATAGTACAAGGTAGAGCTGGCATTGCAAAAAAAATGAAGCAATTGCAGTGTATTGCAGAGCTTAAAAGAACTTCTGCAAGGATACAAAAGAACAACGGCAAGAATACAAATGAAACAACAGCAAGTAATATGAAGTTCACTTACCTACATCTGCTGGTACTTTACACTGAGCAGGTGCTTTCTCAACACAAGACGTATGACAGGTAAAACCACAGGTAGCACATGTTACACCTTGTCTCCACGTACCCACTAGTAACGACGTACACAGGTTACATTTATACGGTGATTGGAAATTTTTAATGATATATCTGTGGCCATCTTGCCTTTGTGGAGACATTTTACCACCTGAATTATTCTGATTCCAGGAAGATGAGGTATCGTTTGTGTTATCGTAAGCTTGATCTGTCAATGGCTGCTGTGATGTTTCCCGACTAAACGTTGATTCAGGAGTACCCAGAGGTGTTCCACCTGTCTGTAAATCTGTTCTGGAATCGGTTCGAGAATCTGTTCTGGATGCAGCATCCTCGCTATCTTCTTCACGTTCACTATCTAATGATGATTGCTGTAATTAATAAATTATAACATTAAATAAAAAATAAATCAATAAATTGATATAACAGTAAATAAAAAAAAAATAAAAACAAATAAATAAGTATCAAAGAATGCTATGATAAAGCAATTGTTAATTTTTCGTTAGAAACAATGTCAGATTTAAAGATACATTAAAATGTTATATAAATTATTAAACATTAATTAACTTATCTAGACCGTAATCAAGGCCAATGATCATTGGATGGCAGACATTTAAATATATCCACAAGATTTTAAAATTTAACAATACTAAAATGGACAATCAAGGCTAAGTCTTGGTTGTCCAGTAATGTTGCTACGATAATAAACAATCCATGCCATATCTTCAAACAGTCATAACTTCGCTCAGAATAAAGTTATTTGAATTAAATTTTCAATATATTCATTTTGCATTATCTATTTTTGAACTATAGCAAGAGGGTCAGGCTCTTTATCTAAATTAAACATATTGTATCTTTAAGCTCCATTATATTAAACAAGTTGTCTAATACAGCAAGCTGTAATTGGATATAACATGTTTTCACATTATGCAAAGGTTGGTCATGATTTGAATTTTACAGGCTGAGAAACTTACCGAATTAAAGATCTGAAATTGTTCGTTCATAAATTTGAAAATGGATGAATTTTCACCATAACTTCTTTCCCCTGAAATGGATAATAAAAGATATATTATAAACAGATCAAAATACAAAATTAAATCATTTTCAGTAATAAATTCAAATTCCATTATTCACTCAGATCATGTACATGTATTTCATATGAAACTTAAATAAACAGTGGATAACTACTGGTCCCACATGTTACAAACTTTATAAAAACCCAACTAATTATTAAATATCAACTCCAAAATCATATCTTATACATGTTTTAGTGGTACAGTACGGTGGTCCGCGCAAGCACATTGGAGGGCACATAAAATAACCCTTGACAGTTACAATTTAAATGAGAGAGAGAGAGATAGAAATGGGGTTTAACGTCCATTCGACACAAACTAGGTCATTTCGGGACTAACATATGGTTCAATTTTATTTAAATAATTCGCTACTCCTTGTCACGTACAATTGGGGAATTGAAACCACGCCAGTTGACTCAATGACAGACTTTATGATCCAAGAACAGACATGGGGGTAAAGCATTATTGCACCTTAATAGGGATGAATAGGAACAGTCAGCAGAGGAACTAATAAATACATAACTTCGATTACTTTGAGTAAAACATTTACAGTAATATTTCTTTCTTTGCTAGAGGTGAGACTGTTGTCTAAACGTACAGTAGTGTTTCTGCCACTTATTCTTGGATTCCCAATTGCCATGGACAACGCCAACATGTACACAGATGGGGTTTAACGTTTTGTTAAAGGACAATATTGGTGTCAGTCATTATCACATATGTGATAGAGCTGGTTAAACACATTCCAAATATAATTTTAACAAAGAGATCATTGCTACGATAGCTGAGTAATGCAGGTTTCCTGAATCGGAAGTGACGAACGCGAAAGGAAAACACGGGTCATCTCTCTATATAACTGACTGTCAAGGGTTATTTAACATGCACGTCAAAATGTACACAAATATACTTTTGGTTATGTTTTGGTCCCATATGAATGACTAAACAAATTTCCCTTTCCAGACCCTTCGTCCTGCACCACTGATCACTCCAAAGGCATGGAAAAAATATTCTGGGTAAATTACTCAAATTGAATTTCCTAAATAGAAACTATCTATGTTATTGTGCTATTTATAGTAATACTAATCTAGTTAAACACACACAGCTTGTTTTAATTATTCAAAATAAGAACCAAAGTTTCATTTATAAAATATAAATCAAAATACATTTTATGGTTTCAGTTTCTTTAACTTAAAAGCACAGATATTTTCAAAACTCATACAAATGCAATTAATAAGCAGAACATAAATTTTTCTCCACGATTTCTTGTTGGGCACTCAATTGAACTTTGTCTAGAACATTCCAAATTTTAACTGAGTTACACGGAATTGAGTCCTGCAAGGGTTCTGCCAGTTTCGAAAACGGATTTGGTGTGAACATAAAATGTTTAAACTAAATTGTGATTGGTCAAGACATTAAAATCAGTTGAGATATCCTTTGTGATCCGAAAATTCATATGATTACTCGATTGACACCTTTCACAAGGTATGCGTTATTCCTAATTAAATTAAAAGAAATCTGAACCATAAAAAGTATTTCTACCAAATTCCAAATATCTAAAAATATTCTACAATATCAATCAAAACATCTGGATATTAATCAGTCTATGTTTAGAGTGAAATCTACTATTTTATACGATCTATAATAATTGTAATTTGTGATCAGTGCTTGATTTCTTTCCATGCTTTAACTTCAAACTTATCTTTTTATTTGTTAAAATAATGATACATTCATCTTGACAAATCGGCCCCGTTTGTCGCGACGCAGGAGCGCCATCACGTAGTGATCTCTAAAACTATTATGGCCACTTCCGCCTTCATTTCTATCGGGTTTGGAGCTCAAAGGACGGCAATCAACTCGCTCTAACTTGACTGAATGAAAAATCTAACATACCTTTCGACTTTGTGGAATAACAATCTATAATTCTAGTGATCTTTTTTTTAAAAATCTTATCGGATTCCTGAGAACAGATGTATTTTCTTCATGATCACCATCAAAACATTGAAGAATCGATAAGGTCGTAAATTTTATGTTAATTAGATTGCCATTACTTAGATTTTCCTTTTTCTCACTGTTTTATTGTCGATTTGGGATGATACGAATATTTAGTATATATTAAAGACGTCTCTATTCATTTGACCTCATTTGACGTTTAAACCTATATAATGTACATGAATTTTAGGTACTTTTTTTTTGCGGATAAATACAGCTGCTCTGTATTGTATTCTGTTGTAGACTGTGAAAATTTTGGATCCATGTGTCGACGCTTTAAATCACATGGATCTATTAACCCTTCTAACTGTTTAATTCCATTTTTTTCATTGAAGATTCTTATATTACAAATCTTTCCTTACACTAGAAACATAATCACTGGATTAATATTTAACCAAAGATAATGAAATCTCTAATGATTCCATTGCTACAATAGAGCACTGCTATCCCAAAACTGTGAAACACCACAACATATTCGCGACAGCCAAATTCTCAAAATTTTAAAATCCCAATTAAAAACTCATTTACTCAAACAATCTTACATAGACTAAACTTAATAGACGTGTATATAAATGAAATGAAATGAAATGGGGTTTAACGTCCTACCGTTCTGTTTCGACTGGGCTAATGAAGATGGCCATACGCCATACAGTGTGCTATGAGGGAAATTTTGCCCGGACAGCGCCACTACGGCCTACTCCTATATCGAATTCCAACTGTAAAGAGATCTTTTACGTGCACGCCAATGTGTACACGGGACCTTCATTTTCCGTCCCATCCAAACGACTAGACAGCTGTTCTTTTCAGGCACTCCGTCCTGCATCACTGACAAGAGGGAACCACGGCGGAAAATCTGGATGCCCTTTTCTCGGCCAATGCAGGGATCGAACACCCGACCTAGCGAGCCAGCGTCTTACCCACCATGACCCCCAGACGTGTATATAAGTTATTGCTTGTAAAACTGTTTTGAGTATGTTTATGGATAGATTTGACACTATTACTATTATCTAACATTTAAGAATACAAATTTGACGATCTAGCAATAAAACATTAAAAGTTGTTAGCATTGCATTTATCTAGAAAACCTGTTAAATGTAAATGGTAAGCAACCTTTAAAATTATAGACAATTATTTTACTTAATTTTAAAAAGATTCTAACAATCTAGTCTAAATTATTAATAAAGATGCTTTTAACATTTTTGGGGAACAGGACAATCAAAACACACAACTGCTATCACCCATAGGGCGGGGTCGATTTAAATCATACATTCTATAATGTCCCCCAACACACACACAGAGAGAGAAATGAGGTTTAACGTCCACTCCACACAAACTAGGTCAATTTTATTTCCATAATTCGCTGCTCGTAGGGGTCTTTAGCAGTGGGAGGAAACCGGAGGACCCGAAGAAAACCCACTAGGTTGGACAGGCGACCCTACTCCTTGTCACGTACAACTGGGGAATAGAAACCCCGTCAGTTGACTTAATGACAGACTTTATGATACAGCGCGCACATGCTAACCATTCGGCCTTCCCCTCTCAGCACACAACAAGACCTAATGATTAATACAAACAGCATGGCATAATAATATATAGATAAAGATGCTGAACATGTTATTTATCATCAATACCTCCATTGCTAGTAGGTTCAAGCCCTGAAAGTTATAAACAATGCAAGCTTTCAACAAACATCGTTAAATATCTTTTAATATTGTTGTAATATATAACAAAGTTAGTATGGCGATAGCTTATAACAAAACCGTTATTAATTATATTATGGCCTTACTATTGATAGTGTCACAGAATAAGGGGTGTTTCAAGATTGCTACCAACATCAGTGTTGCAGTAGACAACAACATCAGTGTTGCAGTAGACAACAACATCAGTGTTTAAGTGGAAACATTGCAGTACACATCAACATCAGTATCACAGAGGACAACATAAGTGCTGCAGTAGTCATTTAGACAATAAAGAGCTAAATAAAATCTCAAATTATAATGCCTCTATAGTGTAACGAGATTTTGCAATAAAGGGGAATAACTCTGGAAATTATAACCAAACATCACTGAAAAAATCAATAGGGTTCTTCCTTTCAATAGACAGCCGACAGACAGACAGGATGATAACATCATACCACCACATTAGGATGTGGTCGTATAAAAACTAAATACCTTCTTGCAAATATGGAATTGAATTCAACTCCATAAAGGGATAGTGCTGATTAATAAAGATTTTACCAATTGCGTTGAATACCCAAAAACCACATGCAAAAGCTTATGAGAATAAATAACATTTAAAAATAGAAGTTGCGGGCACACTCTGCCTCATGCACAACACCAGTACTAGTCAAACCTGATCATTTGATATGTTACAGAATACATTTTTTTGAACCTGTTTGTTTTAAATCCCTTTCAGCACTATCCCCTTGTGGTAATGCACTTGTGACAACACACTTGTGACAATAAATACAATTGGTTGAAAAACTGAACCAAAATTCCCCATTTCCAGCATACACATAATGCCGCAACCCATTTCAATACCCCACACAAGATATTAAAAATATTCAGTCAATAAAAACAGCAGAAAAAACCCAAGCTATAAATTGTTATAAAGCAAAGTCACTGAAAGTAAAAGTAGGAATATTTTTTAGGAGAAAAACAAAGCGAAAATAATTTGCGGAGAAAAACGAGAGTCTTACTGAGGTAACGTTTGACCACTTCCACTGAAAATGTTAATAAATTAAATAAATGTTTCAGAAAATTAAAAAAAATTACCGACAAATAGTCCCAAAAGTTAAAAAAAATAATAAAATAAAATAAAACTGGTGATTCAGGAAAATGTTGATCTACGATGTGCTTGATAAAGAAGATAAAAGACGAAAGACGGGTTTACATATTCTGATTGGTTGATAGTCTGTAAAGTATAGACAAAGAAATCAAACACTGGAAATAAGCTACTTATTGCTGACAATGTCCGGCACAGATTCAGGCTCTGACATGTATATAAATTTTTTGGTGCCTGATTTTTTAAATTTACATTTTTTTCATATTTTCAATAAATCTCTGTCAAAGACATCAGCTAAATCTGAAAATTGTGTCAGACATTTTGAAAAGTAAAAATAAAAACAACTCAAATAGTTATTTCCAGGTCTGAGAAATGCATTGACGTTCACTGAAAGGGAACAGAAAACAGTAGCAGCCGGTTCATTTTGAGGAGATTCTTGATTGTGAGTCGAGAAGATTCCAATTTGTCCAACCAATGGTGTGAATAAAAATGAAATGAGATTTAATGTCCTACTGCTGTGGATAGAGCTGTGAACTATGCTTTTGTCATTCAAAATTCAGGATTTTTAAAATTGAAACCCAGAATGCTTAAAGGGACAATAACACTCTTGCTGGCTTGAAAGCTCCAGAAAATAAATAATATCTCTATTTAAGTACTAGATGTTTAAGTGTCCTACCTGTTGTGTAAATTATCCATTACATCCTATTTTACTTGTGCAGAGGGTTCGAAAATATTTTTAAATCGAAGTTTCATTTGAAAAGGTTTACGTTAGACGTTTCAAACCATTATGTTGAATTTTTCAAAATTTTTAAATAAGGTGTGTTAAGATGAAATTTGTATCATCAATTAATTGAAATATTCTAAAATAGTACAATTTGTTGACCAGAATAAAGATTGGGACATATTATTCAGTTACAACAAGAGTGGTATTGAGCCTTTAATCAAGATACTCGTAACCCTAGCCTAGACCGAAATTGTGATTGGGTATAACTAAGTGCAAGAAATTTGTGAGCACCTTGCCCGACAGCAACTGGCGTCAAGCAGTATTTGCTGGAAGTCAGTCTTTGAGCTAATACAACTGGCTGGAACTGATTTCATTACCAGTTGCTTGTGCTCTACTTTTCAGTATGCCGTTTTGTCTCAGTTCTGTGTTTTGATCAGTCTTGCAAATGATCAAACACAAATTAGCGACAGAAGAAAGTGGACAAAATGTGGACCATGACTATTTGACATTTTTTCGAAGACCTATCATGTCACTACTTTTTACACACTGAACATACAAAAATGGAAAAAGACGGCAAATTGTTTATTCAATATCATGTGTCGTAACAGGATTTAACTCGATATGGGTTCACACAAGGTTTTATGTTGTGTTCAACAAGAGAGAGAAATGGGGTTTAACGTCCACTCCACACAAGCTAGGTCATTTCGGGACAAACATATGGTTCAATTTTATTTCAATAATTCGCATACGCGTAAAGATCTTTGCCAGTGGGAGGAACCGGAGAAAAACCATGAGGTTGGACAGGCGTTCAACAAACCGGCTTCATGACAAGACAGGAGAATAAAAGAAGTTTGGAGAGCATTCCATCCCAAGGACAGTGATTTTCAGGTGTAAAATAGAGAATATGATAGAGAAGATTACAAATTCTTAAAAACATGACCTGCAAGCAAAAATAAAATATAAGATTTTAATAATCAACATAAAAAAATATGATGGTGCCAATTGTACGTTGTGTGGGTGAAATATAATATTACCCTTTTTATGTTTTTGTTCTGCTTTGTGTTTTACTGAAAGGCAAGACAACTTATAATATTATGTTCTTATGTCACAGTCCCAAGATAACTTTTAACATAATATTATGTCACAGTCAAAAGATAACTATTAGCATATTATGTCACAGTCAAAAGATAACTTTTAACATTATATTATGTCAGTCACAGGACAGTTTATAACATAATGTTCTTATGTCACAATCACAAGACAGCTTATAACATTATATGCTTATGTCACAAGATAACTTTTAACATTGTATTCTTATGTCAGTCACAAGATAACTTATAACATAATGTTCTTATGTCACAATCAAAAGATAACTTATAACATTATATTATGTCACAGTCACAAGACAGCTTATAACATTATTTTCTTATGTCACCGTCACAAGACAGCTTATAACATCATATTCTTATGCCACAATCAAAAGATAACTTTTAACAATATATTCTTATGCCACGGTCACAAGATAACTTTTAACAATATATTCTTATATCACGATGACAAGATAGCTTGTAATATTATATACTTATATCAAGGTGACAAGATAACTTTTAACATTGTTTTCTTATGTCACGGTCACAAGATAACTTTTAACATTGTTTTCGTATGTCACGGTCACAGCCTTTACCTATATACTACATGGTCCACAAAATGGTCAATTTCATATATTGAAAATATATTGTCCAAAAATATATCAGTCAGTTTTTGAATTGAAAATATATTCTATCAATTTTATGTATTGAAACTATATTCTGCAAACTGTATCTTTGCAAATTTTCTTTGAAAGGGTTAATTTATCGCTATTGATAAGCCTAAAGTGTAAGATATTTGATAGTTGTATTTTAATACTTATGTGAAGGAGGTGACATATTAATATCCCCCCTATTGTGAGGTATCACAATATCACATTCTTAAACAATTTAATGTCTGTGTGGCCTGTTAAAATAAATTAATGAAAGGGGGTTTAACGTTCTACTTTTCGGCACCAACAGGGTTAATGAAAACGGGTGTGTGGCCTATTAAATTTAATTCTTATCGTTCGAAAGAATTTGTTTTTATTACAAGTTTCAGCAACATAGGAGGCGATAAATTATTAATGGATTATCAACAAGTTTTAGCTTCACAGGAGGAGAGAAATCCTTAAATAAATTGTCAACCATGTCATATATTATTTTTTTACTTATTTATATTAGATAATTCCATTACCATGATATATTAGCATTAACGGTTATAGGTCGTTAGAAAGGAAAACTAAAAGCAATCTGATTAAAACACAGATCATATTTCGTTTCGTTTTTTAAAGTTCAAAATTTTGTTTTACTTATCTTTACTACACTAGGATCTGGAAGAGTTGTTATATAACCGGCGTTCTGATTGATGTGAGTGATAAGTCAATGAAACGGTCTGTTACAGCGAGTTCTTGGTGTGCTGTGCACGGAACTGTGGGTAACTAATTAGAAATGTCAACGCTGATTGATTAATCAATGTCTGACATATTACCAAAAGCCGCCCGTATGACCCCTGACGTGACCATCCAATACAATTTGTCAGATCTTCATGTAGTGTAGGCCATCGAAAGTATAAAGAAACGAAATATAGATCTGTATTTTAATCAGATTGAAAAAAAAGATAACCATTTAGTTTAATAGAATGAGATATTTGAAGCAGTCAAGAGCTCCCAGAGTTGAAACAACCCCAAACACCCTCATCTTCACAGTATCAAGTGTGAAAAATACTACGATCTATCCACCCCATGACACATATTCTGCTTTTTTTTTTTTAAAACTAGATTTTTATCTACAACTGAAAGAAAAATACAACATTTAAAGTTTACTAATAAACTGTGATTTGTCGGTGAAATAAATCTAACATCAAGTAAGTAAATAATACAGGTAAGTAAAAAATTCAACGTACAGTTTTCTATATTTGTTCGTTCTTCCATGCCTTGACATTGAAACTTTAAATTATCAACATCTCCCCGTAACGTACTGATATACCGATCTTTCTCTTGAATAGAACTGAAATAAGAAAAGAGATTTATACAATATCAGAACAACAAACCAACAATGACGCTGATGGCCTCCACCTCAATTCCAAGAGAAAGTTTTGTTATTTTTTTGCTGTAGGAAACAAAACGGATGAACTTGTGAATTTTGTATAGTCTTGAAAACCTATTCAAATTTTCAAGTATTTAACTGATAATTATTTCAGAAGGGGGAGGATTTAACAGATTTAACCAAGGCAGCAAAAATCTGTGTATATTTATTGTTACAATACCGAAACAAATGGGTTTTTCTCCTTTAATAATCATCTTTTTACAAGGAATTTCATGGTGCTATTAATTTGGTGCATTATTTAATAAAGAAATATACGATTAATGATTATTGCATTATTATGGACGTAATCCACATCTAACTTGTGCAATGCCGAGTAACTTGACTAGTATAAAATATAATAAATTTCTGATCCGTACCATGTTAGGTAATTTAGCTAGCATAAAATATAAAACAAATCTGACCCATACCATGACGGGTAACATAGATAGTATAAAATATAATACAAATCTGACCCATACCATGACGGGTAACATAGATAGTATAAAATATAATACAAATCTGACCCATACCATGACGGGTAACATAGATAGTATAAAATATAATACAAATCTGACCCATACCATGACGGGTAACATAGATAGTATAAAATATAATACAAATCTGACCCGTACCATGTCAGGTTACTTAGCTAGTATAAAATGTCGGGTAACATTGCTACATGTACGTAGTATAAAGTATAATACAAATCTGACCCGTACCATGTCGGGTAACATAGCTAGTATAAAATATAATCCAAATCTGACCTGTCAGCCTTGGCTAATTCTTCTTTAACTCGTGTAAGTTCTTCCATGATTTGTTGTTTGGCCTGTATTTCACTATTTAAACTAGACTGAAGGTTTAATAACTCCATTTTATCTAATCTCTGAGATCGTCTGTTACGCCAGCGTTGTCGACCCTGCAATCAATATAATCACAAATATATTTAATAACTACATTTTATCTCATCTATGAGATCATCTGAAAAATCACAAATTGATATCAAAATGCACTGGCATCTACTACAAAGTGTACTTGAGCAATAATCCTGGATAAGTTTCACTACATAAATGCCTAATTCTATGAATTTGAAAAGGTGACCGGCATGCGTTACGAAACGTCATTATTAAATAACCTGAAAATCTTTCTGGTATAGAAATGGAGTTATGATCAAAGTCACCAACTTCATGGGAGATGTTGACAACCTAAACAGGGCATCAAACATTATTAACAAATTTTTCCATGGTAATGATGACCAGAATGCTGAAAAATTTCCAGGATATTGCTGACCACAAACAGACACAGCCTTATGGGCAGGGTTCTTAATCCATTTTGAAACGAACCGGCTAGAATTGGGTCAAATGTGGTCTTGGTAGGAACTGGGTTTTAAAATTTTAATCTTCCATTCCCTTTAATATAACCAGACTTCAACAAAAATAATTCTTGGTAATTTTTTATGAGGAATATCGTATTCTACTGATGATGTTGGTTTTATGTCAATAGATATATATAAATTACCGGTTCTTCTCCAGAAACACCTATAACTTTTAGATTCTCTAATTCTTCTGTCATCTTGGTAGCTAGAGCTTGTAAATAACCACGAGCATCTTTCTCATCACTCACCCTACAAATATAATACAAATAGACACTGATACATTTTTCACCTTAGAAATATAATACAAATAGACATTGACTTATTTTCCGGGGGTTGGATGGTCGAATGGTTAGAACGTGCACTCTGTATCATCAGGCCTGCCACTGAGTCAACTGGCGTGGTTCTGATTCCCCAGTTGTATGTGACAAGGAGTAGGGTCGCCTGTCCAACCTTATGGGTTTTCTCCGGGTACTCCGGTTTCCTCCCACTGCTAAAGACCCCTACGCACAAGCGAATTATTGAAATAAAATTGGACCATGTTAGTCCCGAAATGACCAAGTCTGTGTTGAGTGAATGTTAAACCCCAATTCTCTCTCTCACTTTGACTTATTTCCACATTGCTTACAATTGCTGATTTCCCTATTCAAGTAAGTCAATATTTCATAGGACACAAAAACATCAGCTTTAATTGACATTGAATGAATGAAGAACAGTAAAAATATCAGTTTGTGTAGTCTTGAAAATCTATTCAAATTCGAATATTCAAGTATTAGTGTGATAACTATTTTAAGAAGGGGGAGCCTTTTGCCAAGGCAGCAAGAATCCAGACAGCCAGTTCAAGAAACTTGTGAATACTTATATACAGAAACAGATAAAATTTACTCCTTTAAAATTAGAAAGGACACCAAATTTCAAAAGTTGTAAATAATGATGAATGATTTTTTTAGGAAGAAAGGAAGTACTGGGGGAATCGACTTTCCTCAAATTCACTATTAATATTGAACAATGGCCACACACTTTATAGCTCACTCTCTAGGGGTAAATACCAACAAGACGGAAATGTTTTTCAGTACAGACGAGACAAAGAACTGACTACTGGCAGGAAACTGTACCGGGTATATAAAACAGAACAATGACAGTAGTCTTTTAAATAAATCATGTTCAAGATGCATTATGTAAGAGCTAAATCTGTAATTGCAGGTCTTTTTTGGGCTTCAAATATTATATCAATTATTAATAAGGCATCTATGCGCATGACAAGCCCATAATACACTCTCTAGAGCATCGGATGGCCGTGATTTTGAATGGATTAAAAAACAATCACCATTTAAAATTTAACGATAAAATGGATAATCAAGACTTTGTTTATTATCCTAGCAATGGTACTTGATAATTCATTTCTCATTATCTATTTTTGAACAATTTTAGTAAGAATCGCCAGCTCTTAATCTAAAATGGGGGATGAATGGCCGAATGGTTAGCACGTGCGTTGTATAAAAAGGTCTGTCATTGAGTCAAGTGGTGCGATTTCCATTTCCCGGTGGTCTCCTGTCCAACCTGGTAGGTTTTCTCTGGGTCTTCCGGTTTCCTCCCACTTCTAAAGACCCCTACCCGCAAGCGAATTATTCTCTCTCTCTCTTACATAATGCATCTTTAAATTCAAATTATTTATATTCAACATGTGTTCAATATTAACAATAACATACCATTTAATAATTTCTGATATTTGAGCCTCCCATTGGGCGACAGATTCTTGTTTATCGTAATTCTCACGAAGTTCATCTTCCATCTGTCTTCTCTCATTCTCAGATGCTGCCAGTTTATTCTGGGCCTAAAACAAAAAAATTATATTTTCTAAATAATATACAAAACATTTATATATGCTAGATAATATACAAAACATTTATATATTCTAGATAATATACAAATCATTTATATTTTCTAGATTTCAATATCTTACCGAATTAAGTTCATCCATGAGTCTCTCATTTTCATCGGCTCGTCCTTTATATTTCTGATCTAATAAATCTTTCTGTTGTCGTAATTTAGCCAACTCATCTCGCATTTCCTCCGCGTTCGCACGACTGACCTTTGACTTTAAGTTATTTATTTCTTGCTGTAATTCAGTTCGTTTAGATTCTAGATCTTTTATTTGATATTTAAGTTCACTTAATTCCGTGGCGTGTTTCACAGTGGCTCGCGATAATTTTTCTTCACTTTCAACATCCTTTTTCTCCATCTCGGCTTTTAACCTAAAATTGAAAATAGACACGAGTTTCAAGGTCAGGTCAACAATATTAGATTATCTTAAAAATATCCAGGAGATGTAACTTCAATGTCTGCCCCACAGATTCAACGCCAAGATTTGAATGGAGGATATCAGATATGAGTAAGTCTGGAATTAAGGTACTTGTAACAGACATAGTCTGGTTCAATTTCAGGCTTTGTTGGGCACTATTGCCTGTTTCTATTATAGGTCAGGGGGGTTGGATGGCATAATGGTTAGCGCGTGAGCACTGTATTATAAGGTCTGTCATCTAGTCAACTGGCGTGGTTTCGTACCCTGGTTGTACGTGAACTATAATTTATGTGTCTATTGCAGACAATTTGAGTTTCTCTGTGTCAAATGTAGACAATTTGAGTTTCTTTGTCTATTGCAGACAATTTTGAGTTCCTGTCTACTGTAGACAATTTGAGTTTTTCTAACTATTGTAGACAATTTGAGTTTATCTGTCTACTGTAGTTACTGTAGACAATTTGAGTTTCTCTGACTATTGTAGAATATTTGAATTTTGAACTAACCTGGTTATTTCTTGTGTAAGTTCTAGATTATTGGCAGTGTTAGGTCCTCTCATATGTTTACGTTTAATACTTTCCATTTCCTGTTCTAGATCCTGAGTATATTGTTCCGCTCGTTCACGTAATCGTTTCTCTTTACCAGCCTCGGACTTCGCTTCATCTATAGAATTCTGTAACTGTAAAAAAAAAAGTAACAGTAAATAATAATCTCTCCAAAAAGTTAAATTTATTTTAATCTTATTGTAAATTTACTGCTCAATGGACCCAAAAAAACCAACACACTTCAAGCAAATTGTATTGTGATTTGGAGAAATTTATTCTGTAAATGAATAAAACATTTAATAAGAATCTAATGATTTATATTTAGATAGATTTTGACTACATTTTGGTTGTTTGGACTACGGTGAATTTTTAACATTTTGGTTTACGGCTGTTTTGACCATACCCAGTTTTTGATGTCTGCAGGAGATGTTGAAAATTTTTCAATTTGTCATATCTTTGAAAACACTGAACCGAATTCAACTATTTTTGGTTTGATAATCCCTTTAGAAATGAAATGGCGTTCAACATCCTAGTGTTCTGCTCCGACTGGGCTAATGAAGATGGGCATATGCCATTAGGGGTATACTGAAGGAAATTTTGCCCAGACAGCGGAACTACGACCTACTTTTATATCAAATTCCAACTGCCAAGGGATCTTTTACATGCACGCCAATGTGTACACAAGACTAGCCAGCTGTACTTGTCAGGCCCTCCATCCTGCACCACTGACAAGGGGTAACCCTTTCATAGATTCATCTTTAACAATATTGTATTTTGCAAGAGATTATAACTATACAATCCCTCAAATGACCAAACAAGACTTTAAAGAGATTAATTAAATATACTTACTTCCATAATACTTTTTTCAGCCTTTCGTTTGTCTAATTTAAAACCATCTTGTTTACTTTTAGCGTCTTCTATTTCTTCCTCTTTATTACGTAATTCTCTCATTAACTCTTTTACTTTACTTTGACTCTTCAATAAGCTGGAACAAAAAATGAAATGGGGTTTAATGTTTTACTTTTCTGCACAAAACGGGTTACTATTTATCAAATTCCAACTGAAAAGTGTCTTTAACTTTAATGTGTACATAGGAACTCTGAACTTTAGACAAATGTGTACATAGGAACTCTGAACTTTAGACAAATGTGTACATAGGAACTCTGAACTTTAGACAAATGTGTACATAGGAACTCTGAACTTTAGACAAATGTGTACATAGGAACTCTGAACTTTTAGACAAATGTGTACATAGGAACTCTGAACTTTAGACAAATGTGCAAACTACTGAAGTAGTTATTTATTTACTGTAAATATGAATTCATATTGAAGAGGAATTTGAATTAATAAGTTCCAAACCTTTTGAGATTGACCACATATCACTTGTACTTGAATATTTGATGGTATAAAATATTATATTATACTGTATTTGATGGGTATAAAATATTATATTATATTGTACTTGATGGGTATAAAATATCTAAGGGTATAGAATATTATATTGTATTGTACTGTATTTGATGGGTATAAAATATAATATTGTATTTGATGGGTATATGATATTATATTATATCGTATTGTATTTGTATGGTATAAAATATAATCAACTTACGCATCATTAGTATCGGTATATTGATCCATGGCTAGTTTTTGTTTGGATAACGCTTCTTTTAATTCCCGGGCCTGAGAACGATATTTATCACGCCAATCTTGTAATTCCTACAAAATAAAACAAAACAAAATATAATTTTTAAATGTGACTGAAAGTTCATGGTATATTTAACACAATAAAATATCAAAAAAATATAAACAAGGAAGGAAGGAATTCATAGTTAATTTATAGTTCAAAGTTTGTTTTATTTGTCTTCACAACACTAGAATCTGTTCTAGTTCATGTGAGGAATTAGCCAATGAAACAGTCTGTTACGGTGAGTTCTTGGCATGCTCTGCACAGAATTGTGGGTAACCCACTAAAAACGCCAACGTTAATTGATTAATCAATGTCTGACCCCTGATGCGACCTCCCAGTACAACTAGTCAGATCTTCATGTAGTGTAGTCCATCAAAAGTATAAGAAACGAACGAAATATAGATCTGTATTTTAATCAGAGAGACTAACATATATCTATCTCGTGTACATCTAACAAAAAATATATATTACCTTTTCAAAAGCAACCTTTTCTTCCTCAAATAATTTGATTTTTCTTTCATTTTCGGATTTAGTATCTTTCGATCGTTTCAGTTCTTGTTCTAACATAGTCATTTCATTCTGAGATTCTGTTCAAAAATAACGATAAATATTTCACTATTCACAAGCAAAAATATTTTTAAATGATATAAAAATAGCTTTTGGTTAACAGATTTTGCTTGACATGTTGGAAGAGGCTTTATCAGTGCAATGTGAGTTGTTCCGTAATAGAAATCTATTAAAATTATAGAATAATTCACAATAAAATTTAAGAGTGGAGTAGAACGGTTTGCAAAAAAAAAAGAGAGTGGCAAGAGACAACATATAGTTCTTAAGATGGGACAAAAACCCAAGGTCCCTTGACAGTTGGAATGCGATGTAAGAGTAGGCTGTAGTGCCACTGTCTTGGCAAAATTTCCCTCATAGCACAATGTATGGTGTATGCCTGTCTTCATAAACATGTCAGTGCAGAATAGTAGGCTGTTAAACACCATTTCATTTCATACTGCACAAAAGACAGGGAAAATAGGGTTAAACATCTTTTCAACACAAATTAGTCAGTTCGGGACTAACATGACACAATTTTATTTCAATAGATGGCAGTGGGAGGAAACTGGAGAATCGAGAGAAGTCCACAAGTCTGGAATCGAAACTTATGATCTACAGACCTTGTGATCTAAAGCGCACCATGCGTAATCAAAACCCCCAAAATCAATATAATGCCTTAATTTTAATAAAAGTCCCCCGATATAGAACAAGTATCTATGGCAACTTGTATAAAAATAACTGGTGGTTCGGATTGACTTTACATGTATTAAATGTAACATCTAAATCTCAAGTCAATTATAAATTACGTAGAGATAGAAAAAACCCACAGAAACCACCTGATCAAAAATAAGATTAAAGATTATTATTTATAGTCTGATGAGATTTGAAGTTAAGAGAGGAAAATAACATAGGCAAACTGCCAGAATTTATAGATTATATAATTTTTGTTCTAAATATGAATCTTATCTTCATGCTTTGTGATAAGAATTCCTTAGATGATAATGTATCAAACTTTATTCCGGCTACTGCAACTCTACATAGCTACTGGTACAAAATGAAATGAGAGAGAGAGAGAGAGAGAGAGAGAGAGAGAGAGATGGTATTTAAGTCCAATTGACACAAACTAGGTCATTTTGGGACTAACATATGGTTCAATTTTATTTCAAACTAGGCTAGAAAATCCTAAGGAATTTTCTTGGTCACCACAGAAATGTTTTTGTAATTTCTTATTACTCAAAAGATGTCAAGTACACACAACATCAAATTTTACCTGCAACAGGTACAATGTTAAATTTTAACTGCTACAAGTACGATGTTAAATTTTACCTGCTACAGGTACAACTCTATGTAAAGCAGCTATAGTATATATTAAATTTTACCTGCTACAGGTACAACTGGCGTAAAGCAGCTAAATTAAATATTAAGTTTTACCTGCTACAACTCTATGTAAAACAGCTAAATTAAATATTAAGTTTTACCTGCTACAACTCTATGTAAAACAGCTAAATTAAATATTAAGTTTTACCTGCTACAACTCTGTGTAAAACAGCTAAATCCTCTTTAAGTTGTAAATTACTGGAATCCTCAGGTGCAGCAGCTCCTACACCATTACCTTCATGACATTGTAATTTCTGTATCGTAGCTGTTGTGTCTGAAATTATTTACAATTAAAGATACATTATGGGAGATTCGATAACGAGTTGGCAGTTCTCACTATAATAGTTAAAAACTAGATAATGTAAAGGCAATTTGCTGAAAATTTCATTCAAATTGATCCACTATGAACTAAGCGTTTGAAATTTCCTTCTAGCCTCTATCATCATTACTAAAGTCAGTACGATAAACAGCATAGTCTCGATTATCCATTTAATCGTTAAATCGTGACGGAAAGCTATGCAGTAAATCGGCTCATAATCGACTTCAGATCGCAGGCTAGCAATGCCATCTAGAGTTAATTATGGTCTGGATAAGATAATTAATGTGTAATTAATAGTTTATGTAACATTTGAGGCCTAAAGAAAGACCTGCAATAGACAGATTTAGCTCTTGCATAATGTATGTTTAATAACAGAATTCCTATTAAAACTATAAAATGAAATGAGGTTCTACTTTTCTATACAGTCTAGGCTAATGAAGACAGGCATATGCCATACAGAGCACATAGGGAAATTTTGCCCAGACAGCGGCACTACAGCCTAATCACTCAACCTCTGACTGTGGCTCCCACTTATTAGTAATTTAATTTTGCCCACCTGTTATTTTTCTTTGTAATTCTTTATTTTCCCGTTCCAAGTTTTTAATTCGCCGTTCGTAAGCTTCAGCTGCCAATGTACTGATTTTATCAGAACTTGTTGATGATGTGGATTCTAAACATTCTAAATCTGATATTTTACTGAAAAAAAAAAAATAATATCATATGTAAACATAAATCAAACAATTCTCAGAAACTTTGAGAGAGAGAGAGAGAGGGGGTTTAAAGAAATTGCCTGCGTGTAGGGTCTTTAGACTTGGGAGGAAACCAGAGGACCCGAGAAAACCCACAAGGTTGGACAGGCAACCCTACTCCTTGTCACATACAATAGGGAATCAAAACCAAGCCAGTTGACACAATGACAGACATTATGATGCAGTGCGCACGCGCTAACCATTCGGCTATCCTCCACCATTACTTTTTATGGACCTGTATTATGAAACTGGACCTGTTTAACCATCATGAATTATTGTAAAGGGTTCTTGGAAATGAATTATTATCATGAAATAGGTCCCTTGACTTATTCTCTTATCATGGAATGGGTCCCTGGTGTCTTTCAGTGTTTCTATTATGGATCCCTGAAAATGTATTATTATTATGAAATTTGCCCCTTGACCTGTATTATTATCATAGATAACTATAACTTAGGCTAAATCTATTTGTTAAGGTCAGCTCGATTTTTGTCATGGTCAATGAGATGTAAATAAGGTTAGGGCACTTGATTATTGGCGAAATTGTTGGTTAGCTTTAAGAATATGACGAAAAATTGAGCTGGCCTTTAATTTAGCACTAACCCTATAACTTACCAGTTTCTAGTAAAAGTAAAACCTATAAACGGTAAATGATGACCTTTAAACGCTGTACTAGTGGCAGGGGGCACAGTATCCTAAAATAAACAAATTATAAACAATTCAACTGGCTTCTAAACTCATCTCAAAAATCAGACAGAAGAAATCTTTCATCAAATACCAGAATTCAGATCAAACATAAAATGCATTCATTCAAATTCTGTACACAGGGGTTTCTGCATCAACCCAGCTAAAGAAGGGAAATTTTGCACGGACAGCTGCTTTATGGCCCCATCTTTCGATATAGCAGGAATTGTCTAATCCATTCAATATCTAAGCCATCTGATGTTCTAAAGTAGATGAGGGCTTATTATGTAAATAAATATCTAAATAATTTTTCGAAAAATGCCTTGCAAAAAGGCCCGTTTAGCTGTTGCATAATGCCTTTTTATATAGAGTAAGCAGATAATGTGATACATGTACTTACAGTGTGTCTGAAATCTGAATCATCGACATCAAAATTAGATGTATCAGTATTACTTGTTACTTCAGGTTTATACGGAGCTTCCACTGTAAAATAACCACGAAATACATTACGTTAATAATTAGCTTTGTTAGTGCTAGACAGCATTACATCCAACTCAACACAAACCTGGTATATTTCCATTTCAATAATTCTCTTGAGTGTAGGGATTTTAGCAGTGCTCAATATCACATCAAGATTTATAGGAAGGAGAGAGGAGGAATGGGTTTTTTGTCATGCCAAACAAATCTTCAGTAATTTTGACACTAATAATTTCACATCATTTTTTTCTTGTGTGTATCACAGAGATTCCAATACAGCATATTCCTGAAGCAATGGCCCGAGAAATCCCTCTCTGGCCATTGCTGGATTAGCTTCTGATACCTGAGCTTTTAAGCGAGTGTGTCTATTCTTCCCATTCAACTAAATCTATCCCAAGTGCTGCAACATGACAGCCCTTCATTTAACCTGGGGTCTTCCCTAAAACTTTGGACGGTGATTCAAGGTATTAAAAAAGGTGAAAGTCTTGTTCGTCACCATACAGTATTGTTTACATTGTGCCCGTGTTGATAGCCTTGTGTTGTCACTCAATGACTTTTTCTGCAATATTCTACTATGCACTGGTTAATTGGGCATAATAAAATCGTGAGTCATGACGTAATGTTATGTAAACATATTTGGTCCAATTTGGAACTCTGTTTAAAGTGTAATGGCATTGTTATGCAGTTAGCTATTGGTTGTTAATCGGACTATTGACCAGTCATAATTTGGAACAGAAATTTGCTTCCATTAAAGCAGTGTTTGGTGGGATTAGCTCTAATAAAATGAAACACTGCGGGGAGTATGCCAGTACAGATGTTCTCCACCCATTAGTCTCCAGCTATCTCAGACCTTACTTTACGAGAGTTGTAGTCGTCGTCTTCTACTGCTAATTTTACTTCTATGATTATGAAGTGTGCAATACAAATTACAGGGAGAGAGAGAGAAATGGGGTTTAACGTCCACTCGACACAAACTAGGTCATTTCGGGACCAACATATGGTTTAATTTTATTTCAATAATTCGCTTGCGCGTAGGGGTCTTTAGCAGTGGGAGGAAACCGGAGGAATCGGAGAAAATCCACGATGTTGGACAGGCGACCCTACTCCTTGTCACGTACAACCAGGGATTCGAAAAAATTACAAGGAATAGAATTTTGCTGAAGCAGCAAATTACACTTACTGTCACGTATGCTATCCCAATTTATACCAGTAAACCAGGGGTGGTTCTTAAAATCATTTAAACCATTTTTACCAAATCTAACATCTGCACCACATATTAACCTCTGTATCAGATCTCGGGCTTCTTTAGACACGTCATCTACATCTTGAGGAAATTCAAACCGTGTCTGAAATAATCATACAATATTAAAGTCTTTCTTCAATTTGCATTTTTCGGAAAAAGTTAAATTTTAATATCCTTAAACATACATAATGCAAGAGCTAAATCTGCCTATTGCAGGTCTTTCTTTAGGTTGCAGGTGTTATAGAAATTATCAATTAGACATATCAACTCCAGATGCTATCTTATGCATCGTATTTTCACTGGATTTGAATCCAATCTGCTGCTTAACGCTCATTGATGATTAAATCCAAAAGGGGATAATCAAGACTACTTTTTTTATCCTACTGACTTTAGTAATGATGATCGAGGCTAGGCCTAAAATTCAATAACTAATATGTGGTTCAGAGTGGAGGAATTTGACTGAAATTTTCAGCATATTCCCTTTACATTATCTAGTGTTTAACTATCATAGTGAGAACTGCCAGCTCTTTATTTAATCTTCCATAATGCCCTTTTAGTCTTAACAGTTGATAATCTCCCGGCTTGAATTCAATTGGATTAAAAAGAGGCTCATCAAGAGATTGCAGCGAAAAACATAAGTACATCATGATATCTTTGTAAATACTAAATGGAATTGAGCCAGATTTGGACTGATAATCCTTTTAGAGATTCCACTTCACACTGCTGCTTCCACGAAACCAGGCACTTGTCGCACAACTTCATTTTCTACTATGTGCACAAAAGCATAAAATTTAAAACAACTATAAATAATAACTTACTTTATGATTCATGATTTTACCATATGTTTCTACCAAAGATTCTGCATAGAAAGGTGTCTCGGAATATAACATTTCATACATACAAACACCTAACGACCACCAATCACATTCAGGACCATAACGACCATGTCCATCTTCCATTGCCTGGTAAAATAAACAATGTTTTATTTATATACGATATGTGACTCACTGTCATGACTGTAGTTTGTTTACTGGGAAGGACCTGACAAGGACAGCTGTCTAGTCATTCAGATTGGACGAAAAAACAAGGTCCCGTGTACACATTGGCGTCCAGTTGGAATTTGATATAAGAGTAGGCTGTAGTGCCGCTGTCTGACAAAACTTGCCTCATAGCACACTGTATGGCGTATGCCCGTCTTCATTAGCCCAGTCTGAGCAGAACAGTAGGATGTTAAACCCCGTTGCATTTCATTTTATTTGAGGTTTGGGGCAGCAGCTCAAGCCAGTGAGTGACAAAGGTCCTGTGTATTTCGTGACGTTACACTACCAGTTCCAGTTTTGGAGTTATACTACTTCTGTGCAACACAAGATAAACAGCTGGTTATATAAAACAATAGAATGGTCCTTATCATCATGTTTCTAGTGTGATTGTGTTAGTCAAAAATTATTCAATTGATTGCTGATTTGAATATGTAGCGGACACAAATAGGGCAGAAAGCACACACAAAAATTCCCAAATCGAATTTTTTTTTCAGTTTTATTTTTCAGGTGTTCGCTTGTCTAAAGACCTTTTCTTATAGGATACATCAGATCTCCTGGTTAGTGAGTCAGTGCCTTACATCGCTGAGCCCCCGTGACTCACAGATTGGTACCTCTCACTGAGCAGCTACCATGACTAACGACTTGTTACTTACCCTGAGTATTTCTGGTGAGATATAATCTGGTGTACCAACTGCTACAGATGATTGAACCTATAATAACAAATATTACATCATAAATAATAATAATAGTGCCCTTTTAACGTGTTAAACTCCCGGCTACAATAAGTCTGATGACATTCTGGTTTATTTATGTGCTACAACAGTTTTATGTCTTATTTTTATAGTATTCTTTAAACAGGAGTGTTTTTAATAACCTCTTGAATTGCAATAAGGTTGATGCATCTTTAACTTCTGATGGTAGTGTAACAAATATATCATCATCATTATTAATATTAGAGTTAAAGAGTGTACCACAATGTGTACAGAAGCAGTTTACATAGATAAAGTAATTATACCAAATACTCCATCATCATCATCATCATTAGATTTTAATTGTTTTATTGTCAGTTAGTTTTCAATTTGATATTGAATGAAGCCTGTGTCATTACAGTCCCAAAACTGTACAGAGCCCAAATCCATTCATTTGATTATATACATTTTTTGTTTATTGCTTGCAAATGCAATGTCTATGTAGTTTATGTGGCGTTGGCAGGTTTTTCTTATGTACAATGGTTTTTGTTTGTGTGTGGTGCGGTTCTCCTGCACCTATAAATAGCGTGTACCACAATGTGCTCAGAAGTGAAATGAGAAGTAGTATCAGGCATTCTAAAAAGGCTAAGAATACCTGGTAATAGTCTATTTATTGTTAATTCTCAAATAAGATTTATTTTTGTCTGATTCATTTAATGAAGGCTCTTCATTTTGAATAATCTTTGTTTACCCAATATAAATATAGAGTTTAGGAATATCTTCTATGTAAATGGTTCTTCATTACCGAACAATCAATCTTGTTACCTAATGTAAATATAAACCAATCTAATACGGCATCGAGATTGATATTTCGTCATGTCTTACCGTTCCATCTTCCATTAATTTTAAACACGATCCAAAATCGGCTAAAACAATATGTCCGCTTCTGTCTAGTAGAACATTATCAGGTTTAATATCTCGATGAACATAACGTAATTTGTGTAATGAATTAATAGCTAGGACCATTTCAGCGATATAAAACTTGGCCATATCTTCTGGTAGACGATCTTCAAATTTACTAAGTAATGTCAATAAATCGCCTCCACAGTAATAATCCATAACAAGATACTGCAACAGATGAATAGAATAAACATCAGTTATCAATATAGATTAATTATTCCATCTAGATTTCCATCAAAATTCAAAGCAAGATTAAAGATGGAAAAGCAGTGAGGAATCCAGAGGACATCAAACATTAACAAATTAATGTATGTACTTTTGAGTAGAGAGAGAGAGAGAGAGAGAGAGAGAGAGAGAGATGGGATTTAACTCCACTTCGGGACTAACATATGGTTTAATTTTATTTCAATAATTGCTTGCGCGTAGGTGTCTTTAGCCGTGGGAGGAAACCGGAGGACCCGGAGAAAACCCATGAGGTTTGAGAGCCGACCCTACTCCTTGTCACGTACAGCCGTGGAATCAAAAGCACGCTAGTTAACTCAGTGACAGACCTTATGATACAGTGCGCACACACTAATCATTTGGCCATTCAACCCCCCCATCATCAATTGAACCCTTTCACTCATAACCCACCACATTCGTATTAACTGCTGCAGAGCCTGTGTGTCAGTGAATGTTGCACATTAATTACATAATTTCTGAAATTGGTAACAGTATTAAAGTTGACCAAATTACAATGCAATGTCGTGATATGAGGATTAAAGTTGTCATGTTAACCAATTAAATAATGCATAGCTTTTTGCCCCATTTTTTCACATCCATTGCCACATATTCACAGTTTTGCCTGTCAACATCTGCATTCAAGGTGGTCTGTCAATTACACCCTATTCAATTACATCATTAATGCCATTTCTTTTTTTTTCTAAATTGAAACATATCAACATTATACTTCTGTTTCATGACCAGAAGCATCATCTTGGCTGTCAAAAACTTATGAAAAGGAAACACAAAAATTTTATGACCTCCCTGAGTCACCCAAGTTGACAAATGATGACAGGTTACTGAACAGGGTAGAAGAATTTATTCAAGAACCCACAACTCATGACTTGTAATCAGATAGGGTTCTTTTTTTTTAAAAGGAGAGAGAGAGAGAGAGAGAGAGAGAGATCAGATTTAACAGCCAATGGACACAAACTAGGTCATTTCGGGACTAACACATGGTTCAATTTTTTTTCAATAATTTGCTTGCTCCAAGGGGTCTGGGAGGAAACGAGGACCCAGAGAAAACTCATGACGTTGAGCAGACAACCCTACTCCTTGTCACGACACAACCGGGGTATTTATTTAAGAATCTACAAATCATGCCTTGTAACCAGATACCTAGGGTATTTTTGTTTTTAAAAAAAGAATCGAAAGAAATTTAAGATACATACCAGAAAGTTTTGGTCTTGAAAAGCATAATGTAGACTTGTTATCCATCTTCTATCACCATACACTAACACATCCCGTTCTTCTTTAAAACAGGCCGTCTAAAAAAAAAAAAATAAATAAATTCAATAAGTGTCACCCACACCCACAAAACCAGGCACTTGTCGCACAACTTTGTTTTGTACTATGAGCACAAAAAGTAAACTGTATGCCTTCTTGTTGCTGTGAATGAGCGTAACTCAACTCCAGATGATATGACAAATTTAAAAAGAATTCCATTCTTGGAATATGCTGCCAGCTCTTTTTTTTATAAAAGATAGGTTGCCAGGCAACGAAACATACGCCCACAGCAGCTATATCGTCCGGGCAGTCAACAAGAGTTGTCACATATTTTTACTTTTTTCGGTAATGAAACATTTATAATACATTAAAATCTGATTAAGAGTAACAACTCATTAAGTAATTATCAGAAAATCATTAGAATTTGTTTGGTTTTTATAAAGTTCTGCCCCATGCTAACATTTAGTATACAAAACTTTTAACATCATGGATTTAGCTGTTCAAGTCATAAAGATTCTTGAAAATCAATATACTTGTTTGTCTCAAGATCTTAAACACTGTGTATAAATTTAAAGTCAATCGGATATTAACTTTAGCCTCTAGAGCGTCCACAAGATTTTTCAAAGTGATCAAGGGCCATAACTCTGGCAGTAATTATCGGAAATCGCTGAAAATCAATAGGCTTCTTCGTCTCATGACCTTATACACTGTGTGTAAATTTAAAGTCAATCGGATATTAACTTTGACCTCTAGAGCGTCCACAAGATTTTTTGAAGTGATCAAGGGCCATAACTCTGGCAGTAATTATCGAAAATCGTTGAAAATCAACAGGCTTCTTTGTCTCATGACCTTAAACACTGTGTATAAATTTAAAGTTAATTGAATATTAACTTTGACCTCTAGAGCGTCCACAAGATTTTTTGAAGTGATCAAGGGCCATAACTCCGACAAAACAATATCTATATATGGATGCGTGGCAGTCCCTCACAGTGCCACCAAGTAATATTGGGTTATATGGAACATGTTAGAGTCAATTGTAGCATATCTGACCCACAGTATATGTTTGATACTGGTTATAATAAGCATTATGATTATAATGTTGAAAACTGCATTGAAACTGCGTGATTTTTGCCACATGTGAAAGGGGTGCAAAACCATGACATAAATCGTGTCATTGCGTCCCTCTCACTTAGCCCCCTGAATTCTACTCCGACTGGACTTTTATATGGACCAGAAACTGAGCATTACATCATTGTTGTCATCTTTGCTGACCCATGCCCAAACCTTGGATCAAAAAAATATGCCACTGGACTCAATGACAGATCTTATGAGAGAGAGAGAAATGGGGTTTAACATCCACTCAACATACTTATGGAAAACAGCTACTGATTTATTTAAGCGACGTTTCAAAGAATATTCTCTCAACGTTTTCAAGCTAATTACCAGTCAATTAAATAATACAAGTGTAATTAGCTAATCTAACATCTGATTAGGGTTAACACCACCGCAGAACTGGTTCGGCATCAATTTTCAATATTGTTTTTTAAAAAAATTGTGAACATTATAATTTATGGACCATTTTTTTGAGTAATAAGAATAAGGGGCTAAATCGTTAATATTTGGACCTAGAAATTGACACAAATGGGTCACAATGCATATAATAATGTAATATGAATGCATATATACTGATTTACATTCAATCGTTTCTGTTTTTACTGAAATTTCTAATCAGTTATGTTCAGCGAAATATGCCAGAAGTCTCAATCGAATGCCAATCTCAAGCGTCTGGTTATTCCAGTCTACACCGATAGTGTTTATTGCGCATGCTCTTCAGATACGAATATGGCATAACATGACTCTTTTTTCGAGTCCCTTATTACAAATGGCGCTGAAACGCATTATGGTACATGATTCGTTTATTTTGTCTTAAATATTGGATATCAGAAGCCCATCTTTTCCCGGTACTAGTTGACAACATCAATGTTGATTTACATTGACAAATAATTCGTGTTTTCAATGTCGAAGATTTTGGATGATATTGAGTTAGCGACTTAGCTACTTTAAGAAAATTAGAAGATAAAGAGATAGATTAACTATAATATCTTCTACATGTACCTAGTTTGAAAGTGTAAAGAAAATAATTCAGTCTAAGAGGATTTTATAATGTAAAAACTCTTTCTTCAAAAACGTGATGTTCGTTTTTTTTATAAAAATAACAAATAGGAGCGGAATTTGTTTTAAATAGGATTGCATTACTAATAATACATATAATTAACTGACAGTATGATAAATCTATTGATCGATCAATTTGTTTTATTTTACAGTTTAAAAACAATTTAAACTATTTAAAGTACCGAAATTACACCCTAATAACACGACAGCATCAGATATATTGCGGGAGTGGCTAAAATATAATAAAAAACGTCTTCTTAAAAAATACAAGGAAAATAGTCTCAAAGCCATGTATAAAAATTGTCTAGTTTCAAGTATTGTTGCATCATTTATTTTAAAAAATTAAAAACCATCAGAAACAAGTTTATGAAATGTGACAACTGGGTCATTTTGGGACTAACATATTGTACAACTTTATTTCAATAATTTGCCGGCGTGTAAGGGTCTTTAGCAGTGGGAGGCAACTAGAGAAAATTGATGAGATTGGACAGGTCTGTCATTTAGTCAACTGGCGTGGTTTCGATTCCCCGGTTGTACATAACAAGCAGTAGGGTCGCCTGTCCAACCTAATGGGTTTTGTCTGGGTCCTCCGGTTTCCTCCCATTGCTAAAGACCCCTACGCGCAAGCGAATTATGGAAATAAAATTGAACCATACGTTAGTCCTGAAATGACCTAGTTTGTGTCGAGTAGATGTCAAACCCCATTTCTCTCTCTCTCTCTTACAAGCTTGTGATCAAAACCACGCCACTTGACTCAATGATAGACCATACGATCTTAAGAGCACGTCAATATCGACTGGATTGTGAAAAATTTAATGCGAAAGTCCTTTTTTTTTGTAAGTCTAGTACAGTGAGCAGGTGAGAAAAAGCAATTTGTTATTCATGATTTGTAGTCTGTAACAAATTTCCTTTAAAACTCGGCTACATATTTTAATTTCAGAAATAAATAGTGCCAATGGGTAAATACCTAGTCTCTAAATTAATCAATTGAGCATGTTGGTCATGACCCTGTGTGTGCATGTCAAGTCATGTATGAAGTTCATACATTGAAGCCGTCTGCTCTAAAAACCTAGCCTACATATGTTTCTGATTAAAACTAATTACTCCCTAGCTTTTATGTGTATCCGAACACTTCAAAAGAAGGCAGGCCTTGTAACTGGAGTTCGTTCTAGCGTGCTCTAAGTCAACTTGTCCTGTACTCTTAGTTCATAATTAGTCATCTATTCAATTCTCTAGTTAATTTCAGTTTGTTTGATGATATCATAGTTCTAACAAAAATGTCCATATATAGGAAGCAACTATTTTTTATACAAATGCAATTTCTATTTCTCGTTTTACCTTATTATTGGGTGACCGAGTGACTAGACATGTCATAGTCATAACAATGTCCATATATAGGAAGACCCTTTATATTGAACAACAATTTTTTTAATGGTTTCATACAGTTGCAATTTCTAAGTTCTACCTTATTATTGGGTAACCGAATAACCCTTCTAAGTTCTACCTTATTATTGGGTGACCGCGTGACCCAACGTAAGGTTTGTTATTGGATCAAACTTTCATCGGACAAATAGTAGAGTCAATAATTTTTAATAAGATTTTTATTTAAAGCAGTAAGATTTATATAAAGAGCTGGCAGTTCTCACTGTTCAAAAACTAATAATGCAAAGACAATACATGTTGAATATTTCAGTCAAGTTACTTCACTCTGAGTCTAGACATCGGCGATACAATTATAGTCTATTAAAGTCTTGATTATCCATTTTTATGGTAACCGCATCGACCACAAAACATATTCAAATCTACTTATACCACAGCCATCCGATGGCATCGAGAGTTGATTATGGTCTTGGTAAGTTAATTAATGTCTAATTAATAATTTAGATAACATTTCAGGCCTAAAGAAAGACCTGCAATGACACTACAGCCTACCCTTATGTCGAATTCCAACTGTCAAGGGATCTTTTACGTGCACGCCAATGTTTACACGGGACCTCGATTTTTCGTACCATCCAAACGACTAGACACCTGTCCTTGTCAGGCCCTCTGTCCTGCATAACTGACAAGGGGGAACCATGCCGGAAAATCTGAATGAACTTTCTCGGCCAATGCAGGGAACAAACACCCGACCTCTAGGCTAGCGAGCCAGCATCTCACCCACTAAGCCACCATGACCCCTCACTCACCCCTCATCTCAAGACCCCTATACCAAGTGAATTACTGAAATAAAATCAACCCATATGTTAGTCCCAAAATGATCTAGTTTGTGCTGAAAGAAAGTTAAACCCCATTTCTCTCTCACTCTATATTATTAATGACACATATTGAGTAATAACCATACAAGTCATTTCCTCTAAAATTCAATACCAATTGAGTACTGTACTATAATTATCATATATTTGATTGTAAGAAGGTCAATTCTGATTATGACTCAATGCTTGACCTATATTGTACCAGACTTACTACTATACATTATTTATCTGTTCAATTTGTGATAGACAAAATTAACTTGTTAATATTTGAGCAACTTAAAAAACAAAAACATGATTTATCGACATATAGCACAACCTATCGACATGTATTCTCTTATGGTTCTCAAGCAAAATGCCACTCAAGGATTACATTTATATTTGAGCAAAGTAGAGAGAGAGAGAGAGAGAGGGAGAAATTGGATAACGAACACTCGACACAGACTACGTCATTTTGGGATTAACATGGTTCAATTTTTTTTTCAATAATTCGCTTGTGCATAGGGGTCTTTAGCAGTGTGAGGAAACCGGAGGAAACGGAAAAAACCTATAAGGTTGGACAAACGACCCTACACCTTGTCACGTACACCCGGAGAATCGAAACCCCGTCGGTTGACTCAATGGCTGACCTAATGATACAGCGCGCAGTCGCGCACACACTATTGAGCAAAGTAACTTGTTAATATTTGTTGTTGAGTAGGCTCTATAACATAGTAATTCTGTTTTATACAAATGACCACTTCTTTAATCTACTAAAATAAGGAATCAATTCAAGCAGTGAAATCTTCTTTCTTCAATTTTTAAATACACACCAATACACAAACCGTTAATATTATATTAACTAAAGCCATATATTGTCTTGATAGGATAACAAAATGACTTTTTTGTCTAATATGGCTAAATCTATTTGTTAAGGCCAGCTCAATTTTTGTCAAGGTCACTGAGATGTAAATAAGGTTAGGGTACATGATTGTTGGTGAGATTGTAGGTTAGGGTTAGGGTAAGCATTGGGGCTTGGTCCAGGGTTTGGGTTAGGGTTGGGATTAGTGCTAGCCCTGTTTACATCTCGTAACCTATGACGAAAAATTGAGCTGGCTTTATCATTTAGCACTAACCATCTAATATGCAATGACAGATTCTTACCCAGCTTCCACCACTGACCCACTATATCATAGACAGAACTATCATTCTATTAGTTTTCACCGACACTCAATATTTCGTATTTGTCTTGATCTAATGTTTATCTATTAAACTAACAAATTGGGTAAAAAAAAAATGGCAACAATGGCCCAGATGAGCAGACTAATTCTATATTATAATATTATAATTAATGAACTATTAATGTTTTTAACTGCAGTACATCAAAAGCTAGTCCACATTCTCCTCTTGGCTGTTTAACATTTTTCATTGATTTTTATAAATTACAGTCTAACACCATTCAGCTGTTAATGACTCATACTTCGAGTATTTTATTCATTTATGACATAAACCGGTCGTTTCACACAATGATCTATTGATCGCATGTGGTGTTCTCTGATCAAAAATAATAAATCGACTCATTTCAAATAATTTCTTTCCGAATCTCTTGCAAAATAAATTATTGCGCAAGTTACATCTCTAAGAGGAATACCGGTGTCGTCCAAAATTAGTTCAATTTCAGTCAGTATTTACCAAGATATGATGATTTGAAAATGTTCGAAACATTTGACAGAGAGAAATGGGGTTTAACCTCCACTCGACACAAACCAGGTCATTTTGGGACTAACATATGATTCAATTTTATTTCAATAATTTACTTGCCCGTAGGGGTCTTAGGCAGTGGGAGGAAACCAGAGGACCCTGAGCAAACCCACGAGGGTAGACAGCGACCCTAGTCCTTGTCATGTACAACCTGGGAATTGAAACCACGCCAATCGACTCAATGAAAGTCCTTATGATACAGCGTGCACACGCTAGTAATCCCTCGCACAACATCTGACAGAGAGAGAGAAATGGGGTTTAACAGCCACTCGACACAAACTAGGTCATTTCGGGACTAACATATGGTTTAATTTTATTTACATAATTCGCTTGCGCGTATGGGTCTTTAGCAGTGGGAGGAAACCGGAGGACCCGGAGAAAACCCACGAGGTTGGACAGGCGACCCTACTCCTTGTCACACACACAACATCTGACATCCACTTCACACAATATAAACAAGTCATAGCCACCTATAAAACTTTTGGACAAAATCTTTTGATGGACCTCTGATTGAATCTAAATTGGGAGATTATCTACCATTGTCGCCATTGATATTTGGGTTCTGCTTTCTTAATTTAGTGTTAAATAATCGATTTGAGTAAAATTTAGCATTAGATTAAACATACATTATGCAGGTCTTTTTTAGCCCTGAAATGTTATCCTAATTAATTAACTTATCCAGACCATTATCAACTCTCGATGACTGCAATATTTACAGGATTTGAATACATTTTATGATGGATGATTTAATGTCAAAATAGATAATCAAGTTTTTTTTTATCGTAAAGACTTTAGTAATGATGATCGTGGCTAGGCCTAAAATTCAATCAGAGTGGAGCAATTTGAGTGAAATTTTCAGCTCTTTATCTGATCTCTCATAACGCTCCTTTAAGCCATGAAAAATTTGATATTGTCTGATAAATGATAAATGCTGATCAATGACTTTAATTACTGAAAGTCTATACTGTTTCAGATGTGTTCATTTGACATTTTTAACTGCACTTAGTAAGTTGTACCTGAAGCTAGAGACTTTTAAACAATGACAGATCTGTCTATATCATTGGCTTTTTAAAACATAAAAACTCCACATAGTTATTTGAAGAGCCTAGAGATTTAAAGAAAGATATATAATAGGTCATAGGTTTTTAAATATCAAAATCTGCACTTATTTGAAGTTTGAGATATAATATATCGATATATACATGTAATAGGTTTTTAAATATCAAAATCTGCACTTATTTGAAGTTTGAATTGAGAGAGAGAGAGAGAGAGAGAGAAATGGGTTTAACGTCCACTCAATACAAACTAGGTCATTTCGGGACTAACACATGGTTCAATTTTATTTCAATAATTCGATTGTGCGTAGGGGTCTTTAGCAGTGGGAGGAAACCGGAGGACCCGGAGAAGACCCACGGGGTTGGACTGATGACCCTACTCCTTGTCATGGACATGTACAACCGGGGAATCGAAACCCCGCCAGTTGACTCAATGACAAACTGTATGGTACAGCAGTTTGAATTGATTTGAAATCACATGAGATACGTCATAATGAAATATCATAGGTACATGTATTTGTGTAATATGAAAATCTCTGAAGCGTCCTACAGTACAGTGATGGTAAAGCATGAGAAAAGATCACTTAAGAATATTGCTAGTCTTTTATCTCTTGTTTGTAAATTGTGTTGATTTTTGTTCACCTCAATGCACAACAAAGATGGCTAATGCAGTCAATTCATTAGCCGCATGTCACGAAAAAAAAATGAAATGAGGGTTTAAAGTAGCTAAGTCTCTAACTCAATATTATCTAGTCTTTGACATTGAAAATACAAACTACATGTATTTGTCAATTTAAATCAACACTGATGTTGTGATCTTACCAGGAAAAGATGGGCTTCTCATATCCAATATTAAGACAAAATAAACATTTTACCATTGGTACACGAATCGTGGACCATAATGTGTTTCAGTGCCATTTGTAACAAGGCACTCGAACAACGAGGCTAGGCATATTCCACAAGTCATGTCAAATGGTGATGCCATATTCTTATCTGGAGAGCATGCACAATACATACTGTCGGTGTAGACTGGAATAACCAGACGCTAGAGATTGCCAGTAAATCAGTTTATATACATTCATATTACGTTATTACATGTATATGCATTGTGACACATTTGTGTCAATTTCTAGGTCCCAAATATTAGTGATTTAGCTCCTTTAAGGTCATGCAGCGTGCTATGTATGAGGTAAATCATTGACTATTCTTAATCAACTGACATGGTTTCATCTACATACACGCCAACAAGTACATGTACTGACTGGTATATAACATTATTTCGAAATTTGTGTAGAGCGCAAATTATGAATATGATATGAAATAAAATGGGGTTTAACATCCTACTGTTCTGCTCCAACTGGGCTAATGACTATGATGGACATTTTTCCCGGGCAGCGGCATTCCAACTGCCAAGGGATGTTTTATGTGCATGTCAAAGTTCATACAATGCATGAACTTTCTCGGCCAATGCAGGGATCGAACATGCAACCTCCAGGCTAGCGAGCTAGCATCTTACCCACTTAGCCACCGTGGCTCCGCACAAAGTTCAATCAATAATCCCTGACATTTTGTATATATACAGGCACACATGTACAACTAAAACCGTTTATTCCAGACCTGAAGATAAGTAAGGTTACATAGTACATACACTATATGATTGGACAACCATTTTATTATGATATACGAGGGGTATCGAGTCCTACTAATCTAGTAATAAATAAATTATCAACACAAATCAATATCTCGTTATTTTCTTATTAACAATTTCATTACCTCCGCTCTCTTTAACATTTCCCATTTATTTAGTATCTTCATGGCATACACAGTTTCCGTCGACTTTTCTTTAACCACAGCCACCTGTAAGAAATTAAAACACGTTAACAGGAAAATCTTACAAGAAGTAAACAAAATATTATTAGTAAATTACCACTAAATGATATGAAATAGGTTTTAACGCACTACACCCACTGTAGCAGCAGTTCTTCATGTTTATAAAATTGTGCCGGAGCCATAAAAAGCTCCTGATACCTTGAATATATGCAGTTTAAAAGTAAACAAAAACTGAAAGTAGTTTATTAATCTCAATATTTAGGAGAGCGATTTAGCTAATTTGCAGGAGTCTTTAATGACTCCTTCAAAGGAAAGCCAACGTGCATCGAGAGGAGCAGGAGCAAAAGCCCCCCTTAAACCTGAAGGACTGTAGCAGGCTAATAAGACAGGCAAACACCATTTAGTGTGGTACCATCGGGGAAAATTTGCTTGGAATGAGGTGATATGGCCTACTATTTCCTTTACTTCCAACAATGCAGGGATCTTTAACGTGCCACCAATAGTATTCGAAGTACCTCTGTTTTTGACAATCTTTAAGTGGCATTTAGCGATTGGGAAACACATTAATTAACAGAACACAATCAAAATAAAACCAGTGATTGTTTTCCCTTAGAAATTGTGTTCTGTTAATTTGTTTTTCATCTCATCCAAATCACTATTTTTTTGCCAGGACCCCCCATCACAAATTACAAACACAAAAAAACTTTCCAAGCTGTTTTAAATTAAAGTGATACCAGATGTTCTAGAAAAGTATGCCCTACTTTAATTTCACAGATAGTTTGAATTAAACTAACAGTAAATCAAAATATTTTTTATAAATTACAAAAAATTTATCAAAGACACCATGTAACAATTAACCTAAATATTATTGGATGTTAATAAATTTTATTTATTAAGCTGTTTCTAAAACTATTTCAGGCTGTTGGGGATTTTATTTGGATATCGTCCAAAATAATAAATCTGAAATCAAATTCATCTAGGAATTTTATAGAGTAAATAATATCAGATCATTAGACTAGCATCCAGTCTACAAAAATACTAGTTTTCTCATGATAAACTGATGGATTTTTGTCGATTTTCAGTGAGTGGGGGGCTGGGGTGAGGGGGGGGGGAGATGAATAGCAATCACATCTTCAGTGGGATTTTCTTAAAAGGCAAGGCTAGCAATCATATCTTCGGTGGAATTTCTATAAGTCACCTGTTGACATGACATGTTGATTCAAGCCAGTTAAAAAAGACTCTTTCCTTTAGCAATGACTTGCAATTGCAACAGTTGCTTACATACCGGTACCTACTTTCATTATTCAAAATCAACAAACAGAATAAAACCCACCATGTGCAAAAGGTACAACTACTACAACCCTTACTTCCTAAAGTGGTCACAGAGTGAGAGAGAGAGAGAGAGAGAGAGAGAGAGAGAGAGAGAGAGAGAGATGGGGTTTAAAGTCCACTTGACATAAACTAGGTCATTTACGGACCAACACATAGTTCAATTTTATTTCAATAATTCGCTTGAGTGTAAGGGTCTTTAGCAGTGGGAGGAAACCGGAGGACCCAGAGAAAACCCACAAGGTTGGACAGGCATCCCTACTTCTTGTCATATACAACCAGATAATCAAATCCATGCCAGTTGACTCAATGACAGACGTTATGATACAGCTTGCATGCGCTAACCATTCGGCCATCCAACCCCCCACCGTGCAAAAGGTACACCACTTACTTCCTAAGTGGTAATGGTGTGAAATGAATGAAATGAAATGGGGTTTAACGTCCTACTGTTTTGCTCCGAACTGTGCTTTTACATGCACGCCAATGTGTACACAGGACCTCGGTTTTTCATATCATCCGAATGACTCGACAGCTGTCCTTGTCAGCCCCACCATCCTGCATCACTGACAAGAGGGAACCACGCCGGAAAATCCAGGTGAACTTTCTCCGCCAATGCAAGAATCGTACACCCGACATCCAGGCTAGCGAGCCAGCGTCTTACCCACTTAGCAACAGTGACCCTCTAATGTGGTGTGTCTACGAATATTCACATATAATAAATATTATTTTTTAAAGTAAATGCTTAACTTACCTCCCCAAAAGCACCCCTACCAATGATTTTAAGCGTCTCAAAATCATCTCTTTTTAATCTGTATTGCTTGACTTTACTGACTATATTTTTGGCTGAAATAAAAATAAAATTTATCATCAAATAAAATGGAAAAGAATCATCCAGAAATAAACAATAAGACACCGGTATGATAACTAAATAACTTTAACAACCGCATAAAACAAACTACAATAAACACAGACACAAGACGTAGAATACTCTGACAGACAGTGTCTTCACAAACTGCATTCGCTGACAAGATACATTTATATTACTGTGATGCTTTACAACAAACCATTGAGATAAAAATAGATAAAGAAGTGCCAGAGAGAGAGAGACAGAGCTAGGTCATTTCGGGACCAACACATGGTTCAATTTTATTTCAATAATTCCCTTGTGTGTAGGGGTTGTTTATAGCAGTGGGAGGAAACCGGAGTATCCAACCAAGAAACAAAATGAAATGACTGGGCTAATAAAGAGGGGTATACACCATGCAGTGTGCGAACCCAAGACCTCAAGGCTAGCAAACCAGTGTCTTACCCTCTGAACCAGCATGGCTCCCCGGATGATAAAAGAAAAAGAAAACTATCACACAATTTGATATACCCTGTATACATTTGTTGTATATTGTTTGAAATGCCTTCATATATCTTTATCCAGGATTTTTTTTTTTTTTTTGGGGGGGGGGGGGATGTAATTGTTTATTTGTTGTGCAGTCCTCCTGAAATCACATGTATTATGAGATCAATACTAAGAAAATGAAATGAAATGAAATGGGGTTTAACATCCCATATGCACTTTACTCCATCAACAGGGCTAAAAAAGACAGACATGGGCCATGCAATTTGACATAAATGATTGAAATTTTACCTGGATAATTGTGTTTCTGCCTTAAAAAATTTAAGATTATTTTGACAACCAGGCATCTGCACAAACTATGAGATTTATTACTATTCATTTTATTACTTGGACTTTGAATGATAAGGTCAAAGGTCTTGACCAGGATGCACCTTTTCTAGTTGGATAGATAGGATAGTTCAAGGTAGATCTAATGATGCATATGAACATTCTTATTTATCATGACAGGAAGGAACAATCACAATATATTCTGTATCTTAAGATAGAGAAATGGGGTTTAACATCCACTCAACACACACACTAGGTCATTTCGGGACTAACATGTCATTCAATTTTATTTCAATAATATGCTAGCATGTAGGGGTCTTTAGCAGTGGGAGGAAAAAGGAGGACCTGGAGAAAACCCACTAGGTTGGAGTCCCATTGGACAGGCAATCCTACTCGTTGCCACATACAAGCGGGAATTCGAAACCACGTCGGTTGACTCAATGACCGACCTTGTGATCAAACGCAGACGCATTAACCATTAGGCCCTCCAACACCCCGTGTATCCCAAGACCGAGGAAATAAAATGTAAGACAATAAGAGAGAGATAAAGCGAAATGAGGTTTAACATCCACTCGACACAAACTAGGTCATTTTGGGACAATCACATAGTTCAATTTTTGTTTCAACAATTCGCTTGTACGTAGGGGTCTTTAGCAGTGGAAGGAAACCGGAGGACTCAGAGAAAACCCACGAGGTTGGACAGGCGACCCTACTCCTTGTCACGAACAACTGGGGAAACGAAATCACACCAGTTGACTCAATGACAGACCATATGATACAGCGCGCACATGCTAACTATTCGGCCATCCAAACCCCACGTAAGACAATAAGAAACTGCTAGAGCTGGATTAAAGTCAATAAAATTACTATTTTCGGTATACCATGTCCAGGGAAAGAAAATTTAAGTCAATGAGCCAAATAAAAGTCATCAGAATGACATTACAGTAGAATCTGTATGAGCAGCCACTCCTATTCAGCGACATCTCCTTGTAAGCGGTCACGATAAATTCCCCCCGTAGAAATTCTGTTGTTTCATCTCTTTATTCAACAGTCATTCCTCTAACGCGGCCAGCGGTCACTATTTTACTAATAAATTCAACAAAACATCTCCCATTCAACGGCCATTGTTGAATGATACCATCTCGTCGTTCTTTGTAACACCCCCGCTAATCCCGTGAGTAGTAGTTAATTAACTGGACCCCCACTGATCAGGTAAAAAGAAATGTAAACTTAACAATCAACCCGGGATTATCTGTTAATTAATCATTTGTTTTATTAAACGACTAACCTGATCATTGTTTTCACGCTAACGACACATTATTTGATACTGATTGAATAAAATAAAAGTACCGAGTTTTGTCACGATCATCTAGATCATCTAGTATCTCTCTTAGCGCCTCCTATAATATTACATACAGAGTTACACCCCCTGTAAATAGGAGATAAAATTAGCGATTTTTTTTGTTCATGTGCTTTTTTGATAAAATAAAATGAATTCATCGATTTTCTTCACAAAAATGGATAAATATTATCGAATGCATCACAATGGTAGACAGTAGTATCGAAGGTTGGTACAAAATGACAAGTTTACAGAAGTTATGTCCGAGATTTGAGTAAAGAATTTTCGTCCGGCGCAAGATTCAGCGACGGTCAAATTTACCGCTTCCAATGCATCCAAGCGTAATATTTAATTTATGTCGGCACAAAAAGCAACGAGATTTTATTAAGAGGCCACTCCCGTTAAGTTATGTCCGAGATTTGAGTAAAGAATTTTCGTTCGGCGCAAGATTCAGCGACGGCCAAATTTACCGCTTCCAATGCATCAAAGCGTAATATTTAATTTATGTCGGCACAAAAAGCAACGAGATTTTATTAAGAGGCCACTCCCGTTAAGCGGTCAGTTGTGAAAATTCCCTTGGGTGGCTGCTTAATGCAGATTCTACTGTATTCAAGTTATTCACATCCTTTATCACAATATCAAATATACAGGTGTATAATAACAACAATACAGGTGTGAAGGTAGAATATTAAAATAAGTTACAATAGATGACAGTACAGGTATATTTCATCCGGGTGTTATCGTTATCACTGTAATCCTAGATAAACAAAAAGACCATAGAAAGTTTGACTTTTTTCTTCTTGGAACATGTTGTTATTACAGGTTTAGCTAATATTTACAAATGGTAATATTACTGTAGTAGGTGACCTGATTTCACACTTCTCTAGCATTCCTTAGTTGTGTTATGTAAAGGTATTCAATAGGTACAAGCTGTTACCAGTGGGTTACTACAGGATTTTTAAATTCCCATAAAAACATATATTAAGTGACAAATTGTGGAATAAAAAAACAGTTCACCACATTCTTCTTGAACTCTCTGATTCCTTATTCTACAAAACATCAACACACGCCTTAAACCAAGTTCATTTCATGTTTTATGTATCAAGTTATAATTAGACAACAGACTTTTCAACAACCAACCAAATTTCAAAATAATAAAATCAAGAAATAAAAATGAAATGAAATGGAGTTTAATGTCCTACTTTTCTGCTCCGATTGGGCTAATAAAGACAGGCATACATGTACACCATACAGTGTGGCTTACTCTTATAATTATATCGAATTCCAACTGCCAAGGCATCTTCTACGTGTACACCAATGTATACACAGGAGCTCGGTTTTTCGTCTCATCTGAATGACTAGACAGCTGTCTATGTCAGGCCCTCCGTCCTGCACCACTGACATGGGGAAACCACGTTGGAAAATCTTGATGAACTTTCTCGGCCAATGCAGTGATCGAACACGCGACCTCCAGGCTAGCGAGCCAGCATCTTATCCACTTAGCCACTGTGGCTCCAAACAAATTAAGACAAACCAAAGCTACAGTAAACCTTTAGCCAACGGACCGACTGTAACTGCTTCTCTCACACCACACACCACCAGAGTCAAGTGGTAACCGTTCAAGTACTGTATACCAATACCTAGATCGGCAAGTCAAATAGCTTGAGGCAGTCCAGCTTTCATAATATGAGATGCAAAACTCTTTGTAAAATAGATCCAACTTTTTCAGGGAACGAAGTCAATATTTCCAGGTACTATATAATGAAATGGGATTTAAAATTTAAATGGGCTATAGAAGACGCCATACAGTATGCTCCACGAGGGAATTTTTGTCCAGTGGTGCCACAGCCTACTCTTATTATATCGAATTCCAACTGTCAAAGAGTTCTTTTATGTGTATTCCAACGTGTGCATGTGGTCTTAGTTTTCCGAATAACTATAACATTGACCCTTGCCAAGTCATCTGTCTTACATCACAAATAAGACAAAATCTTTATTATGCTTGATTAATCAAGAAAACAAAGAGAGGCACACTGCAGTAAAACAATATATCAAATCAATATCACATGAATATCACATGTAATTGGCAGCTAAACAATAGGAAGTTCATTAAAACTCCCCACCCCACACCCCCAGTCATTGTTTTTTAGGGCGAGCGATCGCTCTCGAGCACCTGAATGTCGACCGAGGGGAGGTTTTTTCTCCTCCCTTTAAAACTGAAAATCGCTCTCCTTTACTTAGTCATTGGGGGTTTATTATCATTTATGAAACCAGGAATGACTTCATTACATGCGGTTATTGATCTTCATGCACACAACTAAACACTCTCCTTAATATCAGATCACTCTCCTTAATTTCTAAATCACTCTTCTTATCAAAACTGGGAGAGTTTTTTGAAGGGAGCGATTTTTTCAATTCATTGATTGAGGGGACCTTTTTTTGGCTCTCCTCTGAAATACAAACAACGACTGCACCCCACACACACTATTCATTCCATTCTTTGGATTCCACTTGTATAAAAGACATGTGCTCCATAACCATGACTTTTATAACCACAGTTATTTGTATCTCTGACCTTCCATTACGGATGTTCCTTGTTTAGATTCATTTCCACACTTCAGATATAATGATAGCAAGTTGATGTAGTGCTAGTCAATTATTATAAAGGGTATCAGAACATATTCGGAATGTTTTTTGGTTGTCTATGCAATGGAATGTAATTGGGTTGAATGTCTCGTCAACAAAATATCTCAGTCATTTTGAGACAACACATGGTGATTTTTGTTTTTATGTTAAGTGGAAAGTGAGGTAGGAGAATTTTGTACACAC